AAGCACAGTAGAAATGACATCTGTACCTATGTGTTCATTGCAGCACTGTTCACAATGGTCAATATCCCCTGTTAATCAGGCCCAGGCGTGTTGGCTTCCTGGACTCGGTGCTTATAAGTAGGTCTAAACGGTTTCCTTGGCGCTTGGTCCTGGGCAGATGAAAGGTGCAGGGACGTAGTTGGGGAGCAGAGAGGCGAGGTCCTGCCCGTGAAGGGCCAGCTGAGGACTCTCGCGCACCGATGAGTCAATGATCAAGGTGCTCCTGATCCTGGAGGAGGACGGTCACTGTCACTTGCGGTGATGACAGTCATGCTCGTGCCGGTGTGGGCAGAGTACTGCCAGGCTTCTGGGCTGGAGAGCCAGGTTTGTTCTAGCCGCGGTTGGAGCCGCAGGGCAGCAGGCAGGGCGCTTGCCTGGCACACGACCTACCTGGTTTTGATCTCTGGCACCCCACAGGGTTCCCCCAAGCCTCACCAGGAGTGATCCCTGAGCACAGAGCCAGGAGTAAGTCCTGAGCACAGCTGGTGTGTCCCAGAAAACAAAAAACAAAAAACAAAAAAAAAGAAAAGGAATAAGGAATTTGTTCTTTCTCTCTTTTGACTTTCAGCTACAGCTGACTATGTTCAGTTCTTGCTCCTGACTCTGTGCTCAGGGATCACTCCTGGCCATGCTGGGGTTGGGGAAACCATCTGAGGTGTGCGGTTGAACCTGGGTTGGTGCATGCAGCCCTGCGATGCCAGCACTTACCTACTATCCCCCCTCTAGTCCTGTCCTGCAGGCTTTTACGCCTATGAGATAAAAACCCAGAGAGAGCCAAGGGTTAGAAAGACCTCAAATGGATGCCCTGGGGCTGATTTTTTTTATGCATGTTGGGGGACACGGGCTGGGGTAGGGCAGGGGACTGCAGGTTTTGGGTGGCTGGTGTGGGGAAGCCCCCTGGGCTCAAAGGGAGAGAGGGGGCTTCCGATGTGCCCTTGGAAGGGAGACAGAGGGGTCTAGCAGGCGGGAGCTTGAGGGGCCCCGTCGCCCGTGGAAACAGACACCATCCCCGAACTGGTTCTGGGGACACAGGGAAGTGAGGGGCATGTCTGTGTGTGTGTGTGTGTGTGTGTGTGTGTGTGTGTGTGTGTGTGCTTAGCTGAGCACCTGCTGGGCGTGCAGCAGCCAGCACTGACCTGAAACACTCCTCTGGTGGTAGGGAGCGCTGCCAGCCCTCACCTGACCGTGGCCTGGACGGGGGGGGGTGGGGGGGACAGGCAGGGGAGCAGGGACTCTCAGGGCTAATGGCCCCATGCTTCTCCCAGCCCATCATGGGCAGCTTCAGGAGGTCCATGCAGCCTCGCAGAGCGTCTTGTGGCCCAGAGCAAGGGGCCCCAAGGGCTGAAAGGAAACTGCTGGCAGATAAAGAGGGAGATTTGGCTTTGCTGGAAGACGCAGGATTTGAGTTGAATTTGAAGGGAGGCTGTGAGGTGGGAAGGAGAACTGTCTCCCCTGTCATTCCACTCATTTATTTTTTGAAAAATTTTTATTTTTTTTTTTTATTTTTTTTTTTAAAGCCCTCCCGTTGATCGTCGATTTGCTCGAGCGGGCCCAGTAACGTCTCCATTGGAGACTTTGTTGTTACTGTGTCTGGCATATCGAATACTCTCGGTAGCTTGCCGGGCTCTCCGAGAGGGGCGGAGGAATCGAACTCGGGTCGGCCATGTTGGCCGCGTGTAAGGCGAACGCCCTACCCGCTGTGCTATTTAAAAAAAATTTTATAAAGCAGTTTCACAATATTTAATTGCATTTAATAGTCAAACACCAATCCCACCACCATGACACCTTCCCACCAACATATTTTGGTGTTTCCATCCTGAACCCCAATCCCTGCCCCAAAGCAGAACCGAAATAATATATAGTATTGTTTGTTATGAAAAACCATCTGAAAATGCTACAAGAAAGTATCCTTAGAGGAAAGAGTGTGAAGATCTTTGTATTTCACCCAGGGGCCATTAAGCTCTTCAATAAGATGTTGTTAAGTCTGTTAAACCTAAAACATGTATCTGTAAAAAAATGTATATTTTCCCTCTAAGATTGGTTGCCTCCTACTTTGAACCCTATCAAATGCATCCCCCTCATTTAAATGCGGGGGGGGGGGCGAAGGGAAATGTGTCCTATTTGCTGCAAATTGGGGCGCGCCGAGATCCATACTCGGGGGAGCAGTTCGTGTGTTTGTTCGTGGTGGAGTCACGACCCTGTTGGAGACCAGGGAGCGCATTGACTGGGTTCGGAGGCTCAAGCACGGACTCACTGTGAGTCAGAGTCATTTGGTCCAGCCCTTAATTACCGGAGAGCGACTGGAACGGTGATCAGCCTGCTTTCTGGGCACACTGATTACACAGCCAGCGACGCCGTTCCGGGGACCCGGCCCCCTTCTGGGCTCCGGGGCATTAGAAAAGTTCGTATATAGAAAATAAGACCGCCAGGAGTAATTCCTGAGTGCATGAGGCATGAGCCAGGAGTAACCCCTGTGCATCGCAGGGTTGAAAAAGAAAAAAAAAATTCTTGTAAGCATGAAGAGATTCAGTTGATGTTTATTTTCCTGAGCAAGAGCTAAGAGGGTTGGGTTAGATTATGGCAGAGAGGTCAGTCAAACAGCCCCCAGGGGTTGATACCCTCTTAAAAAACAGAAGGAAAGGAAATAGACTCTTTGCTCCAAACCAGTGGCTTCAGCTGGACCCACACCTGGAGTAATTTCCCCTTCTGCGCTTGCATTGGAATCTTCCCTGATTCTTAGGTAGTTGTGGAAAATGAGATAAAGTGGTACTAACTGATCTTCGATTCTCAAACCCATGTCCTTGGCCTCTCCGGGAGTATGTTTCATCAAGCACAATTAATTTTCTTTGGCTCTGAGATAGCTCCAGAGAACCAGCTTGCGAGTCAGTCTTAGAGATATTCATTAGGGTCAATAAGGCAAGGAGTTTCAACAGTGAAAGATTCCATACTCTCTGTAATGATCTCTGGGGGATATTCATCTCGATCAAACTCTCTGCTACTATGTTTGTTAACATCAGCCTCTGACATGTATTCATAAAAGGACAAAACACCTAAATGAATAGAAATATAGTCACTGAAAAATGTACAGTCAACTCTCATTGAAAGTGATTTTACTCATGGGGACTGAAGCGATAGTACAGCAGGTAGGGCGCTTGCCTTGCATGCAGCCAACCTGGGTTCGATCCCTGGCATTGTCTATGGTCCCCTGAGCCCACCAGGAGTGATTCTGGAGTTCAGAGCACTGCCAGGTGTGCCCATGCCTCACTCAAAACAACCCCCTGATTTGCTCAGATTCACACTTGCAGTGAGGCTAGTCATGTCACCCAGGAAAGTATTTTTGGAAAAGAAACACAAATATACTCTGGTTAAAGAGCCTGTTCCTTGTCCCACAGTCTTTGCTGACCAAGGCTCCTTGCGAGACCCACCTTCAGCGTAGTGGGGGTAGAGGTGGGGGTATTGGGGAGAGCAGCAGGTAGAGGAGGTGGCCGGTGTGCTGTCAGCTTAGCAGGTCGAACCTCACAGCACACTTAGCAGTGGAGGGCGGAGCTGGAGCTGCCGTTGTTTGAAATGCAGGAGAGTGTCAAGAAAGCTGGACACGGGAAATAGCAGTGAAGGGGGACTCCCGTGGAGCACGAGCCCATACAGGGGCCGAAACGTCACCAGGGAAACTCAGGAAGTGGCGCCAGTTCATTCGAGTACCCAGTTTCCTTCTCGAACCCACCCAGTGCCTCTAGTCTCTGCCCTTCCTTCCTCCAGGGCCTCAGCTGAGGGAACATTGAAAGGAAAAACGTAGATTATCAGTTGAAATAGATGTGAAGGAGTTTTGGTGCATGGATGCCCTCTGTCTTTGCCTGGTTCTGTGATGAATGATCTGGCACCTGAGTTGTGCAGGACGAAGAGAGCGGCTTGGAACGCCTTCAAGAAAATCAAAGAAATAGCTAAGAGGATGAAGAACCTCCGGTTCTGGGCATATATCTTCGATTCCACTGTTCTTCCTGCATTCACATATGCCTCAGAGACCTGGGCCCTATGAGAACACTATTCTGGTCTCCCAAAGAGGACTTGAAAGTGCTATGCTTGGAGTATCATGCTTCACTCAAGTGAGAGAAAGAGTTCCTACCTCCGTCGACGGTCAAGAATCAGGGATGCTGTCTTGTTTGCCAAGGCATCAAAAATCAAATGGGTTGGACACGTAATGAGATTTGGAGACGACCTTTGGACTAGAGCCATTACTGACTGGATTCCACGGGATATCAAAAGATTGCGTGGCCGCCCACCTACGAGATGGTCAAACTTCTTTGTCAAGACCCTGAATGATCGATTTGAGGCTCTTCGTGTTCCTAGAATGAGCAGACGCTATTGGGGTACACCAGCACGCGACAGGGACGAGTGGAGATGTTACTGCCTCGAGCGAATCGATGAGTTACAGGATGTCAAGTGATCAAGTGATTAAGACAGACTGGGGCTTGATTACCAGCCATTCTGCCTTTTGAGACAGGCGCGCTTCTGGGCATTGTGATTGGTCCATCACTTGGACTTCACTGTAGGGAGATGATAATGTGGCCTTTGATATAAGCCAGGAGAGAGGCCGACACTGCATGATTTTCCTCAGAGGTGGGATGTAAAGAAAGAAAAGAAAGGGACTAAGGATGTGTTCAGTGGTGAAATAGATGCCTTGCATATCTGAGGTCCAGGGTTTGATTCCCAAGGAGCTCGCTCGCACACACACACACACACACACACACACACACACACACACACACACGCACACACAGAGAGAGACTGAGAGAGACACTGAGAGAGAAACTGAGAGAGAGACAGAGAGACAGAGAGAGAGAGGGTGAGAGAGGGAGAGAGACAGAGAGAGGGAGAGAAGAAGAGAGAGGGAGGGAGGGAGGGAGGGAGGGGGAGAAGCAGTGAAAGAGTCACATCCAGATGAAAATACAGACTTGGATTCTGAGATGCATGGAAATCCTTGGCTTCTGAACTGATAACACAGAGAGATGGGGATTCGAGGGTGGGGGTTGGGGGTGTCCAGAGACTGTGAGGGAGAGCTACAGGTACTCAATGCAAAGCACTTTTAATGACTCAAAAAAATTTCATTGTTCGCATCTCTCTTCCTTTACCTCTGTCCCCATTGGCCAAGTGTCTGGGCCTTTCTGAGGCCAAGAAGACAGGCCAGCATGAGTCTGTCTCCTTGTTGCCGGTTTCCTAGCAGCCAGGGTTACCTCCCGACACTGTGCTGATCTGAATGCTAAATATTTGTTAGCCATTATTGACTTTCCGTGGTCACGAATCTCCTTAATTTAAGAAAGTGGAAGTGGAGACTGCTGTGTATTGTGCCTTTTGTCTGCACGGTACTGCAGTGTACTTATTAGTTATGATCAGCAGACAGAATGATTGGTCTGCGTAAAGAAAAAGGAAAGCCAAACATGCTTTTAAATACAGTTTGGAAAATATTTGCCTTAAAAAATGCACTGATAATTTTCTTTGTATTCATGCAATTTGGAGGGAAATTTTTTTTGCCTTTGTGATATATAAGTGAGAACAAAGTAATTTGTATTCTATTTAGGGGTGCTCTCTCATTTCCTCCACTGTAATATACATTTTCCCCCTTGAATTCTTTAAAGTTGGGTCATGAAGTAGTGTGTTGCCATGGCAGAATCTTATTTAAGTTTCCAAATTCCTTGGAAACCTTTAGTTGATTTACAGCCTAATTTTTCTGGTTATCCTTTCAAAATTGATTTATTCTTTTTTGGGTATTTTCTTTCTCTTTTTGGTTCTCAATTTTCTTTCTTTCATTTGCATTTCTTTGTTTTGTTGCTGGATTCCTGTCTCTCTTTATCTGTCTTCTCAGCCTGCTGAAGACATTTAGTATAAAGTCAGAGATAACATTAAGAAAAAAATTATTCCTCCCTTCCAACAAGGTAGGAAGCAGTCAGAATAACAGAGCATCTTCTGGATTTAGGGACATTTGAAAAAAGATTTCATTTCAGTTTTCTTTGCTGTTTATGGAATGTGTACTCTATGATAAGACTGGTGTTAGTCTCTTTTTCAAGAAATGGCAAAAAAAGTAGATTGATCACTTAAAAAATTTTATCCCCACCCACCTTCTCGCAAGCAATATTTTCTGGTAAGGAAAAATGAATGAAAAGTCCATGGGTCTAGAAGTGACTTTTCTTTTTTTTTTTTTTTTAATAATTTATTTATTTATTGAATCAAGAAGTGACTTTTCTTTTTTTTTTTCTTTTTTTTTTCCCCTTTATTTTATTTTATTTTTTTTAAAGTTGTAGATTTACAATTTTTTGTGCTTTGGTTTCAATTATACAATGATCAGATACCCATCCCTCCACCAGTGCCCATTTTCCACCACCATGGATAATATCCCTCCCACCCCCATCCCCCCATCCCCCCCGTCTCTGTGGCAGGGCATTCCCTTTTGTTCTCTCTCCTTTTGGGTGTTGTGGTCAGCAAAAGAGGCATTGAGTGGCAAACATGTTCAGTCCATAGTCTACTTTCAACATGCATCTCCCCTCCTGGGAGGATCCTCCAAACACCCTCCATTTGGTGCTCCCTTCTCTATCTGAACTGCCCTTTCCCCTAGAATACCCGGCTGGCCTCTAACCTATGGAGTAATCCTCCTGGTGTTGATCTCAGCTATTCTTGGGTATTAATCTCATATTTTGTTATTTTATATCCCCCAGATGAATGCAATCTTTCTATGTCTATCCCTCTCTTTCTGACTCATTTCGCTTAGCATGATACTTTCCATATTGTACCACTTGTATGTAAATTTCATGACTTCATCTTTATAACAGCTACATAGTACTCCATTGTGTAGATGTACCAAAGTTTCTTTAACCAGTCATCTGTTCTTGGGCATTCAGGTTTCTTACAGGTTCTGGCTACTGTAAAGAGTGCTGCAATGAACAAACAAGTGCAGATGTCACTTCGGCTACACATTTTTGCCTCTCTGGGATATATTCCCAGGAGTGGTATTGCTGGGTCAAATGGGAGCTCAATTTCTAATTTTTTGAGAATCGTCCATACTGTTTTCCAGAAGGGCTGAACCAGTCGACATTCCCACCAACAGTAAAGGAGTGTCCTTTTCTCACCACATCCCCGCCAGCATCAGTTGCTTTTGTTCTTTTGAATGCGGGCCAGTCTCTGAGGTGTGAGATGGTATCTCATTGTGGTTTTGATCTGCATCTCCCTGATGATTAATGATGTAGAGCATTTTCTCATGTGCCTTTTTGCCATTCGGATTTCTTCTTTGAGAAAGTTTCTGTTCATTTCATTGCCCCATTTTTTGATGGGGTTGGATGTTTTCTTCTTGTGGAGTTCAACCAGTACTTTGTATATCCTTGATATCAACCCCTTGTCAGATGTTCATTTGTGAATATCCTTTCCCATTCTGTAGACTGTCTTTGTATTTTGGTCACTGTTTCTTTGGAGGTGCAGAAGCTTCTTAGTTTAAGATAGTCCCATTTATCTATCTCTGTTTTCACTTGCTCGGCCAGTGGCGTGTCATCTTTGAAAATACCATTAGCCTCAATGTCACGGAGGGTTTTGCCAACTTTGTCTTCAATGTACCTTGTGGTTTCTGGTCTGATGTTGAGGTCTTTAATCCATTTTGATCTTACTTTTGTACATGGTGTTAGGGAGAGATCCGAGCCCATTTTCTTGCATGTAGCCGTCCAGTTTTGCCAGCACCATTTGTTAAAGAGGCTTTCCTTACTCCACTTCACATTTCTTGCACCTTTATCAAAGATTAGATGATCATATGATTGAGGGGAGATGTCAGTGTATTCAACTCTGTTCCATTGGTCTGCAGTTCTGCCTTTGTTCCAGTACCATGCTGTTTTGATTAATACTGCTTTGTAGTAAAGTTTGAAGTTAGGGAGGTTGATTCCTCCCATTTTCTTTTCCCCAAGAATTGCTTTAGCTATTCGTGGGGGCTTATTGTTCCATATAAATTTCAGGAGTTTTAGCTCCATTTCTTTGAAGAATGTCATGGGTATCCTTATAGGGATTGCATTGAATTTATACAATGCTTTCGGTAGTATTGCCATAAAATAATAATTTGACTCTACCTTTTCTCTGTCTACCAGTATCATACTTCTGTACCAGCAACTATAGAAAGACTGGTTAATAAGCATTATATTTTTATCTTTTCTAATAATCTTTTCTTCAAGTATGCATACTTTTTGCTTGTCCAATCAATAAAATTATTGTCATAAAAATATGACTTCCTGCGCTGTAACAAAGCACATCAACCTTTACCAGCTTAACAGAGCACCAATGATATTAGCTCTCCAGCCTGTAATGACTGAACTCAGCTGGTCTGTTCTTCTGCTTCCAGTGGTCTTGGATGGGTGGTTACCCTCTGTGAGCTCTGTAGCTGGAATAGGGCGGGAAGATAGTGCTGGAATTCCAGTTAGAAGGTTGTCTGGGGCTCATGAGAGAAATATCTGGACTATTCTCCATTTGTTCTCTCCAGGTGATTTCTCACAGCATGGTGACAGGGCTTGAGGGAGCATTTCCAGTATAAAAGCAGAAGCTTTAGATCTCTGAAGGATTAGGCCGGGATGTTTTACAATCTCACTCCTGCCCAAATCCTATTGGTGAAAACTGGTCACAGAACCAGCTAAATTCAAGAGGGGATAGAGAGTCCATCTGTTGGTCAGTTAGGTGGACAACCACACTGCAGTTGTATGAGAGCTGTGTATGTGGGGGTGGGGGTGGGAGGTAGGGGTGAGAGGATACCATCATCTTGTCAACACTGAGTATCTCTTAGTGAGCCAACTGGCGTTTATAGAGTGGTACTGAGCACTCTCCACCAATGACTGCTGATACTGTCTCCGGATTCCCTTACTCTTCCTCTGCCCACTCATTCTCAGCCTGTATCCTGCCCCTTTAGTTGTCTTCTTACCTTTTCATTCTCAGTTTCTTTTCATTCTCATTTGCTTTCTAAGGAAATCATTTATACTAATGGTTCAAACTTATAGGAACCCACAGATAAGCAATAAACATCAGAGGTAGTGTAGGGCATATAGAAGAATATCATTTTAATGACTTAAGAAATGGGAATCTCTTTTCTTATACCTCTGCCGGATACTGATAGAGGCATAGGAATAAGTCTGTAAGGATGTAGACCAAAATGTTCACACTAATAATTTCTGCATGGCAGGCGTTCTTAATTTCTTGTTTTGGCTGGTCTGTCTGATGTAATTTCCAAAAAGTGAGAGCATCTTATTTTCAGAAGAGAAATCAAATGATTTCTAAAAATAGAAGATGTCATATATAAACGGGCATCCCATGAAGCTGTGGGCTGGCTGAATACCTGAGATTTGAGAAGCCGTCAAAGATTTGAGATTTGAGAAGCTATTACAGTCTGGACAGCTCCATTGGAAAATAGCAGTTGCCACTAATACTGATGTTCCTTTTTAAATTTTATTTATTTATTTATTTTGTAGCAAAGACTGAAGGAAGAGAAGGAGGCCCGGCGGGCACGATTGGATGGCAGACATGACTACTTATTTTCTGTAGTAGCATCCTGTGTGGACCTGAGCAAAAAGGACGTGGAGGATGCCATTCTCGAGGGGAACCAGGTGCGAGGCATTTTTTTTTCCCTTTGAGTGGCTTGAATGGTGGGTAATCGGATCCCGTGCTGTGCTTTGAAGAAGGGTGTCCCTGTTACATGAACTTTGGAGGGTATTAGCAGGACAAATTAGGGCGCTGTAGCTCTTTATGCCAAATGGAGTATTTGTAATTTTCCTTTGAGATCCTTGATCTCTTCCTCTACTGAAGCTCTGCTCAGAAGCCATTTTGGAAACCCAGTTTGGAGAAAGAACTGCCTTTGCAGCTGCTGATTGGTCTGATACAATCCATCCTGCTCTTATCTGGGATGGTACATTGCAGCATCGGTGCCTGGATTTCCCTTGGGTGGACAGTTGGATTTTAATTTTTTTTTAGTTAAAATGGTCATTTAAAAAATTTTTTTATTAGTGGAGCACCATGAGTAATTATTTTTTTCCTCATCTTGATTCCCATTTTTCTACTCAAAGTTATGATGTCCAGTCAGAGTGCATGCCGTAATTGGCTCGATGAGCTGGCCCAGATATTTGAAAATATCATTTTCTGGTATAGTGAAGAAGGCATTGCAGGACTCACGTGATCCCACCCCCGACCCCCGACTTAGTCATTTATAATCACCCTCTTGGCTGATAGGTGCGTCACTGTTGATACTTCTCAATAGGATGCTTGTGAATGTTTTATTTTTGTTTGTTTGTTTTGGGCTTGGGGCATGCATCACCCAGTGTTACTCAGGGCTTCCTCCTGTCTCTGCACTCCCAGTCACTCAAGATGGGGTTGGGGCTCATATGGGGAGATGGGAATCAAATGTGGGTCAGCCTGCAGGGATGTTCCTGCTCCTGCTCCAGCTGTGAATGTTTACCAACCAACTATGAGTAAGCACATAGAAGGAGACATGAGCTTGCCCATGGCTCATTTCTGATGTGTAAACCATGAAATACCTGCCCTGCTGATGGGCCAGTCTCTCACCATGATGTCACTTTATGCTAAGCTGGGGACAGTTGTGACAAGCCTGTGTGAGCTGACTGTAGCCTCCTACTGGCCCTCTTCCTTTTCTTTTGTTTGCTTGCCAGGTGGAGTAAAAGAAGACCTCGTTAGAAGCTAATGATTATTAAATATTTACCAGATGTCTGTCCCTGTTCCAAAGGATTTTCATTTGTTATGCCATTTAGTGTTCAGAATTCACGCATGTAGACAATATTAGTCCTCCAAAAAATGGAGCCATAGAATGAGGCAAGACTGCAGTGCCCTTCCAACTTGGGTAGATGGTTGCAGAGGTGCAATGCTTCGACTGTTGGCCTTTGAGGAGCGCTGTACTGTTTGCCACAGCCACTGCGCCCTTTTATATTCTCTCCAGCAGTGCCCAGAACTTCCGGTTTTCCCACATCCTTGCCAAAATTTGTTATTTTCTTTTTGATAGAAGCCATGGCTTTTATTCTTGTATTCTCATTGGAATAAAAAACTGGGTTACTGCAAAAATCAGCCCATGTCTCAGGTGACAGATCCCTCCCTAAGTCTCAGTCTCCTGGGGGACCTGAAGTTCCAAGGTGGCAATTGAAAGGGGTCTTTCATAGTCAAATGTGTCCTATTGTTTTGGTGCTTCTTGCCTTTTTAAAAAAATTATTGTAATATGCTATTAATTATCTCTAGTGTGTTTGACTGGGCGTTGAAAGGTTTGTTTTCTGGTCTGTAATTGAGTGCAAATGAAACACTCATTTATTTCTATCTGTCTTCAGCAGCTCAACACTTTAGGAAATTAGCAAGAGTGGAGGGCTAATCTCTTTTGAGTGTGCATATGTAGCAAATATTTTTGAGATTAATTGAATTACTGCTTTGAACTGCATCTTTCCTCTGGTGAGACATTCATTTTCCATGGTGTTTCTTTTGGGGAAAAAAATATGATCCTTTGTGTATGGTTTGATGTAACTGCAGATGTCAAAGTGGTTTCTAATTCAGAACCAATTCATCTCTTTGCCTTTTCTTTCCACCAGATCGAAAGAGTCGATCAGCTTTTTGCTGTTGGAGGAATTCGTCACCTCATGTTTTACTATCAGGATGAGGAGGTTGCAGAAACAGGTAGGATGTGACATCCTCTCAGGCTGTGCTAGAAGGGACAGGTGACCAAGTTGTTCATTTCCTGGGACTTACTTTCCTTCCATGCTGGTACATTCTGTGAAGTTTTATCCTAGACCTTCTTACCGGCATGTTTCTGCTCTATAGAGGAACAGTTTCTTTTAAACACAAAAATGATTGCCAGTATGTCTCACACAAGTTTCCCAGTTAAATATCACATTATGTTTATTTTCTACTGACTCTGATTCAGAAGAGTCATGTTGAAAGACAACCATAGTAATTTTCACTTGAGAAAAACTTACAGATCTTCCTGTGGATTCAGCTGGTATATCCTATCCTGCCTTTCCATGGCTTAGTAGAATTTCAAAGCCAAGCTAGGGACATAAAAATAATTATATTAAGATACCGTATGTATCTTTTCCTAACTTTTCTGAAGAAATAGTCATTGCTTTTTGGCATATAGGACGACTGTGCTTTTTTTGTTTGTTTGTTTGTTTGTTTATCACAACAAGCTCCCGGGAGAGCACAAGGCAGAGTCTCCTACCCTGTGTCTGACTATCCTCGCCAGGGCCCAACAGCTGAAGACCTCCAGGCCCCAACCAAAGCCTTACTGGGGCCACTCACCACACACTTGGATAAGCCTCAGACATAACAGAACTGGCAGAGGAACCCAGGTGTGTGGGACCCGGGGCTGAGATCTCCAAGCCTGCACGGTTTGGGACTGGACCTGTCAGTAGCTAGACAGTTACACCCTCCAACTGCCGTGTAACCCCAACAACGGCCAGGATCCAGAGATTATCACAAGCTCCCGGGAGAGCACAAGGCAGAGTCTCCTACCCTGTGTCTGACTATCCTCGCCAGGGCCCAACAGCTGAAGACCTGCAGGCCCCAACCAAGGCCTTACTGGGGCCACTCTCCACACACTTGGATAAGCCTCAGACATAACAGAACTGGCAGAGGAACCCAGGTGTGTGGGACCCGGGGCTGAGATCTCCAAGCCTGCACGGTTTGGGACTGGACCTGTCAGTAGCTAGACAGTTACACCCTCCAACTGCCGTGTAACCCCAACAACGGCCAGGATCCAGAGATTATCACAGTAAGCTTCCGGGAGCACGCGGCTGCATTCGCGGCTGCGCGACTATTTATTTACTTTTCTCTAAGTTTTCAGGGTACCTTAAATATCCAACCCACACGGCAGAGCCTGGCAAGCTATCCGTGGTCTATGCCAAATAGACCAAATTGATATGCCAAATCCAGTAATAAATGGATCTCATTTCCCTAACCCTGAATATGCAGAGTCGAGAAGGATATGGAAGGAGAGGCTGATAAAACACCAAAGCAGACATAGGCTGCCAAAATGCAGAAAAACAAAAATGATTGTCTGTACTTTTAATGCTCGTACGCTGGCATCTGCTGCATCCATTGAAGACCTTATGGTACAAGCGCGAAAGATCAAGTATGACATCATTGGTCTGACCGAAACGAGAAGACATCAATCCCATCATGCTGTTTTCGACACTGGAGAAGAACTGTTCCTTGGAACATGTGATAAAAGAGGCGTCGGTGGTGTCGGTATCCTTGTCAACACAAACTTAGTCACGAGCATTGATTCATTCGAATGCCCAACAACCCAAATCGGACGATTACACTTGAATAAATGTGGCTCACTACCAGCAGTTTCTATCTTTGTTGTCTATGCACCAACATCTAGTTATGGTGAAAGAGAAACTGAGAAATTCTACATGGAGCTGGAGAAGTTCTATAAAGAAGATCACACCTTCTACAAGATCATTGTTGGTGATTTTAATGCCAAGATAGGACCAAGAAGATCAGTCGATGAACTCCACATCGGAACCCATGGCCTGGAATGGAACGAACAGGGTAACAGACTGTCTGAGTTCATCATGTCAACCAAAACCTTCCATGGTAACTCACAATTCCAAAAGGCTGAATCTAAACGTTGGACATGGGAGTCTCCCGATGGACGGTTCCACAATGAAATAGACCACATCATATTCAATCGGCGGTTTTGCCTAACCGATGTTGCTGTTGTCCCAAAATTCCAAACGGGATCAGACCACCGTCTTCTTCGTGCAAAATTCTACCTCACAGAACGAGGAGAAAAGAATGCAGGGTTTAAGAAGAGGACTCCCAGAACAACCACCAACTGGGAGCTCTTTGGCTCTATTGCGGCAACATGGGAAGATGCCATCATTGACAACATTGATGAGGAATACGATCGAATGATTCAGCACCTCCACGATTGTGCAAGGAATACCAAGAGAGAGATAACCACAAAAAACCGTCTTTCTTCGAACACTCTTGAACTTATTCGCCAACATGGCTTGGCACATGCCTCAGGCAACCACAAGCGAACATCCGAACTGGCAAAACAGTGCAGAGAAGCCATCAAGGATGACCTCAAAAACAGGAGAGCAGCAGTACTGGTAGATGCAGCAGAAGCTGGGAAAAACATTCGTAATGCCCGCCTGTCCTTCACCAACTACAAAACCAAGATGACTGCCCTCCGACATCATGATGGATCTATCACATCTTCCAGAAGGGCAATGGAGAAGATTATCCATGACTTCTACTCAGATCTCTTTAATAGCCACATCCACTTGCCCACATACCACATACCACATGATGGATATGTCGTTCCCAATGTTCTCCCTTCCGAAATCCAACATGCCATCTCGTCGGTAAAGAAACAAAGAGCCCCTGGCCCAGACAAGAACACCTGAAGAACTTACCATCAGTACTCATCAATATATTGGCTCGACTCTTCACACGCTACCTGTGTGAATGCAAGGTTCCATCCCAATGGAAAACCAGCAGGACTGTACTACTATACAAGAAAGGAGACATCCACGACATTGGCAACTATCGCCCAATCTGCCTATTGTCTGTCATCTACAAACTATTCACTCGAGTCATCCTGAATAGGATTAGCAGAACACTAGATGAAGGACAACCATGTGAACAAGCTGGATTCCGAAAAGGATTCAGTACCATCGACCATATCCACACAATAACCAAGCTCATTGAGGTATCTCAGGAGTTCAAGATGCCGCTCTGTCTAACGTTCATTGATTTAAAGAAGGCCTTTGATTCTGTTGAGACGGAAGCGGTCATGGAAGCCCTAGCCAATCAGGGCGTACAAACTCAATACATCAGGATCCTTCGTGAGCTCTATTGCGGATTCACTACCAAGATCTCACCATTCTACAAAGAAGTAATCATCCATATCAAGAGAGGGGTTCGGCAGGGTGATACCATTTCACCAAAACTCTTCAGTGCCACCCTCGAGAACATCATGCGATGACTGGAATGGGAAAACATGGGAGTGAAGATAGATGGTTGGCAACTACACCACCTCCGCTTTGCTGATGACATCGTTCTAATAACACCAAACATCAGCCAAGCGGCACAAATGCTGAACGACTTTGACCGTGAATGTGGAAAGGTCGGACTACAGCTGAATCTTACGAAGACAATGTTTATGAGAAACAGCCTTGTTCCTGATGCTCCATTCGCTCTCAACGGAACCACCATCTCCGAATGCAACAGTTATATATACCTAGGTCGAGAAATCAACATGATGAATGACCTGGCACCTGAGTTACGCAGGAGGAAGAGAGCGGCTTGGAATGCCTTCAAGAGCATTGAAGAAATAACTAAAAGGACAAAGAACCTCCAGCTACGAGCACATCTCTTTGATTCCACTATTCTTCCTGCATTAACATATGCCTCAGAGACCTGGACCCTACGAAAACAGGATGAGAACGCTATTCGGGTCTCTCAAAGAGGAATCGAAAGAACTATGCTTGGAATATCACGATTCACTCAAATGAGAGATAGAATCCGGAGTTCTGATCTTCGTCAACACTCAAGAATCAGGGACGCTGTCTCATTTGCCAAGACATCAAAAATCAGATGGGCTGGACACGTAATGAGGTTTACAGACAACCGCTGGACTAGAGCCATTACTGATTGGATTCCACGGGACATCAAAAGATCACGTGGACGCCCACCTATAAGATGGTCAGACTTCTTCGTCAAGACCCTAAATGATCGGTTTGAGGCTCTGCATGTTCCTAGAATGAACAGATACCATTGGGCTACGCTAGCACGCAACCGGGATGAATGGAGACGTTACTGGCACCCGCTCGAATAAATCGATGAATAACGGGGATTAAGTGATTAAGTGATAAGTGAAGTGATTGTTTGTTTAAAAATGGAGAAATCATGTGTGCCTGCTCTAAATGATAGTATTTCCCCTAAATTAGTCATCTGATATTTTATGATCACAAAATTCATTAAACTTTGGAAAAATCTAAATAATATAGGAAATGTCCACTGTGTTCTGGAATTATGAAACAGAAGTTGAGATGAAAGGTTAAGTTCAGTGGTGATCTCTGCCCAGGATGACATTGCCTTTGTGTATAAATGTCAGGGTGAACCAGAAAGTTCCAGTCATTTAAGCATCACTGCAAGTTTATTTCTGCTTTCTACTTCTCCTTTAGACCTTTCCAATGGGAGTAACTCTTTTTCTGAACTTGGATTAAGTTCCAGGCTTTTTTTCTGGGTATTCTCAGATGAGAAAAATTCTTGTGGCTGCTTCTAGATCACAATCATGGGGTCAGTTCAGAGAGCAAAAATGCCCAGTGTATCTAAAGTAGCTGATCTAGAGGCTGGAACGACAGCACAGTGGGTAGAGCATTTGTCTTGCATGCCACCGACCTCAGGGTTCGATTCTCAGCATCCCATATGGTCCCCTTAGTACCACCAGGAGTAATTCCTGAGTGCAGAGCCAGGAGTAACCCCTGTGCATGGCTGGGTGTGACCAGAAAGCAAAAAAAAAAGTAGCTGATCTAAAGGGAAAATCATCGCTAGCTTTGACCCTCCATCTTCCTTCCCTCTGCCACAGCTCCTAGCAGTGATCCTGAAGGTCACCTTTGCAGTGGGAGAGGGGCTTGATCCTCCTAAGCACTCCAGATATTAGTATCTAGAATCATTATTCCCGGTTTTCAGAGAAAGCTGAGTCACAGGAAGGTTAAGGTCACATGGTTGGAACATGTGGCAGATGGAAGCTTGACCCTAGATCCAGTGATACTCATGGGTAGTCTGAGTATGTCCACCTGACCTGACCCTGCAGGACACTGAAGGGCCACCCAGCCCTGCTGACTCTGCAGATGAGGGACAGCTGGAGCGTTAAAACTGGTATCTCCAATCCTGACCTCGATCTTGTCCCATTGGCTGTGTACAGTTATGGGACACACGGTGCCAGGAATCCGGTACTATCTTCCCAGCCCCTCTGGGAAGTACTTTCTGTTTATTTGTTTATTTATTGGCAAACCCCAGTGATTTCAGGGCTTACTTCTGGCTCTGTGCTCAAAGATCACTCCTAGTGGGCCTAGGGGACCATATGTGGTACTGAAGAAAGAATCTGGGTGGGCCATGTGAAAGGCAAGGGTCATACCCATTGGACCATTGCTCTGGTCCCTTGTAAGTACTTTCTTATTCCATCTCCTCCCACTCCTGTTTTCACCTGGAGCAACAGTTTGTAATGATGCTGATGTTCTGGGGTCCATCAGATTCTTTTACATTTATTAATTTTACTGTCACTGTCACTGTCACTGTCCTCCCGTTGTTCATTGATTTGCTCGAGCGGGTCCAATAACATCTCCATTTTGAGACTGTTGTTACTGTGTTTGGCATATCCAATACGTCACGGGTAGCTTGCCAGGCTCTGCCATGTGGGCGAGATACTCTCGGGCTCTCCGAGAGGGGCAGAGGAATCGAACTCGGGTCAGCCATGTTGGCTGCATGCAAGGCAAATGCCCTACCGCTGTGCTATCACTCCATTTTAATAATTAGTAAAGATTATTTACTAATTTACTAATTTATTTTGCTAATTAATTTTTTTATTGAATCACTGTGAGATATACAATTATAGAACTATTCATGTTTGGGTTTCAATTATACTATGTTCCATTACCCATTCTTCCATCAGTGTACATTTTCCACCACCAATGTCCCCAATATCCCTCCTGCTACCCCCCCCAACCCCCTTGCCAGCCTGCCTTTATGACAGGCTCTTTTCTTCTGTCTCTCTCTTTCTCTGCCTCTCTGTCTCTTTCTGTCTCTCCCTCCTTCCCTCCTTTTAGGAATTATGATTTGCAATACAGATACCGAGAGACTATCATGTCTGGTCCCTTACCTACATATTTCAGAATGCAGTTCTTATTCAGAGTGATCCTTTCCAACTATCATTGTTATAGTGATCCCTTTTCTATCACAGTTGCCTTCTAACCCAGCATTCCCCGAGGCTTCCAACTGTGGACCAATTCTCCTGCTCCTTGTTTCTACTGTCTTTGGGTATTAGTCTCATACTCTGTGTTTCTATGTTCCACAAATGATTGCAGTCATTCTGTATCTGTACCTCTCCTTCTGACTCATTTCAGAAGATACTCAGCATGATACTCTCCATGTCCATCCATTTATAAGCAAATTTCATGACTTAATTTTTCCTAACAGCTGCATAGTATTCCATTGTGTAGATGTACCATAGTTTCTTTAACCAGTCATCTGTTCCCAGGCACTTGGATTGTTTCCAGAATCTGGCTATTGTGAATAGTGTTGCAATGAACATAGACGTGAAGATGGCACTTATATTTTGTTTTTGCCCCTTAGGTATATTCTCAGAAGTAGCTTTATTGGGTTATAAGGAAGCTCATTTTCTAGTTTTTTGAAACATGACCATATTGTTTTCCAACCAGGCTGGACCAGCCAACATTCCTCCTGACCAACAATGAATGAGTCCCTTTCTCCCCAGCACTGGTTGTTCTTGTTCTTGATCTTTTTGATCTGCACCAGTCTCTATGGTGTAAGATGATATCTCATTGTTGTTTTGATTTGCATCTCCCCGATGATTAGTTATGTGGAGCATTTTTCCATGTACCTTTTGGCCATATGTATTTGTTCTTTTAAGAAGTTTCTGTTTATTTCTTCTTCCCATTTTTTTTGTGGGGTTAGATGTTTTTCTTGTAAAATTCTACCAGTGCCTTGCATATCTTGAAGATTAACCCATTATCTGATGGGTATTGGGTAAATAATTTTTCCCATTCTGTGGTCTGTCTTTGTATCTTGGTCATTATTTCTTTTGAGGTGCAGAAGCTTCTTAGTTTAATGTAGTCCAGTTTGTGTATCTTTTCTCCCACTTGCTTGGGCATTGGTGTTGCATCCTTAAAGATGCCTTTAGCTTCAGTATGATGAAGGATTCTGCCTATATTTTCCTCCATGTCCTTTATGGATTCATGTCTGATGTTGAGCTCTTTAATCCATTTTGATTTGACTTTTGTGCCTGGCATTAGAGCGAGGTCTGAGCTCATTATTATTATTATTATTATTATTATTTTTGGCAAGTAGTTGCCTAGTTTTCCCAGCACCATTTGTTGAAGAAAGTTTCCTTGCTCCACTTCACGTTTCTTGCTCCTTTATCAAAGATTAAGTGATCATCTATTTGAGGGTGTGTGTCAGGATATTCAAATATATTCCATTGGTCTGCAGCTCTGTCTTTATCCTAATACTGTTCTGATTTAATTACTGCTGCTTTGCAGTATGGTTTGAAGTTGGGAGAGGTGATACCTCCCATTTTATTTTTTTCCCAAGGATTGCTTTAGCTGTTCGTAGGGGTTTATTTTTTCTGGACCATGAATTTCAGTAGTGCTTTATTTATTTCTTTGAAAAATGTCATGGGTATACTTATAGGTACCACATTGAATCTGTATAATGCTTTGGGGAGTATTGCCATTTTGGCAATGTTAATCCTCCCAATTCTTGATCGGGTGCTGTGTCTCCATTTTATTGTGTCCTCTTTTATTTCTTTAAGTAGTGTTTTGTAGTTTTTTTCCTTCCTTCCTTCCTTCCTTCCTTCCTTCCTTCCTTCCTATTTCTTTCTTTCTTTCTTTTTTGTAGTACAGAGGTTTTCTTCACCTCTTTAGTTAAGCTGATTCTGAGGTACTTGATTTTTTGAGGCACAATTGTGAAGAGGATAGTTGTTTTTTTTAACTTTTGGGTCAGACCCGGCAATGCACAGGGGTTACTCCTGGCTCTGCACTCAGGAACTACTCCTGGCGGTGCTGGGGGACCATATGGGATGCTGGGAATGGAACCCGGGTCGGCCGCGTGCAAGGCAAATGCCCTACCCGCTGTGCTATTGCTCCAGCCCGAGGGGATAGTTTTTTTTTTTTAAGCTCTCTTTCATTATTTGTATATAGGAAAGCCATGGACTTTTGGTTATGGATTTTGTAATCTGCCACTTTACTATATAAACCTATTGTTTCTAGGAAGTTTTTTTTTTTTTGTAGAGTATCTAGGGTTTTCTAAGTATAGTATCATTTTATCTGCAAATAGTGATAGCTTGATTTCTCCCTTTCCTATATGGATGCCCTTGATATCTTTTTCTTGCCTAACTGCTATGGCAAGTAATTTCGGTACTATATTGAATAAAAATAGCGACAGTGGACACCCTTACCTTGTGCCTGATCTTAGAGGGAAATCTTTCACTTTTTCCCCACTGAGAATAATGCTTGCTGTGGGCTTCTTTTAGATACCTTTAGCGGTCAGTCTAGAGAGTGTCCATCCAAGGCACACAGATTAGTTATCAAGCCAGGATTTTTAAAAAATTTATTTTAAATACTTCATAAATTCTCTGGGCTGGAGCGATAGCACAGCGGTAGGGCGTTTGCCTCACACGCGGCCAGCCTGGCCAAGCCGGGTTCTATTCCTCTGCCCCTCTCAGAGAGCCCAGCAAGCTACCTAGAGTATCTCGCCCGCCCAGCAAAGCCTGAAGAAGCCAGGATTTAACCAGAAACCTTGTTTGTTTGTTAACAAGTGGTGACCCCCTGCACTGTTAATAGCATTTGTGAAATTCATTTTTATACTTGTAGGACAACTCAGCGCTGCAGGAGCTGCAGGAGGAGTCAGTCTTCTTTCGGGAAAGATCAAGAAACCTAAGGTGTTCGTGACAGAGGGAAAAGATGTCGCTCTGACTGGGATATGTGTGTTCTTCATCAGGACTGACACTTCCAAAGCCATCACCCCTGAGAACATCCACCGGGTAAGGGCCGTGTGATCCTTCACCCCAAATTACCAGATTCACAACCACCACTTGCACAACCGCAACCCCTAACTCCAGGAAGTCTTTTAAAAACACTGCCAGTAAACAACAAAGAGGGCATTTCTTTATGATCTGAGGGCCTAAGACTTAATTTATTCACAAAAATTAATATATCAGTAGTGTCATTGATGTCACAGTAGGTCTTTCCTTTTGAAAGACATCTCCACATGTATTTTATTAATGGAACATTTCATATGTTTAAAATATGATTTGAAAAAGTGGATTTTTTTGGTACAAAGTAAAATATATCTATGTTTCCTCTGTTTTTATTGGGTCTGTTACTTGCTTTGAGCTATAAACTGATGAACATTATGTTTACTTCATGGTTGCATTTGGATAGAAGTTTAGGAAAATATAGAGCTTATCTGAAACTCGGTGTCAAAATAATTTATTGGAGTAAAAAAGACCGAATATAAAAGTGAGCAACGGCCAGACCATATAGCTGGGTAAAACTTTGACCCACAATCTCATCTACCTGCCCAGGAAACTAACCCCTTATCTATAATAACTAGTCCAGGTAACCAGCCTACAATGCCAAACTTGCAAAACACTATCCAGGAAGTTAAACGGTAACTCCTGTAAGGGTTGGCTGAAATGGCCAAGACTTGATTGATGACTGACAGCTTCTCTAATTCACCTCCACTGTTTCCAACTCAGCACCAACCAGAGAATGCTATTGTTGACCTTCTTACCACACACCCAAGACCCCTTGATTCTAGCTGATCCTCCCTCAGATTCCTCAGTCCAACAGCCTCCTACCAGGGCAACAGGCTTCATTGGTACATGTGCTTTTTCGGTTGTTTTTGAGATACTTTCAGTCGTGCTCGGGACTGCTCTTGGCTCCATGCTCAGAGATCACTCCTGGAAGGGCCCCCTTCCTGGTCAGCCACGGGCAGGACCAGCATCCTACCTACTATATATCACTCCAGCCCAACAGAACTTTTTTTTTGTTTTGTTTTTGGATCACATTCACAGTGCTCAGAAATTACTCTTGGTGGTACTTGGGGGACCATGTGGGATGCTGGGGATTGAACCTGGGTTGGCTGCGTGCAAGACAAATGCCCTACCTATGTACTATTGCTCCAGCCACCATCCAGCCTTCCTTGGTTTCTACAATGAAGCTCTTCATCTTCCGCCTGCATTGGGGTCTATGGAAACGCCAGTGATGGTGGCCAACTCCATTGCTGTATCATTAACTCAGAATAAACTGCCTTTGCTTTTCCATTTGGTTAATTTTCATTTCCCTCCCCCCACCCCCGGGAGATACTGGGTTAGCAATGATACTCAGAAGTAATATAGCAGTTGAGTTGCAGTCAAGGGCATTGTCCCCAGGAAAGCTTTATTCATCTATTTCCAGGATGTGAGCTTTAACATGTTGGACACGGCCGATGGCGGCCTGCTCAACAGTGTGAGAAGTTTGCTGTCAGACATCTTCCTTCCTGCTCTCAGGGCCTCGAGCCACGGCTGGGGCGAGCTTGGGGGTCTTCAGGAAGCATCCAGCATTCAGCAGGAGTTCCTGAGCTCTCTAGAAAGCTTTGTGAATGTGCTGTCAAGTGCTCAGGAGAGCCTGAAGGAGAAGGTAAGAGCACGGAAGGCCATCCTCCAGGGATCACTGGTGCATGAGTGCTTGCAATGTCTCAGTGTAGGAGACATCCGTCGTTTTGACTCCTAGCTCACAGGTCATGAGGAGAGCCTAGGGGCAAGTTGCCTGTGCCTGCAAGGTTTGTGGTGAGCGGCTTAAGTCTCTGAAATTCTAGTGATACATGCACTGGGACCCCACAGAAAGTTTGGCCAAGATCTTGGGCCTGACTTTGGCCTGGGAGATGCTTGGATGGAAGGAGAAACAAATAAATGCTTGTGGCATTGCTCTGCAGCCTAAAAGGAAAGAAATTTGGAACTGAAGTAGGTAGAGATGGAAGCATTTATTTCCTGTCACATCGGGTGTTGTTACTGGCTCCATGCTCAGGAATCACTCCTGGTGGGCTTGGGAGTGCTGGAGATCAAACATCAGTCAGCCACATGCAAAGCAAATACCCTCCCCACTGCACTATTGCTCAAATCTATTTCTCGTTGAACTTGCTATCTATAAAGGATGGATGCTACTAAAGTCATGAGGGTCATTCCTCTGGCTGATTTAAAAGGTTAATGTGATGGAATAGATGCTCTACCCTCTTCTACACTTTGGAGCACTCCCATTTTCATTGGCGTTTAGAAGCTGACTCTTTCATTTCCAAATTCCCTATTAATTTTCATATTCTGTAATGTTTCAGTCTTTTTTTCTGGGTCACTCTTCGCTTCTTTTGACCCAAACTGGGATGTTAGTCTCTCTCATAATTGAGTGACATTTTCAATATATAGGGGACCCTATATCTCATTCCTACTTTGGACAAACTTGCAGGCTATCGAATGTAGCCTGCCCACAGGGCAGAGTCTGGCAAACTCCCCGTGGCGTACCAAATATGCCAAATACCAGTAACAATGATGGGTCTCATTCTCCTAAAGAGCCTTGAATGTAATCTCAGGTTAGGATGAAAGAGACGTTACTGGGGCCTGCTCGAGGCAATCGACGAATAACAGGATGATGAAATGAAAAATGAAAAGGGGACCCTGGGCATTATGGATCTTACCCTGTTTCCCAGATCTTCTGTTTAGGGAGCAAGATCGTTTAGACTTGAAGGAGGCTCTTAACCTGCTTCTTAATGTGGTGTCAGTATGTGTGTGTTTTAGAAATTCATCTTATTTAACTTTCATTCATGTAGGTGAACTTTCAAAAGTGTGACATTTTTGAACTAAAAACCCTGAAGGAACCAACAGACTATTTGACTCTAGCTAATAATCCTGAGACTTTGGAAAAAATAGAAGGTTGTATGAAAGTATGGATCAAACAGACGGAACAGGTAATTTTCAGAAACCAAATGTTAGTTTCAGAACTACTTTACTCAACTAGCCAGTGGTGGATATCATATTGTATTCCTGTTTGCCCAAGTATTTTATCTCAAATCCTAAAATAAAAGTAGGCGATTTAAGGTGGTTTTAATTTTTGGTGATTAGCTAGAAAGGACGAGTAAGAATTCTAAAGATGAATGTAATGACTTTATATACTTTTTGTCACTAGAGAATTGCGTGATGTCAATTTTTCTCAGTATTTCTTTTACCTTGGAAAGAATCTCTGTAGAAATACAAGGGATTTATGTTTCAGTACATCTTACAAAAGTGAATTTGAGACTGAATTAGAATAAAATCCTCAGAAAAGTCCTCAATGAAGTGATAAATGCATAGAAAAGAAAAAGTGAAAAAAAAAAAACCTAGAATAAGACCAAGGGCTTTAGGCCTGAGAGCTTTCCAAAATTTTTATTACTTTAAGGTTATATAGTAAGTATATAACCTTCAGGGTAACTTCCTATGAAAGCTTTTCAATAAGCAGTTTTCCATCATAATAAGTCAGTTACATTTTTGTTGAAGGGATAAAAACAGAAACATGTTAAATTAGCTCATGGATGCCATTCAACAGATATATAGGTCACTGTCATTGTCACTGTCCTCCCATTGTTCATCGATTTGCTCAAGCGGGTCCAGTAACATCTCCATTGTGACAATTGTTACTGTGTTTGGCGCATCGAATATGTCACGGGTAGCTTGCCAGGCTTTGCTGTGTGGGTGAGATACTCTTGGTAGCTTGCTGGGCTCTCCGAGAGGGGCGGAGGAATCGAACTTGGGTCGGCCGTGTCGTACACGTGCAAGGCAAATGCCCTACCCGCTGTGCTGTTGCTCGAGCCCGGATGTATATCACTTATCACTTAAAGTGATAAAAGTATTCATTATTTCGACAAAAGATGTACCATTTTTATTTGAAATTTCCCCCCAATAATCAGACCTGCTGAAAAGGTATCAATGAAATAATTTGTTTTCTATTGTTGTTTATGAAGAGTATATGATTGCGGCCACGTGATTTTGGATTTCTGATATTTTACTAATTAAGTCTGGAGGGATTTCTGCCAAAAGCCTCAGAGTTCTGAGATTGGTTTGTGTGCCTCTGGGGCCATGATCGTGCTGGAGAGCTGCTTGGGGGGGGGGGGGGCGGGGGCAGCTCGTGGTCTTGGGGCGGGAAGGACTTGCCAGTTCCGCCTCCATCCCATGAGGCCACAGTTGCCCCGTCACCACCAGCTCATACCCGGCTGTCCAAAAGGCTCTGAGATGGCGGCCACCGTGCCACCGGGGGGTGGGGAAGGTGGAAGAGACAGACACCCTTTCCCTCCTGGGGGGTGGGGCACAGCGCCGTAGCTTAATGCATAGTTCATTCACATTTTTGCCAAAAGCTGCTGGGTTCCGAATTAAGTTCGTGTGCTTCTGGGGCCATGGCCGTGCCAGAGAGCTGCTCGTGGGGGGCAACTCTTGGTCTCGGTGGGACGGGAAACAAATTTCAAATTTCTTATGTGTGTTTATAGGTTCTTGCTGAAAACAATCAGCTGAGAAAGGAAGCAGATGACCTTGGACCCCGAGCAGAGTTGGAGCACTGGAAGAAGAGGCTTTCCAAATTTAACTACCTTTTGGATCAATTGAAAAGCCCAGATGTTAAAGCTGTGTTGGCGGTTCTTGCTGCTGCCAAGTCAAAACTTCTGAAGGTTGTCAATCTTGTCTTTTTTCCTCTATGGGAAGAAATGACAAATCTCAATGCTATCTCTAATCAAAGAATAGTAGGATCAGAAAAATGTTATCATTCCTCTTTGAAAAATCATTTAAGATCAAATATCATTATTTTTGTGTACTCTTTGAGTCTGTGGAATTAGGCTTTGAATTAAAGAGTGTGTTGGCTAGTTTTCATGCATGTATATTACAGAGCATTGTTTAGACTATGATGTAATATATTTTAATCAATATTTTTAGTTAATATATTCATATATCAATACTGATATATGAATATATCACATAGTCTTAAATATATGTGAATTTATATGTAAATATATCTGTAAATTCAGACTGAGTAGAAATAGTGAAAACTTGCATGATATTTTTTGTAAACTTCTGAAATATGAGTTTTATATTGCTATGTAATGAATGAAAACTTAATTATTGAAACAGTAAACAATTATTGTCTCATGGTATATGGTTCAGGAATTGAGTGCAGCTTAGCAGGGGGCCCCTACCACAAGTTCTCTCATGAGGTCAAAGTTGGGGCATTGGTTGATCTGCAGGCTCAGCCGGGGAAGATCTGCTTCTGGTTGCTCTTGTGGTTGCTGTAGGATTCGGCTTCTTGCTGTCTGACAACTATTGGCTTCCTTCAGTTCCTTACAAAACTGGCTTTGTGTAGGGTGACTCCCATCATGGTGACTGGCTTCCCGTAAAGGGAGTAAGAAGAGCCGGCAAGCGAGTACCCAACAAAGAAGACATTCTCTCTTGGCAAACTAACTCCCATAAGTGACATCCCATTACTACTGGAAGTTGGTTTCCAAATTCGACAGGGAAGCCGGGAGACTTGGAAATAGGCAATCAGAGTCCCAGGTCCCTGGGGATTGTTGTAGAGGCTGCTCATCACTCCTTATATTGATGCTACAAAAACACAAGTACTTATTAGCTATTTGTTTTGATGTTTCAGTGCATGCAAACAATTTGAATGATCAAGAATAAATGATCTTAGTACCTGTGTCTTAGATTGACTTCTGCCATTATTCAAATAAATGCACAGCGGTAGGGCATCTGCCTTGCACGCAGCCAACATGGCCGACCCGAGTTCGATTCCTCCACCCCTCTCGGAGATCCCGGCAAGCTACCGAGAGTATTCGATATGCCAGACACAGTAACAACAAAGTCTCCAATGGAGACGTTACTGGGCCTGCTCGAGCAAATCAAATAAATGCATCCATTTTATTGTGGTACTGTTCCACCATATTCTGTTGGATGGTCATAAAGTGAATCCAGTATGTTGATTCGTGTTCACTCATTTCCTCTGGTTCTTCCCAGTTTTAGATATTTTTTCATTTTACAGTACCTAGCTTAAAGCACAGTCATGGAATAATGGCACTATTTATAGATGGGCAGAAATATAGGGATTAGGGAAAGGAAGTTCAGGTTTGAAAAGAGGGAAGGTAGAAAAATCTGGGAATATGGTGCAGAGCGTATCCATTCGCCGGCAGAGCGGGAGGAGGTGTCGGCAGAGCGAGGGCACTGTTCTCAGGAGTCTCGTTCCTAGTTGCTGAGCAGATTTTATAAGAGAAGACCCGGAAGACCTACCTTTAGCAGTTAGCCCAAAATTATACATTGCTTTTCACGGTGTCTTTACTTTTCTGAAATGAGGCCTGTGAGCTGCTCAGATCAGAGTGAAGTCTGTCTCTGGGGAATGTGGCGACCCATGGAAGTATTAGGTTGGAAGCTCTTCTGTCAATAGTTGTGTTAAAATTGTTTTCCTGGATTGTGCTTAGATTTGGCGGGAAATGGATCTCCGAGTCACTGATGCAGCTAATGAAGCAAAGGACAATGTCAAATACTTGTACACACTGGAAAAGTGCTGTGACCCCTTGTATAGCAGCGACCCTGTGAGTCAGAGCTCTTTGCTTTCTTAATACAAGGATGCTTCTCCAGCTGAGCCGAAGGTTTGGTTCACAGATATCATCATGTGTTGGAAAAGTCTTAAAACCATTTTTTTTATTCTCAAGAAATTTATATACGTTACATGTGCAATTGTAACACATTACTGTCACCACGTGTCATTTAGAGAATATATGTATGCAGTATTTTATTAAATATGTATCAAGCATCTTATTTTCCGTTAAATGTTATAATTGACATATGAACAATACTCAGATGTGGGGGAAAGTCATTGACTGATTTTTTTTAATTTCTAGGAAGTGTCTACTTTTATTTGTTATAAAATTATGTTTTATCATGTTTTATAAATCATTAATAGAAAGTTGACCGTTTTTTCACTGGAGCAAAATTTTATTAACTGCATATGACAAAAATTTTCCTATATATGTTTGTTATAAAATATAAGATATTAAAATTAATTTAAACAAAACCCTTAGCTCAACTTTATTCTAATAAAGATTGATTAGACTATTAGAGTTTGGCTGAGTTTGGTATTTATTTTCTTAAAAACATTTGTTATATTTTTCAGATATCTATGATTGATGCTATTCCTACACTTATCAATGCAATTAAAATGATATATAGTATCTCTCATTACTATAATACATCTGAGAAGATCACATCTTTGTTTGTAAAGGTAAGTGTGTACAGCAGAGTCCTTGGTCACCTATATTTATTGGTCACTGAGCAATTTCTTATAATTAGATATACCACTTTGGTGTGTTCTGTCAGTGAGACCTACAATAATAATAATTTTCAAAAAAGCCAAATTTCTCAGTAAAGATAGAAATAATTACATACAAGAGGCAGATTCTATTAAATCATAAAGCATTATTTTTTGAAGTAACAATAAAAATCATATTAAATACTTATATAATACATAATAAAAAGATTCTTTTTGGAATTTCTTTTTCCATGCCATTTAGTATATTACATACTCATGTTTAGTAAATTTTAACTAAGAAGAAAAATATATGACTATCTTCTATTTCATATTTTATATGCCACGGTTACACATCCATTCGATGCCACAGTTGTTTACTTGATGTTATTAGAACAGTAATTGTGGCAATAAAAGTCACTTGCCACGTTCCAGTAATCCATAAAGCAATTATAATGATTCTGCCAAGAAGCTTAATGATGCTAAAACCTTATGTCCTAACTCATGAGCGTTTATGGTGAGCATTGTTGCCTCCTTCATTCTGAGCAGTCTCTAAGAAGTAAATGACTTTTTCATTACCAAAGCAAAAATTTTAATGCTGTGATTCAAGTAGAGGCAATTCCAGCACCCCGGGACCCACGCTGTGAATACGAATGCAGCAGGAGTGAGGATTCTGGCTGGGGGCAGGGCTGTCCAAGTTCACAAGCTCGGCTTGGAGAGAAGCGCCTCTGTTCTTGGGCTCGTGTAGAAAAGGGAGAATCTCTGAGATCTCCTTCCCAGCTTTACTCTTCAGTATGACATATTAGCATCCTGGGGGAGCTTCTCCGTGTAGAAGACTCAAAAGTTGGTTTATATCATGACTCCAGACTCCACGTGGACTGTTTCCAAGTTTTACTTTTGAACAAGAGTATAAAAATATCATCTATCTAATTAAAAAGTAGCTTTTGCATTGGAAAACTTGAAGCAGACACAAAAGGAAAAAGAATCATATTGCATGTCATCTAGTTTTAGTGACCTCCAGAGTGCAGCCAGCCTAGTGTCATATTCCCAACCCGTCTTGCAAACCCATGTATGATTCTGTTGTCCAGTTATCCTGTGATTCGTGTTTTCAAAACTCTTAAGTATAAATTTTTATTTATTTATTTTTTAATTTTTATTATTATTTTTTTAACTTTCATTAGTGAGACACCATGAGGTACAGTTGTAGACTTACACATTTTGTGCTTGGGTTTCAATTATACAACGATCAAATACCCGTCCCTCCACCAGTGCCCATTTTCCACCACCACGGGTCCCAGTGTCCCTCCCACCCCCCATCTGGAGAGTTTTCAGCGGTTCTCAGAGGCTGTTCCTGGCTATGTGCTCATAAATGACGCTTGCTGGTGCTCAGGGGAATATGTGTGGTGTGGGGGATTGATTTGTTTGGCGTCATGCAAGGCAAGTGCGTTAACCCCTGTACTTTTCCTTTTAATTTGTTCATACAAACAAACACAAGAAAATTCTGTTTGTTTTTTTTTAATTTGGAGGACTGAATAAGATGTAATTGGTCACATGTACTATGACTGTATTCTTCTCTCTTTTGCCTTCTTATTTTGACATTTCTGCTGTAGAACCTGGTATCCTGAAATGATCGGTTACACAGTTACACAGTTAGACATGGTACTTGGAGCTACCTAAGAACTTAATTTAGAAACTGACTCTGAACAGTTTTTGGGTGTTTTGCTTGTTAAGTTTTCACTTAAGACACTCATCCTGCATTCCCAAGGGGGCCTGAATTGTTGATGGTGCTTCCAATGCTGTGATTTGATGAGTGACTTTGACAAAACTTATGTACAATCTAAAAAAAGTTAAAAGTAGCACAAAGTGGAATAGTGACTAGCAGACTGAGGAGTGAGTAAAATGAGCAAGTGTTGGTAAAACTTGCAGCTCTCACTTTTTAGATGAATAATTTTGGGCAGTCCAACATACAGCATAAGGACCATTGCAAATAATCTGTGTTGTATGTTCAAAAGGTTGCTTAGAGAGTAGCATAAGATTCCTAAACACAAACACATACATATGGTGGTAGCTATTCAAGGTGACAGGTGTGTTAGTTAACATGAATGAGGTTTTATTTCATCATATATATTTATCAAATAATCACATTTAATATCTACAGTTTAATTTTGTATCTCATGGTGATGCATTAAAAAATATAAGCCCTGAAAAAATGAATTTGATTTTTAGTTACCACTCAGTGAAATTGGATTAAAAATGTTTGTGCTGAGGCTGGAGAGGTAATATTGCTATATTATCTCTCCAGCCTCAGTACAAACATTTTTAAGGGTAAGGCACTGCCTTGCATGTGGCCAACCCAGATTTGATTCTCAGCACTCCTGAGTCTTGCTACGAGTGATCCCTGACTAGCACTTTTGTGGCCCCAAAATAAAAAAAGCTTTGTGCCTGATTAGAGTTGTTAAGGGAAAATAAAAATCTCATCAACACTGAAGTTCATATTCATAGGTTGTATACTCAGAGGTAGAGAGTTAAAAATTCTCATCTAATCGATGAATGATAGATGTTTTATGGATTTTGTTTTATTGGAAAATTCTAGGTAACAAACCAGATGATATCTGCATGTAAAGCCTATATTTCTAACAGCGGTACAGTTTCCATCTGGAGTCAGCCCCAAGATGTTGTTATGGAAAAAATTTTATCTGCAATTAAACTTAAGCAGGTAATGACCAGCTTAATAATAATGGTTGGCTTAATAACACAGTCAGACAATGTTCTATAGTTTTATGTTGTTTTTGTTGACACATCTTCAGTCATTTTGTAATTACAATGCTGGTTGCTAAAAATAACAGTATTTAAAAATTTTAGTCTTACTTGTTGATGTCACATTGGGTAGTAGGCATGTGAATTCTGTGCTTTAGGAGATAATGTTCTCACATCAGGTCGAAAATACCCAGAAGTACTCAACCCCTTCGCCAGCGTGCATGGAACCCTCCATCTCTCATGCTTTTCCCGATGTCACTTCTAGGACAGTAGTTTCCTCAGTGCATGGAAAATTGTTAACAAACTTGCTCCCAACTTTATTCACCTAATTCCACTTTTATGTGGGGGGTGGGGTCTCTCCTACATTTTAAGTTTACTCTAATCACTGGAGATAGAAAGAGACAGATCATTTTTCATCTGTTTTTAAAATGGAGGATAGCCCAGTGGGTAGGGCGTTTGCCTTGCACGTGGCCAACCCAGGTTCGATTCCTCCGCCCCTCTCGGAGAGCCCGGCAAGCTACTGAGAGTATCCTTCCCGCACTGCAGAGCCTGCCTGGCAAGCTACCCGTGATGTATTTGATATGCCAAAAACAGTAACGACAAGTCTCACAATGGAGACGTTACTGGTGCTTACTCGAGCAAATTGATAACAATGGGAGGACAGTTCTTCAGTGCTTTTAATTTTTTTTTTTATGTAGGAGTACTGCTATTTATTCAGCCACTGATGAGGCTGATTGAATTGTGCATGAACTCCGCCTTACCTTTTTTCACCATTTTTTATAATTTTATTTATTGAATCATCGTGAGAGCAGTTACAAAGCTTTTGGGTTTAATTCTCAGTCATACAATGAAACACCCGTATCTTCACCAGTGCCCACTATCCACCACCAGAATCCCCAGAATACCCCCATCCCACACTCTCCCCCTACTAATGGGGCAGATGATTTCCAAATTACTCTCTCTATACTTTGATTACACTCAACATTTCAACACCGCACACACCATTATTATTTGGGATTTTACCCCAACACTCAGATCTGCCAAAAAGGCAACAGTAAACAATTTGTTTTCTATTACTGGTTATGAATAACATATGATGCCGCATGGCTGCAGCAGTGGCCACACGATTTTGAAATTCCGAAATTTCAACAATTAAATCTGGAAGGATTTCTTGCCAAAACCTGCTGGGTTCTGAGATTTGTTCTTAAGTCTCTGGGATCATGGCCATTAAGCAGCTTGATCAGGAGCCAGAGAGGCTGTTCATGGGCGGTGACTCGTGGTCTGGTTGGGATGGGGAGTAAAGGGCCGGCTCCACCTCCATCCCACGAGGCCCCGCGTGTCTCTTCACTGCGGGCCCAAACCCGACTCTCCAATGGCCTCTGGAGGATGGCGGCCACCGAGCCATCAAGGGGGAGCTGGCAGAGGGACAGCACTCTTTCCCCCTGGAGTGGCTCAGCGACAGCAACCTACTGCACAGTCTGGACGCATTTCTGCCAAAAGCCGCTGGGTTTCAAGATTTGTTTCTGAGTCTCTGGGATCATGGCTGTTAAGCAACTTGATGAGGAGCCAGAGAAGCCATTTGTGAGCTGCGACTCGGGGCCTCGTTGGGATGGGGAGGAGCCGGCCCTTTCCTCCCCGTCCCAACGAGGCCCATCCTCACCATCCTGTGAGGCCCCGTATGTCTCACCACTGAGGGCCCAAACCTGACTGTCTAGTGGCCTCTGGAGGATGGTGGCCACCGGGCTGCCAGGGGGAACAGGCCAAGACACAAAACCCATTCACACCTGGGGTGGCCCAGTGCCGGTAACTTACTGCAGGGACCGACGCATTTCTGCCAAAAGCTGTTGGGTTTCGAGATTTGTTTGAGTCTCTGGGATCATGGCCATTAAGCAGCTTGATCAGGAGCCAGAGAGGCCATTTGTGGGTGGCGACTCGGGGTCTCATTGGGACATGGAGGAAAGGGCCGGCACTCAACCCCCATACCGTGAGGCCCCGAGTGTCTCATCACTTTGGGCCCAAACCTAACTGTCCAGTGGTCTCTGGAAGATGGCAGCCACCGAGCCACCTAGGGGGGTCAGGCGGAGGGACAACACCCGTTCCCCCCTGGGGTGGCCCGGCAACAGTAACCTACTGTGTGGTCCACACGCATTTCTGCCAAAAGCTGCTGGGTTTCAAGATTTGTTTCTGAGTTTCTGGGATCATGGCTGTTAAGCAGTTTGATCAGGAACCAGAGAGGCCATGCCTCCAGTTATATAGCTGAGCCGGAGGTGGTTTGTGGGTGTGTCTCCCACATACCTCACTTTTGGCCGCTTGCTTTCTTGGTAAACTGCCCTAAGTTTTTGGGGTCTGGCCAAAGGTACAGCAGCAATTTTGGGGTATCTGGAAGTCTGAAGGTGCCATCAGGCTGCTGATGCACTCGCCTCACAGGTACAGATTGACCTGCTGGTGGCACCATTCCCCCTCCAGTGCTTTTAGAATGTTAACCAGCCGTTGTTCCCGTACTCTTCACTTGCCAAGCGGTCATGTTTCAGGTGCACATCTTCGTCCTCTGTATGAGGTTTGTTCCGCCGTGCAGTTCTATGCATTGCACTCAAAGCGCCCACCTGCCCGCTTCTCCCCAGCTCACTTACCTTTCTCCCTGATGACTCCACAGTTTTCACAGGCTGAGTGATTTTTATGTGTTTTGTGAATTTCTGTGTTTGGTTATTTATTTGCCACATGTGAGTAGAACTATCCAATTGTCTTTCCCTCCCCAACTTAGCACTTAGACTTCCATACTTGTTGTTCAAAAAGGCATGATTTTTATCTTTTTAATATCAGTCACAGTCACAGTCACGCTCCTCCCATTGTTCATCGATTTGCTCGAGCGGGCCCAGTAACGTCTCCATCATGAGACTTGTTACTGTGTTTGGCATATCGAACACATCACGGGTAGCTTGCCAGGCTCTGCCGTGTGGGCGAGATATTCTCGGTAGCTTGCCGGGCTCTCCAAGAGGGGCAGAGGAATCGAACTCGGGTCGGCCATGTTGGCCGCTTGTAAGGCAGATGCCCTACCGCTGTGCTATCGCTCCAACCCAACTATACAAACAACTGTTTGTTTTTTGGGCCTTAAAAATCGATTAATCATTAGTTTGTGACATGACAGAATCTCAAGGTTCTCACTTAATATCTCTTAATATCCCTTGTATTTAGTATTCAAGGAGTATTCTCTTTATCCAGTCATTTTTTGATGACTTATAGGTTGATTTCACATTTTAACTGTTGTAACATGTTGCTGTGAACATAGATGTGCATATCCAACTTTAGTGTTTTTAGTGCATATAAATTAGTGTTTACATACCTTTTGAGTAAATACCTAGGAGTGGTTATTGCTAGATCATGTAGTATTCTATTTTTTTGCCACACCCAGTGATGATCAGGCCTCACAGAAACTACTCCTGATGAGATTGGCGGCAGGGGTGGGGGTGCATATAGGGTCTAGGGTTTGAATTTGGGTCAGTGGTGCTCAAAGCAAGTGCCTTATCCACTCTACTATTGCTTCTTTTTCTGTTTTTAACACTGGTGGGTAACTCGCGGCAGGATTGGTGATGGAAATTTGGATGTCAAGATTCCAACTATGTATAATTTTGCAATTCATGATGCTTCAAAAAATTTTTAGAATAAAAGTGCTTCATATAGTTTTTCATAGAATCCGTGTCAGTAGCTGTCACAACAATGTCCCAGAGTACCTTGGAAGAAGACATAGTTTTCCTTGAGCTTCTTGTTGACGAATGTGGTGATAGACACAGTTAGACTGTTACAGATAGGGAGCCAGGGGGACAGTCTACACATTTGAGTTCCATGTTTAATAATTAGGAGTTTACTAGGTTGGAGCATGGGAAAAGAAGATAGCCCAGGCTGGTGGATGAAGAAATAAAAAGGCATAGATGGAAAATTTGGAGTTCTATTCTTGATCTGCTGTTGTCACTATTTAACAGAGGAAGGTTGATATGGAAGTCCATAGTAGATGGCAGAGCTATGTTCCCTTTCTATATTTTTATTTTTATTTTAAGGAATATCAGAACTGCTTTCATAAGATGAAACAAAAACTTCAACAAGATCCGAACGAAAAACAATTTGAATTTAGTGAGATGTATATTTTTGGAAAGTTTGAAACTTTCCACCGACGTCTTGCCAAGATAATAGACATTTTTACAACCTTCAAGACATACTCAGTCCTTCAAGATTCTAACATTGAAGGGTTGGAAGACATGGTTACAAAATATCAGGTATAGTACTTAAAAAATAATTCAAAATGAATCTTTAAGCTATAACTAATAATTTAATATTTTATATAAATATAAAGAATAAAAATAAATATATGTAAGGTAAAGGTAAAGGCCCTCCCGTTGATCATCGATTTGCTCGAGCGGGCCCAGTAACGTCTCCATTGGAGACTTTGTTGTTACTGTGTCTGGCATATCGAATATATGTATCTAGAATGATTAAATCTATAATATCAACATAAGCTCATATCCCTATACAGTACAGAAATTTAATTTATTGGATAGTTGTTTAATGGTGCTAGTATATTCTTTCCAAGTATATGATTATGAGAATGACTTTTGGTAGTTAAAATTAATCATCGTTAGTGAAAGCTTTCTCCTTAGTCCCACAAGAAAAATGTTTGGCTTATTTTGTTTATTCCTGTAAGCAAAATTTAATGACGCACGTACTGTGTGTCAGACTCTAGCTGACATGAGTTCTGATGGATATTGATTGTCTCTTCATTTACACACTTTATTTGAAAACAGGTAAAAAAATACGAAGGACCCAGACTGGATATTAGCTCTGCTATTTTGAATTATTTTATTTTTTAATTGCTTTATCCTTTAAAGGTATGTGGGACTCGTCTGAACTTACAGGATGACTAGTTGTAATGCCAGCAGTTCAGTGTGGCTGCCCCGGAAGTAAATCTCTACTTCTCTGTCCAGGTCTCCAGACGCTACCTGGTCTACCTGTTCCCCCAACTCCTCCATCCACCTGTGTTCTCCAGACACATGGAGAGCTTTTCTTTTTGGAAGTTTCTGCCTTTAGGCCACTCTGCAATAATATCCTCTTTGGCATCCCGACCCTGATTTGAACGACCTTCTCTGTCTCGTCCTAGTTACTCTAGAGGCGATTCTTTTGCTCCCGGAAAGGATCCTTTTGGGTGACTGCAGAGATTCTCTGCCCTCTCCCCACTCAGGATTAAGTTCCTAGGGACAAGGGCCTTTATCCCATTCCTGCATCTGTTTTCAGAATGAATGGCCCAGGATAGGCATGCAATAAATATCAGTGAAATAAATAAATAAGTGGATTGTTTAGTTGGATATGAATTAGTTATATAAATTCATGACTAAATAGATTGTTTAGTTGGTTATTATTTCTCACTATTGTTGTCATTACTCATTAGTTTCTTAGTGCTCTTTCTTAGTACTCCTTCTGGTTATTAAGTCCACCCATAGACAAGAAGCTTCTAAAGGCCTTGTGTCTGTTTAATGACCACATTAGAATGTAATGCGTTAGTTTTCCAGACTTCTTTTGCACATTTTCTTTGCTGCTATGGTAGTTCTGTATTCAGGTAATTTCTAAGTAGAACTGCTCCTATAGGCACGGGGTTTGGACATAGGTTATTTTTACTGGCAAACTTGATTCGAGAAGTGATGCACTTTTGTCTCTTGAGGGACTTAACTTGATGTTAAATGGAAATGACTTTGAAGAGGAGATTGTGGAAGGAGGCAGAACGTTCTTCATAAAAATTACATGCCTTTGTCAACAGTGCAGGCACCGAGTTTGACAATGGCTTAGTACCTGGCTAAAAGATCACAGAGCATTACAGTTCATTATTCAGAGCAAACAAAAATTCAGATAATAGTATTTTCAAGGAGATGAATTGCCTCATTTGTACTTTTGGAGTCACAGACAATAGCTTCACAGGGCAGGAGGAAGCAATTAATTCTAGAGTCAGTCTTTAAATGGTAGATTGTGGTTTGACATTTTGTTTAGACCTTTGATGCTTAGAATATAGTGTTTCACCTATAGATATTACAGTAACAGATACTAAATTGTTCAGTTCTTGTTTACTGAAAAGATAAACTTTTTTTATTTTTTGTTTTTCAGTGGAAAAGGCTAACAGTTTTTTTTTCTTTTTTTATTAGTGAAACACCATGAGGTACAGTTATAGACTTACAAATTTTGTGCTTGGGTTTCAGTTATACAATGATCGAGTACCCATCCCTCCACCAGTGCCCATCATCCACCACCACGGGTCCCAGCATCCCCCCCACCCCCCATACCCCCGTCCCACCCTGCCTCTGTGGCAGGGTATTCCCCCTTGTTCTCTCTCTCTTCTTTTGGGTACTGTGTTTTGCAAGAGAGGCCTTGAGTGGCAATCATGTTTGGTCTATAGACTACTTTTAGCATGCTTCTCCCACCCTGGGAGGGTCCTCACAACACTCTTTATTTGGTGCTCTCTTCTCTATCTGAGCTTCCTTTTCACCTAGCACGTGTGGCTGGCCTTCAAGTCATGGAGCAAAATTCCTGGTACTAATCTCGGCCACTCCTGGGTGTTAGTCTCCCTTTTTGTTGCTTTATGTTCCCCAGATGAATGCAATCTTTCTGTGTCTATCCCGCTCTTTCTGACTCATTTCACTTAACATGATACTTTCCATGTAGTACCACTTGTATGTAAATTTCATAACTTCAGAAAAGATAAACTTTTAATGAGAAATAGTTTGGTGAATTGTCATACAGTCCTTCGTTCTTTCTTCTTTTTTCTTCCTCTCCCCTTCCCTTCATTCACTGTTTTATAAGATGGCATTTTTATAGAAAATGTATCTTCTACTTTTCAGATTTTTAAAGTTTTTTTCTCCTCCTAAAGTAAGTAACACATCATGGAAATATTTTTCAAATGATTTCTTTGAATGCAGTAGTCAGCATTACACTGCTCTAACCAGCCTCAGCTGTGGGACCAAAGGAATAAGGCTCCTTTTATGTGGAGCTTTTGAGAATGATTGTTTCAGGTACTGCATTCAAAATCATATTTAATTAGGTAATGAGAGGACATTAAAATATTGTCTTATTTTTGAATAACATTTCAGGGTATTGTTGCCACCATGAAGAAAAAGGAATATAATTTCTTGGACCAGCGGAAAATGGATTTTGATGAAGATTATGAGGAGTTCTGCAAGCAGACTAATGACCTTCATGTAGGTTGTAGAATCCAGTTCCTGTTTGCAGCTGCCTGTTGATTTGCTTCCTCTCTGACTAATGCTACTCATCATTTCCATTCAGAGAGGACCGCGTGTTCATCCTGGAGGTGACGGCGGCGACCTCAGCCCGCATTCTGTGATTCTGCATTAATAATTGAAGGTTCTTTTTCAAGGATCAAAGGGTCATCGAGATAGATTTGGATAATGATCTGTAATCATAGACTTTACTCTTAGAAAATCTGCTTTCATCTTCCTTTGGAATATTGTGACTTTCTTCGAGGCTAGAAAGTGGTTTCCGTTTGTTTGCTACCTTGTCGCGACCCGAATGATCGTAGGTTAACTGAGGCAAATGATTGGTAGTGCTGGGTAGATTCCCTGGTGCGGCCTTAGAATAGTTAGTGGTAGCAGCGTTCATGCAGCACCCGGCCCTCTTTTCACCTTCAGCCCCTTGATCTCGTCCTGCTCCTGCCCCTCAGCTTCCCTCCAGCCTGCAGACAAGCCACCCTGACGTCCGGCCCCTAGCCCTGGTGCAAGTCCAGGGCACATTGTGTAAACACCAAGCGACTAGGGAGATCCCCACGGCTCTCTCGCCTCCTGCGTTTGGTGGTCTTGCGTTGCTCTCCCATCTGGGATGGCCAATGCCATGAGTGGATGAAGGAGGAAATGAGGGCCGTGCTGGTTGGTGATCAGTTGCCGTTTATTCCGTTCTCCCCAAGTGCCTGTTCCAGTCTTACTAAGCCCCTCGTTCCCATCTCCTCTTGTCTCTCCCGCTCATCTCTCCGTGCTCCATCTCCTCAGCCTGGTCTCTCTCTAGTCTCTCCCAAACTCCCCAGCATTGGGGGTAGCACAGTCAACATATCAAAAGCCCTTTCTGATCACTGATGAGGCTCAAGGGTGGAAATACCACCTACGGTGTTTCTCCTCTCCTTAGTCCAATAGCTTAATTAACATCTTAATTCTACTCCTTAATATTAGTTATTTTGTATGGACACAGTAAGAGGTACATTAAGCTTATAGGGTGGGTCTCTTGGGGGCATCTCGCTATAGAACTCAGACTACAGTGCTCAGGCCACATTAATCTTTCCTAACCGTAGCAGGGTTCTAATCCATATAGGGTTACTTTTTGGATCATGACAGAGTTTGTCCATGCTCTTAACTTATAATTAAGTATTATGGCACTTTGGCCTGGCCCATTTCGATGACAGGGTAGCTTACGGCTTGCCCTGGGTCCATCCAGTCCCTCGTTGGGACCCTGCTTTTGGGATGCTGGGAAGTAAGGGAAACTGAGGCTTAAGTTGAGAGAACAGATTCCCGGGAGTGAATATCATTTGGAGTCAGTTAACTCCCAAGTTACAAAAGCATAGCATTAACTGTTTTCCTGTGCCTATACAAAAAGGATATTGCTCTGAATTAACTATGCAAAGGATATAAGGAGAAGAGAAAAGCAATATTTACAAGTTTACAGAGTCTGATTAGGAGATAAAGGTGAGTGACTGGTTGGGGAAGCAGAGCACAAAGCAAAGGTTATAAGTGAACACAGGAATGGGAGCACTATGATGGGAGTAACCCAATAAACCTAGCTCCCTGTGGCAAGGCAGAAAGGACAAACCAATGTCAGCACATGACAAGATCACCCCCAGTTTCAGTTCCTAAGGGAGGAGGTGGGGCTGGCCAGCTGCAGTGGAGGCCCAGCCCTGGCCTCTGCATGGTGGCCTCGTGTGGTAAATACAGAGGGATTGTGGTCCCCAGTGTGGTTGTAGCAAATTGTTATCAGATGAGGGATTCAGTGGGGCGATGGCGCAGCAAATACAAACTTCTGACTAATATGCAGGTTTTCTTTCACCCTAGTGAGGTACAAAGTACATGTTGCTCTGGTTTTATTTTATAGCGTATTCTTTTGTGGTGTTATGACTTTTATTTCAGACTTTGTTCTTGCTTTGAGTTGGAGCATACATGATTAAAAAGGAAAGCAGACATTTTTCGATACACTTTAGTGCAGCTGCCTTGTTTGCAATGTGTGTACCGTCTGTTATACTTTTTGAAGCACTGTGATTCGCAGGAAGGTTCGTGATGGGTTTCATGCTTGTGACATTTCTGTCTGGGAGAAAGGGCACACCCCAGTCTTGCCCACCCACTTTTCTGATTTTAAAGGAAAACAGCCAATTTATTCCTTGTTTTCCAGAATGTTTGATTTGATAACATTTTGTAGACTTTAGGGATAAATGATTCTGAGATATTTTGGGATTTTTTGGTTTGCTTTATATTGTGCATATGCATTTTTTTACTTTAATTTTTTTATTTTATAAAGTAGTTCACAATATTTGATTACATTTAATATTCAAACACCAATCACACCATGAGTGAGTCTCTTGCATTGTTTTTATAGTTTGCTGTATTTTCCATGGAGAGACGGGCTAAGTGGAGGAGGAATACTGAAGAAAGCAGCTACCTCTCTGTCAGGGTCTGTTCAAGACAGTCTGAGGTGTGACTCTGAGAACCTCTGTCATCTGCTGAGGTGATGCTGCTGTTCCCCTTACTTGGGAAGGAGGAATCAAGGCACCTGCGGTGGGGTGACCTGCCCAAAGTCTCAGCGATGGCAAGTGCTGCATTTGGGAGTCGGCCAGACAGTCTGCCTCTTGATGCCCGAATTAAGCTGTTGTGCTCAAAGACCCACAAGATGGGTAGGAAGCCACAGTACTTGCAATGGTTTTCTCAGTGATCTTTTTGGGGCACCAGATCAGGAATGGTCCAGTGACCAGTAATCTCTTGTTGGAAATTGAGGGACAGTGGCAGAATCTGGTCCTAGGGTCCACAGGAAATATTCATTTACCCTGTCTCCCTAGTATTTGCAGCAGTTTCTTTTTTCTAAATTTTTTTAATTTTAATGAATCACTGTGAGATACAGTTACAGACTTACAAATTTGCATGATTACGTGTCAGTCATATAATGTTTGGGTATATGACAGGCTGAGTGGAGGAGGAATACTGGCCCATTCTCTAACAACAATGTTCCCAGTATCCCTCCCGCCACCCCCATTCCTTCCCCAACTCCCCTGCCTCTGTGGCAGGCGCATTCCCTCTTACTCTCTCTCTCCTTCTGGGTGTTATGGTTTGCAATACAGGTACTAAGTGGCCATCATGTTTGGTCCATAGTCTACTTTCAGCATGCATCTACCATCCCGAGCGAGCCCTCCAAGCACCATCTACTTAGTGATTCCTTCTCTCTGCCAGCTGCCTTTTCCTCCAGCATGGAGTGATCCTCCTGGCCCTTATCTCTAATATCCTTAGGTGTTAGTCTCCTATTATGTGACTTTATATTCCACAAATGAGTGCAGTCATTCTATGTCTGTCCCTCTTTCTGACTCATTTCACTTAGCATAATACTCTCAAGTCTATCCACTTGCATTTTGCAGCAGTTTCTGATCATAGAGTATTTCTTCGGCTGATTGGTGGGATATTAGTAGATAGTGAAGACTCTGAGGGTACTTTTTCCATTTGGGTCTCCAGGATCCAAGGAAGAGCACCTTTTGTAATTGGAGAGCAGAAAATATTTGCTGAATGAGTCTGTGAATAATGAATTAATAAGAACCAGATATATTGCAAAGAAATAAGCATTTGTTCTTCATTCATTATAGATTAGGCTTCTATGCTATTAGGTTATGAATACAGAAGTTGATTTGCCCTGAAATCTTATGCATGTGTGAATGATCAAAATATAAGTACCTATGTTAGAACAGGTACTAATGATTAAATGTATCATTACAAAAAGGACAAATAGTAGCTAAAATGACCACAAAATTGTAGTATCCTAATATTGTATTAGGAAGAGAGGATTCCACAATGAAATTACAGTTTAAAGCATCCCTAAGGAAAATGTTGAGTCAGAGGAACAGAATGTATTGAGATGAACCATTTCTACAATACATAGAATAAGGCTGTAAACCAAGAAGAAAATTATCCCTTACTTTTACAGCATCAGGCAAACAATGAGGCAAGAATAATCTTTACATTTGGGAAGAAAATGAGGAAGGAATGTAAGGAATAGAAGAACCATCTCAAGATTATGCCCAAACTTTGTAATACCAAATTGTAAATTTAGAGTGTGTAAGGGGGGGGGGGTCATACCTAGTGGTGCTCTGTGGTGATTTGTGACTCAATGTTGGGGGATGCTCCTGTGGGACCATTAGTGCCCGAGGGAGCACCCAGGACTCCCACATACAAAGTGTGCGCTGGACCCTTTGAGTTATCTACCCAGCTCACCAAGAAGGAAAATGTGTAAATATTCTAAGTCCGGTTTGTGACAAGTTAGACACTAAGAAGTTATGTATTATAGACACAGTTTCCATTTTCCAGATTGTTCCTTTCAGATTCAACACTGTTATTTATCGTATCTCCATGTTGAGAGTGGCTCAGTTCTCCAGTGGGTTGGGTGACAAGTTTCACTTTGAATCCTCCTCCACCCCTCATGCTCCCACCCCCGGTCTTCTTCCCGATAACTCACTTTCACTTACCAATTCATCCTGGTTGTAGAAAATGGAGATGAAACTATTGACCTTGGGGCTGGAGAAATAGGACAGCAGGTAGAGCACGTGCCTTGCATGTTGTGGACCCAGGTTCTGTCGCCGGCATCTCATAAGATCCCCCAGGTACCACGAGCAGTGACTCCCGAGCGCAGAGCCAAGAGTAATCCCTGAGCATGGCTGGGTGTGTCCCCCAAACAGAATCCAAACCCAAATAACCGACGTTGCACAGGCCTGGATGGAGTTGGAGTGAAAGTGTACGTCAGTGACTACTACCCAGGGAAAGTGTCTGTGTGCTGTGTGCTGTGTGTGTGTGTCTGTTTGTGTGTCTCTATGTGTGTGTGGTTTTGCCCAAAGCCCCGTTGTCAGCTTGGGGCAGCACCCTGACGACTGTACAGATTTGAGGGCCGGGAGGTGTAGACCAGGCCAAGTCCTGCAGGCAGAGGCACTGCTTCCTGGAGCGTGAGCAGGGCAGGTGCTGAATTAAGAGCAAACAGAGCCTCGAGTGCACTAGAAGAAGCCAGAAGGAAGATTGTGGGAGAGGCCAGGCGTATTTGGTGGTTGAGGAGTACTTGTGAGGGGGACCTTTGTCTTCCAAGGCTAGAATACCAACTGCCCCTTCACGTGGACAGAGAAGGGATCAGCTCAGGAGGCCAGCAGGGTTCTGGGAGAACGGCCAGTCCCCACTTGTGGATGCTCATTCATCACTTCTTGGCCAGAGGTTGGCTGCCCTTCTTGTAGGATTGTTGAAGAGTCCTTGGGGAGGGTTAGGACCTTGGTCCACTGAAGCATCAGTGAACCCCAGCAGGCCCCCACAGCTGGGTTTTACCCAAGGCCCCCAGAGCAGGCCAGACTGTAGGCAACTGAGGGAATTTCTCCCGCTTTCAAATCTTTTTTGTTTTGGCTTCTGAGAATTGATCATTTTCTCCAGGTGACATTTACTGTAACATTTTGTCCTATATTGTATTTGCTTGGAGAGCGAGTGGGGGCAGGGAGCTCGTCCATCTTATTGATAAATGAGAGTTTTCCCAGTGCAAATTCATTGTTCATAATCAGGCCTTATTCTGTTTTAGATGGAGCTGCAGAAATTCATGGCTGTCACAATTGAAAAGATTCAAAGCACCAATCAAGCCCTGAGCATGCTGAAGAAATTTGAGAGGTGAAAAGCACTGACGTAGCAGCTGTCCTTGCTTTCCATTCCTCCTCGGGTAGAAGGCAGGTCCTCCTTAGCTCTGTGGATGATGCAGTTACAGTGTTTAGGTTCTTGAGAGGAGAAGAGTGTGTTTGCTTTTTGCCTCTAAGCTTTCAAAGATCTTGTCACTGCCTCTCCTAATATTACTTAACATTCAAGTAATTCGGAAAAAAAAAGTGTACCAAAGGGATGGTTTTGCCTAGATTTGAAAGACAAGTTGATAAAGATTGATGCTTGATTAAAAAAATGTCCCTTGAGTGAGATATGATTGATGGATGGATTCTATTTAGATTTTTTAACATGCCTCACAAATATCTTATTCTCATTCTCTCATATAAATATCAGCACATGTTTAAAGATAAATCTTTTTTTTTTTTTGCCTTTTTGGGTCACACCCGGTGATGCTCAGGGGCTCCTGGCTCTGAACTCAGGAATTACTCCTGGCGGTGCTCGGGTGCCATATGGGATGCCAGGGATCAAACCTGGGTTGGCCGTGTGCAATGCCCTACCTGATGTACTGTTGCTCCGGCCCCTAAAGATAAATCTTAATAAATGTGCTCTTGAACCTGGGAGGTAGGGCAAAGGCTTAGAGCTCAGGGAGGCCCCAGGTTCTATACCTGACACCATCCACCTCCTCTGCGTGCTGCTGTGCCCTTGGGCTCAGTCCATCAGGCCTAGAGGGACAGCAGAGAACTGCCAGGTGTACCACCTTCCTGCCCAGCCCATCCCCAGCAAGGCTGTGAACCCGCACTTCCTAGGCTCTGGGCTCTGGGGTAGACCCAGATGGTCAAGCATTTGCCTCACCTGTATGAGACCCCAGGTTTGGTTTCTGGCCTCCAGCCTCCATCTGGCATTACCCCTGCAACAAACTACCCAAATCAACAAACTGTAGCACTGTAGCACTGTTGTCCCGTTGTTCATGAATTTGTTCCAGCGCTTTTACCAGTAACGTCTCCATTGTGAGGCTTGTTACCGTTTTTGGCATAGCGAACACGCCAAGGGGACCTTGCCAGGCTCTGCCATGCGGCCGGGATACTACTAATCAACACAAATCAGTGCAACACCCAGACTTCAGATTTTGGATTTCTTTGTAAAAAATCAGGTTGAACATCCCTAACCTTGGGATTGAAGACAAATACCGGTGCATCCTGGAAAAGTATGGGGCCGACATCGAGATGCTCGCCAAGCTGTACTCCAAGCAGAAGGACGACCCTCCTCTGGGTCGGGACCAGCCCCCCGTCGCTGGGAAGATCCTGTGGGCCCGGCAGCTGTTCCACCGCATGGAGCAGCCCATGCAGCAGTTCCAGCAGCATCCCGCCGTGCTCCGTGCCCCCGAGGCCAAGCCCGTGATTCGCAGCTACAACAGGCTGGCCAAGGTCCTCCTGGAATTTGAGGTTCTCTACCACAGGGCGTGGCTTCAGCAAGTGAGCCTCTTTCTTTGTTCTTTAAATGCATTGCGGGCTTCTCACATAAGAAAGGCGTTTTGGGCGCAGGGCAGTGTTGCTCCCTTTGAACGTTGAGGATTGAGGGTCTTTTATAATACCGGTGTTTTTTTTTTTTGGGTCACACCTGGTGATGCTCAGGGGCTTACTCCTGGCACTGCACTCAGGAATTACTCCTGGTGGTGCTTGGGGGACCATATGGGATGCTGGGAATCGAACCCAGGAGGCCACATGCAAGGCAAACACCCTACCCGCTGTGCTATTGCTTCAGCCACTTATAATACAGGTTTGGCTGAAGATACTTCGTTGAAGAATGGAATGTAGATCCATGAGGAAAAAAATCAGGATTTATTTGGGAAAAAAAAAACCTTTTAAACCAAGTTTAATCTTAAATTTGTATTTTTCCTATAGATTCTAAGTAAGAAGGTCCTGCCAAATGGGCTCTTTACCTGGTTACTTAGGATTCTTTTTCTTTCTCTCTTTCTTTCTTTCTTTCTTTCTTTCTTTCTTTCTTTCTTTCTTTTTTGTTTTTTGGGTCACACCTGGCTCTGCACTCAGGAATTACTCCTGGCAGTGTGTGGCAACCATATGATGCCGGGGATTAAACCTGGTTCAGCTGCATGCGAGGCAAATGCCTTGTCTGCTGTGCTATCACTCCAGCCCCAGGATTCTTCTATTTTTCCTCTACTTTTAAATTCTGATTATAGTTTAGGGATCATGATTCCATTAGTGTTGCCATTTGTGGTATTGATATTCAATATTACTGCACCCTTCCCCCTGGACACCAATGTGCTTGTGACCTTTCATCATGGTCCCTGTGCCACCTCTAGGCCAACCTTTATTCCCCACCACCTCACTACTTATTAATCAGTTCAATAATTAGTCGAAAGCCAAGGGTTTGCCATGATTTGATACTATATGTTCTCTTGATTTTCTCTGTATAACTAGAAATGAATGATAAATCCATTTTTTCTCCCTCTGATCCCTTTAGTAGCTGTGAACAATTTTCTTCTTTTGTTGCTGCATAGTCTTCCATTACATGCCTAATGCCTCATAGCTTCTTTATTCATCTGCCATTGAACATTGGGGTTGCTCTCATCTCTCTTTTCCCCTACAGTCATGATCTTACTATGTCTGCAGATCTACTATGCCTTATATTTCGTTGGCCATACTACGCTGCCTTATATTTCGTCCTTTACCCACATGTCTAGTTTTTGTTGATCAGCTGAAAATATTTGGAGGATAAAATCTAGCTTCACAAGGTATCTAAACGTGTTGTGTCATTTTCTAGGTTCAACATCTGGCACCTGTGCTAGTATCAGGGATGTTCTATTGGGGGCATTCCAGAGTGGTATTAAAATCCGTGTTCTAGATTACTGAACTATGAGTTTAATAGTTTGGGGGAGATTTTTATCATTTATTTCATTCTTAAACTTTTTTGACTTTTAAAATTTTTTAATTTTCTTTTTTTGAATGGCCCTGTGCTCATGGATCATTCCTTGAGGGCTTGGGGGACCATATGTGGTGCTGGGGATTGAACTTAGCTGTGTGCAAGGCAAGCTCCGTGTCTGCTTTACTATTTTTCTGGTCCATTTTTGGGGAACTATCAATAGGCATCATCGATCTGAACCTTTGAGATATCACCATCTCTGTGGTAAACACGTTGAGAATTCTAACCTACACATTTGTTGCTGAATATTCACCACCCAGACTCTGACAGCCCTTTTGTGGAAGTGAGGTTGGGTGAAGAGTAGGTTCTCCCCTTTTCTTTAACTTGGGAAGTTCAGATCCAGGGAAGAACATTTACCATTCCACATTCCCGGAAATGGCCAAGCTAGAGAAGTCATCTCTTTATGAACTCTCTCATTGGAACAACATTGATCTCTTCACAGATAGAACAAGTTCACTTAGGACTTGAAGCTTCTTTATTAGTGAAGGCTCCAGGCAGTGGAGAACTGTTTGTCAACTTTGATCCTGAGATCTTCACCTTATTTAGAGAGACTGAGTGCATGTCACAGATGGGTCTGCGAGTCTCGCCGTTTGCAGCTGCTCTTTTCCAGAAACGAGATATATACAAAAAGAACTTCAGTAACATGAAGGTACAGTACATTTAGTTCCACACCTTCCTGCCTTGGCAGTTTACAGTGAAAACATCTCGTTCCTCATTCAAGAAGCTTCAAATGCTCTGATAAGTAAGAGTGTGCTGATATAGAAAGTCTCTTCATCAGAGGATTTTTATGCCTTGTTGGTTGATAGAGGGCGGGAAATTCTTTTTTTTTTTTTTATGTAGGAGTACTGCTATTTATTCAGCCACTGATTAGCAGAGGGTGAGAAATTCTACTCTGATTTTTTTCTCATTGTATTTAATTGTATTTTGTATTTATTGAGAGATTTCTCAACCTTTTTGCCCAATTATGACTTTATTTTGGCCATTCTTCATGTAGGCTTCTATTGGCATCATGCATCTGATCCTAACTGTTATGGAAGACAACTATTAGATAAAGTGGGACCTAAATGGTTATTGAGCCCTGTTTCATTGCAGATGATGCTCGCTGAATATCAGAGAGTCAAGTCAAAAATGCCTTCCATCATTGAACAGCTGATGGTCCCTCACTTGGCAAAAGTGGATGAGGCTCTCCAGCCCGGCCTGACTGCACTGAGCTGGACATCACTGAATATTGAGAAGTTTTTAAAAACAACTTTTGCAAAGATCAGTAAGTATGTCAAAGTGGTTCTCTTCTCTCACTTCTAAAGGTGGAGTTCTGTAATATAATTTCTAGATGATATTGTGGTACAAATAAAATTACTAAGGAGTTTTATTACTAAGCTGTTCCCTAAGGAGTATTGCCAAAATTTGGGAATTCACTAATGTTCTGAAAACTATATTCATTTGATCATATTTCTAAAGATTGACTATTCTACCAAGGAGAACGGATAAAGCTACAGCCAATAATTTTTCTTAATGAGGGCTTTAAGGAAACTTTTTTAATGTAAGAATACTGCTACTTATTCAGCCACTGATTAGCTGATTGAATTGGGCATGAACTCCACCTTACTTTTTTCCCCATTTTTTATAATTTTATTTATTGAATCACCACGAGAGCAGTTACAAAGCTTTAGGGTTTAATTCTCGGTCATACAATGAAACACCCGTATCTTCACCAGTGCCCACTATCCACCACCAAAAACCCCAGTATACCCTCATCCCAACCCTCCCCTTACCTGTGGGGCAGATGATTTCCACATTACTCTCTCCCTACTTTGATGACATTCAATATTTTGACACCAGACCCACCATTATTATATGGGATTTTACCCCAACACTCAGATCTGCTGAAAAGGCAACAGTAGACAGTTTGTTTTCTATTGCTGGTTAAGAATAACATATGATGTTGCGTGGCCTCAGTAGTGGCCACATGATATTGAAATTCCGAAGTTTTAAATCTGGAGGGATTTCTGCCCAAACTTGCTGGGTTCCGAGATTTGTTCCTAAGTCTCTGGATCATGGCCGTTAAGCAGCTTTATCAGGAGCCAGAAAAGCCGTTCATGGGTGGTGACTTGGAGTCTCGTTGGGACGGGGAGGAAAGGGCCGGCTCCACCCCCATCCCATGAGGCCCCGCATGTCTTGACACGGAGGGCCCAAACCTGATTGTTCGATGGCCTCTGGAGGATGGTGGCCACCGAGCCATCAAGGGGGAGCAGGCAGAGGGACAGCACCCTTTCCCCCCTGGGGTGGCCCAGTGACAGTTACCTACTGTGGGTCCGGACGCATTTCTGCAAAAAGCCACTGGGTTCCGAGATTTGTTTCTGTGTCTCTGGGATCATGGCCGTTAAGCAGCTTGATCAGGAACCAGAGCGGCAACTTGGGGTCTCGTTGGGGTGGGGATGATAGGGCCGGATCCACCCCCATTCTGTGAGGCCCTGTGTGTCTCATCACTGTAGGCCCAAACCTGATTGTCTAGTGGCCTCTGGTGGATGGCGGCCACTGAGCCGCCAAGGGGGAGGAGGTGGAGGGACACATCCTTTCCCTCCTGGAGTGGCCTGGCAACAGTAACCTACTGCGGGATCCGGACGCATTTCTGCTAAAAGCCGCTGGCTGTTAAGCAGCTTTATCAGGAGCCAGAAAAGCCGTTTGTGGGTGGTAACTCGGGGTCTCGTTGGGGTGGGGAGGAAATGGCCAGCTTCAGCACCATCCCGTGAGACCCTGTGTATCTCGTCACTGTGGGCCCAAACCTGACTGTCCAGTGGCCTCTGGAGGATGGGAGCCACCGGGCCGCCAGGGGGAACAGGCCAAGGTACGAAACCTATTCCCACCTGGGTTGGCCCAGTTCTGGTAACCTACTGCAGGGACCAGATGCATTTCTGCCAAAAGCCATTGGGTTTTGAGGTTTGTTTCTGAGTCTCTGGGATCATGGCCGTTAAGCAGTTCAGTCAGGAACCAGAGAGGCCAGGCCTCCAATTATATAGCTGAGCCAGAGGTGGTTTGTGGTCTGTCTCCCGCATACCTAACTTCTGGCCGTTTACTTTCTTGGTAAAGTTTGCCCAAGTTTTTGGGGTCTGGCCAAAGGCACAGCAGCAATTTTGGGGCATCTGGAAGTCTGAAGGCGCCATGAGGCTGCTGACGCACTCGCCTCACAGGGACAGATTGACGTGCTGGCGGCACCATAGCCCCTTCAAGAAAACTTTAAAAATACACTATGTTACCGTTACTGTAAGGGTATCATCCATATTTCTTTACCTCCTTTCAGCACCCAGTTCTTGTCTAGAGTGATGGTTTCCCACTATTATTTTCATAGTGGTCCCTTCTCTGTCCTAACTGCCCTCCCCTTGTTGAAGCAAGCTTTCTACTTTCCACTCCAGTTGTGGTGTGTGTTTGTATCATCTTTGGGTATTATTATTCTGTGTGTACATACCTTGCAGGTATTCTATGTTGGCCCCTCTCCCCCTGACTCCTTTCATTCAGCACGATATTTTCCAGTCCATCCATATATCAGCAAATTTCATGACTTAATTTTTTCCTAATGGCTGTATAGTATTTCATTGTGCAGATGCACCACAGCGTCTTTATTCACTTGTCTGTTCTTGGGCATTGGGTTATTTTCAGATTTTGGCTATTGTGAACAGTGCTGCAATGAGCAAAGGCGTGTAGATGCCTTTTCCGCATTGTGTTGTGGGGCTGTTAGGGTGCATTCCCAGGAGCAGAGTTTCTGGGTTGTATGGAAAGTCACTTCCAACTTTTTTGAGGAATGTCCAAATTATCTTCCAAAAGGACAGGATAAGTCAATATTCTCACCAGCAGTGAATGAGCGTCCCTTTTCTGCCTGGTATCCTCACCAACACCGTTGTTTTGTTCTTTGTGATGAGTGCCAATCTGTTTGAAGTGGTATCTCACTGTGTTTTTTTTTCTTTTTTTCTTTTTGGGTCACATCCAGCGATGCTCAGGGGTTACTCCTGGCTCATGCACTCAGGATTTACTCTTGGCAGTGCTCGGGGGACCATATGGGGTACTGAGAATCAAACCCGGGTCAGCCCCGTGCAAGGCAAACACACTACCTGCTGTGCTATTGCTCCAGCCCCTCACTGTGGTTTTGATTCACATTTCCCTTATGATTAGTGATAAAGAACACTTTTTTCTATGTGCCTTGTGGACATTTGGACTGAGGGGAAACTAGTGGAGGATGTAATGGTGGTGGTGAAACGCTGAGTGCGTGAAACCCTGTCGTATAACAGGACTGTAAATCACAGTGCTTAAAGTAAAAAAAATTAAATTAAAAAAGTTACTAGCAAAAACATATGTTTCTGTATATTTCAACCACAGTGCCTTCATGGTCTTGGAGCATGGTAGTGGGGAACAAGGCGGTGGGGTGGTTTTCCAGGAGCTTCTGATATCACCACGTTTCTGTCCAGTGTCTGTCTCCATGGTCCAGGTCTCTGCAGCTGATGAGGCCTCGAACGACTTTCCATAAAGTGCCTACTTGGGCTATTGTGCCACCCGGGACCACTTTCCTGTTGTATTTAAGTTGGGACCAGAAATTTTATATTTTTGTTTTTTCTAATGTTTGAGTATATTTCCTAAAGTACATCTTCCTAGGAGAGTTTCATATTTTTATGATTGTAAAGAGTGTGGAAATCAGGCAGTTTCTTATACTTATCTTTTATTATTCAGTTATGTATTAGATGTCCATACACTATGGGGTTGTGATTGTAATAGTTTTATGTAGTGTTAGTCTACTTATATATATTTTTTATGTCCCTAACCACATTCGTACCCTTTGGCTCCATCACCTCATTTCAGGACTTCTTCGTGGATCTTCTTTCTCGATACTTCTCTTTTTATCAACATTCTCTCCCTCTCTTCCTTCTTGATTTTTTTCTCTCTTCCCATTTTCTCCTCAGATCTTTCTCTTGATCTCATATTTGTGGATGCAGGAGCAGTATCTGGTCGATAGTTTCAGTTGTCAGGAGTTTGTCTTACATTTTCATTTAATTTCTTTTCATTTTTTTTGAGGCGTCCATACTTGGTGGTGCCCAGGACTTACTCCTGGCTCTGTACTCAGGTAACACTCTTGGTAGGACTTAGTGGACCACGTGGGATGCTGGGGGACTGCACCAGGTTAGTTGCATTCAAGATGGCACATATAGAGAATTCTTATAGAGAGTACTCTATAAAATCATTCCTGTTCCCTTAGTTTGTTATCACTGTATCCTCTACATAAGTTATAATGTGAAAGGGCCTGGTTGCTTATTCTCTATACTTTATATAAGTATACATAAAAATATTTAAGTTACTGGGTTGGGTAGAATACTGCAGTGAAGAATTAAGTTTCAATTCTGTTGTCTCCTTTCATAGATTGAACTTAAAGACAAATTGTAGAGAGATATTTGGATAAATGTGTTTTAGAGTCAAAATTTGAAGGATAAATAAGATATAAGAGTTATCTGGCATTCATTGTATTACAGCAGCAAAAAAAGATCATAGAAGTAATATTAAATAAGGCTTTCAATTTAAAGTTGAAAAATTATGATCTGGAGGTGTTAAATGGCTTCCCATTTTAAATAAATGTAAGCAGCAAAGGTAAGTGTAAAACTGACTTTCTTTGTCTCTTATATTCTTTCAAAAATACATCTCAATACTAAAATAAGAGAAAATTGACAAAAATTCTGGAAGGATACATTTCTAAAATGCATAAAATTTTACAATAAGACTTAATGTCAACGGGAGTAAAATAAGCTCCCAAGATGGATGTTAATTGTATTTTCCCTGGAGATTATTAGGATTAGAGTATAATGATGTGTGTTTTAGTAGAGCCTTCACTGGGCTCAAAAAGATAATTTCTGAAGAAACTATTCTTATTTTTTTCTTGTTGAAATTTAAATTGTGAGGTCAAAGATTAAATGTTCTTGGGAGGCAAACTATGTCATCTCTCTCCAATATCACCAATAAATTGAATTTTTTTTGATAACACCCAGTGATGCTTAGGCTTATAGGTTTACTCTAGGCTTTGGGATTACTCCTGTGGGTGTTCAAGGAACCATATTTGGATCAGTCATAGAACCTGGGTCAGCCACATGCAAAACAAGTACCTTAATCTTCATTTACCTTAACTTAATCCTTTCTCTTCAGCCCAGTTGAATTCTTTGTAGTTTGGTACGATGAGTTTCCTATTGCTCCTGTAACAAGTGAGAAGTCCAAAACAAATCTTGGATGGGGTTGGGGGGAGGGCGGCACTCAAACAGAAGGTTGATGGGTTCTGGAAGCTCTTGGGGAGTCCTTTTTCCTTGGCACATTCCAGATCTCAGGGGCCACCTGCATCTTCATAGCCAGCTCCGTCTTCAAAACTGGCACCCAAAGTGATCCCTTCCTTTTCTCTGTGACACTCTGCTTTCATGGTCACATTGTTTTCTGTTTGATTCTTCCATCTCCGCATCAGAACCCTTATAACTATATTAGCTACACCTGGATAATACAGGACAATTTACAGATCTCAGTATCCTTAACTCCATCACATCCCCAAGATCCCCTTTGTCATATAAGGGAACATTTGCAGGTGGCTAGGATGCTAATGTTCTTGAAGAGAATAATGTTGTTCAACTTTCCGCAGATAGTCTTGAAGAATATGTAAGAAGCAATAAAGGATTTTATTGAGTACACATATTGAGTACTCTCTTAAGTAAGAGGTAGACTCTGCTGAGCAATGAATCTATTTTCACATTGGTATCTAACTGCCTGGTGTCTAGAATATTGCCTTCCTGATATAATTTAGTAGGCTATTTTGGGGTCTGAGAACATCAATTTATATGGGAGAAAGAATGTTCTTTTTCCTTATAGGAAGGATCACATGTATATGTAGATTCATAGCATGTCCCCTGGGGGAGACACATTTAAGAGGAATTTTCAGCCTTCAATAGATACTCTAAGAAAGATTTCTTGAGAAAGTTAGAGTTAGAGACCCTTAGAAAGTTTGAAAACTGGTTAAAGAAAATCATAAAATTCACATGGGAAGCTTAAGTATTTGGGAAATTTTTTCATAATCTATACTCAGTTTAATCAAATTCACTGTATCACTGTCATCCTCTTGTCCATTGATTTGCTCAAGCGGGTGTCAGTAACGTCTCCATTCATCCAAGCCCTGAGATTATTTTTTTTTAAATTTTTATTAGTGAAATACCATGAGGTACAGTTGTAGACTTACAAATTTCTGTGCTTGGGTTTCAGTTGTGCAATGATCGAGTCCCATCCCTCCACCAGTGCCCATTCTCCAACCACCACTGATCCTAGTATCCCTCCCACCCCCTTCTGTGGCAGGGCATTCCCTTTTGTTCTCTCTCTCCTTTTGGGTGCTGTGGTTTGCAAAAGAGGCATTGAGTGGCAATCATGTTCGGTCTATAGTCTACTTTCAGCATGCTTCTCCCATCCTGGGAGGATCCTCCCAACACCCTTTATTTGGTGCTACCTTCTTTATCTGAGCTCCCTTTTCCCCTAGCATGTGCCGCTGGCCTCCAAGCCATGGAGTAAATCTCCTCGTATTTATCTTGGCTATTCTTGGGTGTTAGTATCCTATTTTGTTACTTTATGTTCCCCAGATGAATGCAATCTTTCTATGTCTGTCCCTCTCTTTCTGAGTCATTTCACTTATTATGATACTTTACATGTAAAACCACTTGTATATAAATTTCAATACTTCATCTTTTCTAATAGCTACATTGTACTCCATTGTGTAGTTGTACCGTAGTTTCTTTAACCAGTCATCTGTTCTTGGGCACTCAGGTTTTTTTCCAGATTCTAGCTATTGTAAACAGTGCTGCAATGAACACACAAGTGCAGATGTCACTTCGACTATACTTTTTTGCCTCTCTGAGATATATTCCCAGGAGTGGTATTGCTGGGTCAAATGGGAGCTCGATTTCTAATTTTTTGAGAATTTTCCATACTGTTTTCCAAAAGGGCTGAGCCATTTGGCATTCCCACCAGCAATGAAGGAGGGTCCCTTTCTCACCACATCTGCGCCAACACCGGTTGCTTTTATTCTTTTGGATGTGGGCCAGTCTCTGTGGTGTGAAATGATGTCTCATTGTTGTTTTGATCTGTATCTCCCTGATGATTAATGTTGCAAAGCATTTTCTCATGTGTCTTTTAGCCATTCTGATTTCTTCTTTGAGAAAGTTTCTGTTCATTTCGTCAACCCATTTTTTGATGGGGTTGCATGTTTTCTTGTGGAGTTCAACCAGTACTTTGTATATCCTTGATATCAACCCCTTGTCAGATGTGTATTGGCAAATATCCTTTCCCATTCTGTAGACTCTCTTTGTATTTTGGTCAGTGTTTCTTTTGAAGTGCAGAAGCTTCTTAGTTCAAGATAGTCCCATTTGTCTCTCTCTGTTTTCACTTCCAGCCCTGAGATTTTAGCAGTCTCTCCTTAACTTGTCCTTCCCGACAGTGCTATATTGGAGGCTCTTTCAGGGTCAGGGAAATGAGACCCGTTATTGTTACTGTTTTTGGAATATCGAATACTCCACAGGTAGCTTGCCAGGCTCTGCTGTGCGGGCGGGATACTCTTGACAGTGTGCTGAGCTCTCCGAGAGGGAGGGAGAATGTATATATGAGAATTCAAGCAAGTATGTTAAAACCAAACACATTTGTGCTGCTCTAGGTCCATCAGTGAGCTAGACTATAAGAGGTCGCATGCTTTCGGGAGCTTTGTTTTATCGTCTCTGTATGTTGGCTGTTGATAGGATTACATGGTGTGGGTGTGATTGCCAAGCTGCTGGAAAATGGAGGATCTGGGTGGAGGAGGCCCAGTCCCGATCCGAGCAGGCTTGGAGATCTCAGCCCCAGGTCACGTGTACCTGGGTTCCTCCGTTGGTTCCTTCATGCGTGAAGCTTGTCCAAGCGTGTGGAGAGTTGCCTTGAGCATGGCTGTGACTGGGTTCCGGAGGTTTTTGGCTGCTGGGGTTCTGGTTGGGGTAGGGAGAGAAGCTCAACCTGTCCCCCTCCGAGGGGCCCCAGTGAAGACAGCCTGGCACAGGGGCAGGGGGTTCTGCGTCACTCTCTTCTGGGAGCTTTGTTTTATAGTTAAAAATTAAAAACAAAATTTTGAACCTCTGTTTTAATTTTCTTTTCCCCAAAAGAGGATCTGGAACTGCTTCTTGACAGGATCAATGATTTGATTGAGTCCCGCATCGATGCTGTCCTAGAAGAAATGAGTAGCACACCCCTTTGTCAGCTACCCCTTGACGAGCCTCTCACCTGTGAAGCCTTTCTCCAGATGACTAAGGTAATGGGAAGATCGATGCTTTTATGCAAATACTCTGTAATTCATATTTCCATAAAGGGCAGTTCTGGAAGTACAAATCACACTTTCTCTCCCTGGTAAGAACTTACCAGCACACCTCGTTGGTAAGAGATGTGCTTGAAACTAAAGAGGAATAGATAGAGGATGACAGAGGGAGTGAAGCATTTCTGATTGGCAGAAGGGAAGTTGTGGAAAACTTCCATTTTTCGGTAGGGTTTGAAGAATGCTGCTGTTTTGCTGACAAGCTCCGAATAGGTGGGCCCGCTCGAGCAAATCGATGATCAATGGGAGGGCCTTTACTTTTACTTTAATTGCCCAAGTAACTGCTATTCATTTCTCTAATTTTGCCAGTGGGTTTATTTGGAAACACCAACAAAAGGAATTTCAGGAAGTGCAGTCTCCCGGCAAGATATTTGGAGCTTCCCTGCAACCAGCATCTTCTGATGCTGTGGGCAGGTGCAGGGTCAAGGTCCTCCTTCCCCTATGGGCCAGGGAAGCTGTGTCACTTCCTGCCGGAGGTGTCTGACCTGATGGCAGACTGCAGGGAGCCCTTTAACCAATGCTTCTTTTTACAGGACACGGGAACTTCTGTAAAAGAATTCTCTTCAAGAGCCTCGGGGCAGAATTTTCTTCTTTTCACATTTCTGTAAAAGCTGAGTTTTCCAGTTCTTCTTTTTCTTCTTTTTTTAAAAAAAATTCGGGCCATTCCCAGATGTACTTGGGACTTACTCCCGGCTCTGTGCCCCAGGCATGACTCCTGGCTAGGGACTGGGGGACTCTATGGGGTGCTGGGGATTGAACCAGGTAGGCTGTGTGCAAGGCAAGCACCCAATTCACTGTATATTGCTCCAGCCCCTGAGTGCCCCTGTTCTGGCACCTGGCTCTGGGGCGCTTAACAGGTGGTGCTGATGAACACTTGCAGTTAATCAGCAACGTAATACTGTGATGCAGCAGCTGACACAGAATTGTTAAGTCACCATGTTTTGTATCTGTTAAATAAACTTACCAATATGCATAAAAAATCCACCCCAAAACTGCATTTACTCCTGGCTTTGCAATCAGGAATTACTCCTGGTGGTGCTTTGGGAACTATATGGGATGTCGGGGATCGGACCCGGGTTGGCCACGCGTTTTTTTCCTCCTCAGAAGTTATAATTACCTGGTCAAAGAATGTGGTTTCAGGGGCTGGAGCAATAGCACAGCGGGTAGGGCATTTGTCTTGCACGCAGCTGACCCGGGTTCGATTCCAGACTTTCCCCTCATCCTCTTTATACTCTGCTTTATTAATTTCTCTGCTCTTCATATTCCAATGATTATGCCTTCTCCTACAAAGACTTAAAAGATGAAAGCAATCTTATTAAAACTATTAGCCCTTGAGGTTATAATCTCATCTTCCAGAATCCTCAATATAAAGAAATATTATGATTTTTAAAATGTGTGTGTGTTACTGAGAGGATTGAAAGACTGCTAATGAGTTAATGGAGAATTTTTGGTAAAGCTATTTTTGAGAATGGGATCACATTGTAGGTCACCTGATTTTCTCTCTAACTTAGAGTGGAAAGTTTTAAGTTACAGATTGAGAAGCTGTGAGAGAATTCTCATAGATAGCTTATAAGGAAGAGATGACAGGAGTTTGGAAGACATAGATCCTTTGGAAACTGATTTGCTCACCAGGTATGCCAGTTATAACATGAACTTGAGTTGCTTATAAGCCAACCATAGCCATTAGTTTTACAGGTGGGGGAATTGAAACCCAGAAGAATTTCTAGAATCATGAAGAGCTTTGCATATGAGCTCAGGGAGTTTGGTGCCAGAATTTGTACTTGATGCTAGGTGTTGCTACCTCTACTTCATCCAGTCTCCTAATTCAGATATGCTTTTTCCTCTCCATAGATGCCTTTAACTCTGGTCTGTTTTCCAAATAGCTATGTCTGGACGAGGGATGCAGATTAATAGTTGGATGAAGTTCTCTGTTGGGAGTGAGATTGTTGTTTTATATTTTCTTTGGCAAGAAGTCTGATAATTTCAGAATACAACAGAATGTTCCTATGTTAAGGGGCCCCAAATGCCATATGCCTCAGAGCAGTGGAGGACATGATGAGGAGATGATGTTTGAAATGGATGGCCCACCAGTATGTTAGTTTCAGGATGAGTAATGGTGGAATTTAGAATGCAGATGGAGACTCTGGCCAACTGGAAGTTTGTTGTTTTATGAACTTATTTTCAACTTCTTGTCTACATCATGTGTTTCTATTTTCCTGTTCTGTAAAATTGGTCAGTGTCCCAATTGCACTAGTCTGTATTTGTTCAATTCAGTCTTGAGAAATACATAATCCAGAGAGGGTCAAAAGAAACCAGGGGTTGACCTTTAGAGGCAAAGATGAAGGAAGACCGCCAAGAACAGATGCATGTGAAATGAAGGAGACCTCACTGGAAGAGAGGGAGTCACATTGAAGTGATTTTCTCCATGGTTGAAGAAGTATCACCTTGGTTCATCGATGCCTGCCATTTTGTTTTTGCCTTTTGTTTATTTATTTTGTTTTTGGTTTTATACCCAATAGTTTTCCGGGTTTCCTCCTGGGTGTGTGCTCAGGGATCACTCCTGGTAATGCTGGGTGAGGGCAGGGTGAGGGCAGGGGGTGTATGTGGTGCTGGGGGGTCGACAAGGGCTGCATGACTAAATCCCTGTACTGAATCTCTGTCTTTAACACATTTCTTTTTTTTTAATTTTTATTAGTGAAACACCATGAGGTACAGTTATAGACTTACAAAATTTTGTGCTTGGTTCTCAGTTATACAATGATCAAGTACCCATTCCTTCACCAGTGCCCATTTTCCACCACCATGGGTCCCAGTATCCCTCCCACCCCCATCCCCCCATTACCCTGCCTCTGTGACAGGGCATTCCCTTTTGTTCTCTCCTTTAGGGTGCTGCGGTTAGCAAAAGAGGCGTTGAATGGCAATCATGTTTGGTCTATAGTCTACTTTCAGCATGCTTCTCCCATCCTGGGAGGATCCTCCCAACACCTTTTATTTGGTGTTCCCATCTCTATCTGAGCTCCCTTTTCCCCTAGCATGTTTAAACACATTTCTTGAGAGGATACCTGACCTGAGCTAGCGGGAGGCATGGGACTGAGTTCACTGAAGGCCAGATTCCCACAAGAAGCTGGGCTGCACCATCCCCACAGTGCTCTCTAGAGCCAGAGAGCGAATATGTCATGAAGGCCTTTCGTTGCTTTGATAGGATCTCTGTGTAAATGGTGCTCAGACACTCCATTTTAAAAGCTCATTAGTGGAGGAAGCAGTTAATGAGCTAATTAATATGCTGCTGGAGGTAGAAGTTCCATCGATAGAAGAAAGAGAGAAAATATTCCATGTGAATAATGCTAATTTGAAAAGTGAAAATTCAGGTAAGAGATGAGATCATCGGAAGATCTTGTTTTTCTAGAATGTTACAGAAAAATACAATTTAGTTTTCTACATAGCAATCACTTTCCCCACTTTGCACCCGCCTTCAGATTTTAGAAGGCCATTTGGAAATCTGAAATTATGACTCTGAGCCTATTATAATGGTTAGTTTAAATTTTTTAAAACTACAAATAGGCACTTCTTTGTTCTTGTTAACACTCGGGTAGAGTGTGTGTGTGTGTGTGTGTGTGTGTGTGTGTGTGTGTGTGTGCGCGCGCGCGCGCGCGCGCGCGTGTGCCTTCGTGTGTCCCTGCATGTGCTTTCATTTATAAATAACAGAGGATGAATGGTGAATTGGAATTTGTGTAAAAGTACTTCTGCATCAGAGCAGGACTTTGCCAGGACAAATGAGAACTCTGAGAGGCAGAGAAAGATAGTTATTCTTTCAGCTCTGTAGTCTGCGGGAAGGGAGAGCCGGAGCCACAGCAGCGGGACCAGCTCCTGCCTCTCAGGCTCACTCTGATGTTGGGAGGTTGCCGCCAGCCTGTTGGCACCACAGTGACTTCTTTTTCACCCTTCAATTGGCCTCACTTTCTAAGAAGGGATGAAGTATGAGAGAAGTTATGGTACTGGCATGTCATTTTTCTTGACCATCTTCTCTTCCACTGCAACGACTGTTTCTTTCTCCCCAAACCTCCTTGTAAACGGAAAATCAAGAAGGAAATCCCGACACCATGACGTCGGCCCCTAATGCAGGCGCTGCCCCCTTGCCTTTGGCGACAATCATGAGAAAGAAGAAAGAGGCTGAGATGCTGGAGGAAGAAGCTTGCGAGCTGCTTTCTCATTTCAACCATCAGAACATGGATGCACTGCTGAAAGTCACCAAGAATACACTCGAGGCCATTCGGAAGCGCATTCATTCCTCCAACACTGTTAACTTTCGGGGTAAGAAGCCCACACGGGTTGCCCCTGCCACATTCCAGCAATTGAATAGCGATGGTTTACAAGTGTCTTATCACAAGCTTATAGACTGTGAATTTTAATGATCCCAACAGTTCCATGAAGTCAATGCTATCACCACTCTCATTTTACAACAGAAAATTAAGTACAGAAAGGTGAAGTAATTTAAGGCCACTTAGCTCTCATTAATAAAATAATAATATCACTTTTGATCTATTTTATAATAAGATAAAAATAAATTATTTTAGTGGATGGAAAAGTTTAAAAGAAGATATATAGAAGGATAATTCCATTGTTAAATTGCTCTGTGATTAGCCCATTTTAATAACTGAGAAAGATCTTATTAATGCCATGCTCTCCAAAGTGGAAGTTTTGACTATTTTTGATTCATTTCCATCTTTTGCATTTGGTTTCCTAACCTCAATACAATCGTTTCATCTTTAGCACAGTTCAGAAATGGGGGTCGCGTTTCTTAGCATGCTGAAATCCATCCGATCCAGAGATACTCTGAAATGATATCTTAAAAATACTACAGAACAGTAATTGATTAAAATGGAAAGTGATGGGACCATAAAGCCTTTTTATTTATTTTGAATATGGGGCTATAATGGAAAAGTCTAATATTCAATTTAAAGTGGATAAATAAAGTGGAAGCATTGCAGGAAAGTTTCGCTTAGTGTTTTGGTTCACTGCATTTTATTTCACTTCAGAGTGGGAGGAGGACGTTTTGTTCACACAGTGATATTATTAGAACTTACCTAATGTTTCTTAATATGCTAAATATGAAGTAACATGTTTTTCTAGACTTTATATGAAATTTTAAAATACAGGTATTTTCAAATATATAGCAAGTTACACATATGGTTCTATGAACACATTTACATCTATATGTCTCTAGTTAATACCTATATTCAACTTAAAAAATCCCTGTGGCTATTCCTACCTTTTTTCTTCTCTTCTTTTTAACTGCTCTGACTTCGGGTTATATCCACTGGTGAAGGAACAGCCTGGGTTTTATTACAAACTGACAATTTGCTTTAATCTTTGTATTGGTAGTAATTTATTTCTTTTGATCAGATGTGGCTGTGCTCAGGAATTATTTCTCTCTCTGTGCTCAGGAATCATTCCTGGCAGTGCTCAGGGCACCTATGTGGTTCTGGAGATCAAATCTGGGTTGACCTCATATAAGGCAAACACTTTACACTCTGTTCACTCTCTCTGACCCCTCTGGTGGTTATTCTTGTTCTTTATCACTGCTTACTTACTCTACATTAAACTCAGTTGTTGATTTCCTGTTATCTAGGAAGTATTATCATCAATATTCTAGGTGAGATTTACCTAATTAAGCCTCATTTACACAGTGCACTGCTTTTATTTATTTTTCTCCTTTAAAATTTTTTTGTAAATTAATTTTTTAGTTATTTTCTGTATCTACTTATTTTTAATATCTTATTTAAGTACTGTTATTTATGTATTTATTTTAATCGAATCACCATGAGATACAGTTACAAAGCTGTTCATGATTGAGTTTCAGTCATACAGTGTTCCAACATCGTCTCTTTACCAATGCATGTTTCCCACCACCAATGTTCCCAGTTTCACTTCCACCTTCCCACCCTAGAGGTAGGCATTTTTCTTCTCTCTCTCTCTTTAATTCTCTCTCTCTCTGTCTCTGTGCACTTCCTTTATGAAGGACTTACTAATAGATGAGATTGTGGTCAGCATAATATTGACTCAGTTGCCCTCAACTACTATTATGGTAAGCAAGACAACATTTTTCCCTCCCTTGATTTAATTTTTCTTTCTTCTCTCTTTATCTCCCACCCACTGAACAGTTTTTTTGTTATATATCCATATACCCATTAGATATTGGGTACTTTAATTTTTCTAGATGGGACCACTAAGTCAATGATGGTTGAAGGGATTGCTTGGGATGGGAGATGTGTGTTGAAAGTAGATAAAGTAGATAACACATGATGGCCTCTCAGTATCTATATTGCAAACCATAATACCCCAAAGTAGAGAGAGGGACTAGAGCAATAGCAAAGTAGGTAGGGCGTTTGCCTTGCACATGGCCAACCCGGGTTTGATTCCCAGCATCCCATATGGTTTCCTGAGCACCTCCAGGAATAATTACTGAGTAAAAAGTCAGGAGTAACCCCGTGCATTGCTGGGTGTGACCCAAAAAAGAGACCCCCCCCAAATACCAAAACACAAAAGTAGAGAGAGAGTAAAATAGAAAGTGGCTGCCATAAAGGCAGTGAGTGGGGTGGTGGGGATGGTGGGGACATTGGTGATGCACTGGTGGAGGGATGGATGTTCTATCATCGTATGAAACTTAATCATGAAAACTTTATAACTGTATCTCATGGTGATTCAATAAAAACTAGTGAAAAAATAGAATAACCCACATTTATTTTTGTTTTTGGCTCAAACCTGGTGGTCCTCAGGGGCTACTCCTGGCTCTGTGCTTGGAGGTTACTCCTGGCACTGCTCAGGGCACCTGTGTGGTGAGGAACGGGTCGACTGGGTGAGAGTCAGGTATCTTAACCCGGTGCTGTCTCTCTGGCCTGTTAACGGAATGGGTGAACTTGCTCCTTGCTTTGTGCTCACCCACAGACAGCAGAAGTGCCTCAAAGACGAAGCAGAACAGTCGGCCCATTTTCAGGGCCAACATCATGCTGGCCATCCCCAGCATCACCATGAGCCCTGCCCTGGAGGACATACAGCAGACCCTCAACAGAGCAGTGGAGTGCATCGTCAGCGTCCCCAAGGGTGTGAGACAGTGGAGCGGTGAGCTGCCGTCCAAGGTGGGTCCAGGAGGAAGAAACCGTTTCCCCCTTCCTCCCCCCCCCCGGGGGGGGGGCTGCTGCAGTCCCAGATGCGACAGAGCTAACATGTATCCTTTGACATTGTAGAGAAAGATGCACGAGAGGAAAACAGCTGCCCTGCAGGGTCCAGACAGTGACTCTGAGGCCGAGATGGCAGAGACTGAACCCCAGGGTGAGTGAGTGTTGTTTCAGTTCATTTGTGCTGGTGATCAGGAACCAGCATTTGTTGAGCTATTTTATTTCTATGGGATACTTCTGGGGTTCTCAGGGTGGGGGGTGCTCAAGACCACTGGGGCCTCCCTTGCAGTGCTGTGAGGCTGGGGGTTGACCCCAGGGCCATGCACAAATAAGGTCTGTGCTCTCCCACTTGAGTCACGTCCCTGGGCACACTTACTGAGCCTTTTGGTTTTGTTTTGTTTTAGAGATACATCTGGGTTACTCCTGCTCTTCACTTACTCAGGGATCACTCCTAGCAGGGCTCAGGGGTTACTCCTGGCTCTGCACTTCCTCAGGCATCACTCCTGGCGGGGCTCAGGGGCTCCATCCAGCCTCTGTACCTACTCAGGGATCACTCCTGGTGGGGCTGGGGAGACCTTATGGGATACCGGGGATGGAACCTGGTTCAAAGCAAGCACCCTACCCACTGCACCATCTCTCTAGCCCTAGTTGAGCTATTTTCAAAAGTACTTATTGTTCAAAAATTGAGGTATGCCGGACATAATACAGTCAATAAATTTCAGGTGCACAATATAAGAATGGAATTTTAGTTTATGTTGTGAAGTGATGACCACACAAGTCTGTTGACATTTGTGTGGCCATCCACAGGACACATTTTATTTTCTTGTGACAGTGTTTAAGTTCTTCTCTTCTGGCCACTCCAGACTATGCAAAGCAGTATTATTATAAACTATGATCACTGTGCTTTGTACAATATCCTCATGACTCATTTCATGACTGGAGTTTGTATTATTTAATAGCCTTTACCACAGTTTCCCTGCTATTCTCTAAGGGTGACCAATCATCAACTTTATCTATCTATGAACTTGTTTTATATTTGTAACGTTATGAGTGAGATTGAATAATATTTGTATTTCTCACTGTGACTTGATCTTACTTAGCATAACTCCTCTATCAAGCTATTGCAAATGGCAAGCTTTAATAAGATTTTAATTCTTTTTTTTTTTTTAGCTGGGCGGGTGCATACCCAGCAGTACTTAGGGTTTACTCCTGACTCAGTGCTCAGGGATTGCTCCTGGTGGTGCTCAGGGAACAGTGTGTAGTGCCCTGAATCAAACCTGGGTCAGTGGCATAGAAGGCATGCACCTTACCTGCTGTACTGTCTCACCGCCCTCAGGATTTCATTTGTTTAAATAACTGAATATTTCATTGCAAAATTTGAAAAATTCTTTATTAATTTATCATCAGTGTATGGTTAGCTTGTTCCCATATGTTATCTATTTTAAATAATGCTGCCTGGTTTAGCGATTTTTCCCGTTTGGATGAAGTTTCTTTATTATGTGGTGAGCTACATTTGAGATGATTTATGTAACTTCACCCTTTAAAAGTGTATCATATAACTTTAGAGACATAATTTGCATGGTTTTCTTAAATTCTTTAGATAAGGTTTTTGTGGTTCTTTGAGCCTTTTTGTAAGAGCTAATTTAACTGTTTTTGGTTGGTTATTTCAATGATTGCTCATTTTATTGCCATTTCTGTTGACTACTTCTGTTCCTGTGTGTAAGTGCTACTTCCTTGTTTGTAGCTTTGCATGGCTCAAAATTTTCTTTTTTGCACTGAAAACTTGGTATAAGAAAGCCTGTATTGTGAAGTCTGTAAAATGTGTTTTTCTTCCCTCCTCTGTCTCTTGTTGTGGTTGCTGCTGTTTGGTTCTTTATTGACATTTTGATATGAACAAAATTAGTTTCACCCCTTCTTGGCATCTTTGTTCTGCTTGGTTAGTTAGAGGGCAACAGATGATGTCCAGGTATTTCTTTTCCTGTTTTGCATCAGGAATTCTTCCAGTGTTTGCATAGGCTGGCAAACATAGTAGAGCATCTTGCAAACACAAGTTTTCAACCCTGTCCTGATCTTTGCTAATTGACCAAGACCTTGAAGTCAGCTTGAGGTGAAAAATTGGGGCATTTCCCATCTTTCTTTGGCATACACACAGCTCTGTATGTGGGCCTGGACCTTTAGATCTCAGGATTATATCAGGTCTCAGCCATATCTTCTGCAGACATTTCATTTCCAAGATCTTTGACTTTTTTTGGCCACTCTTGTATATCCTTAGTTGCTGCCTTAGGCAGCTGTGCAGTTAAACAGTTGCTGTTAGTTTTGTAAATAAAACAGAATTTAAGCAATCTCTTAGGAGTTAGATATTTTTCTTGCTCAACAAGTTCCACCTTGTCTAATAAAACTAAACTCTTTGCATGGGTCTTGTCCAGCAGGCTTCGAGACTGGTTAGAGTGCAGTCTGGTGGGGGTCTCGGAGAATTTCAGTCTCAATCTGACCTGTCCAGGGCTGTGATTATTCTTTTCACATGTCTGGTGAGGGGTCTGGAGGCATAAGACATTTCAGAAGGCCACAAAACTCATTACTGAGATTCAGGAGTCTTCCCCCGCCCCTTAAATAAACATGTCCTTGAATTATTGCAAACGTCGCTCGACTGCTGAAAAGTTGGTATGGATAATGTCCCCCTACTGTTTTAAATTGATTTCATGAAGCGGCCTTCTGGAGGTCTCTACTTTGCTGTTGTCGGAGACCTCTGCTTTTACAAGGGTGCTCTTACATTGTTGATCACAGTGTTTTCTCCGTTTTTGGTTTTAGAAGCGGTTGAGATAGCATCTGTAAATTTACCCATTCCGGTGCAAACCAGGAACTATTATAAGAATGTTTCTGACAACAAAGAGATTGTAAAATTGGTCTCTGTGCTCAGCACAATCATCAACTCCACCAAAAAAGTAAGTCCAGAGAATTTGCAACCCACCTTTTTTGCTCTCCACCTTGGACTTCTGTGAGGTAAACGGCACAGGTGCCTTGCGTATTGCTAGCAATCGCTTTTCAGCCATTGACTTATGGAATGATGTTCGTTCACAACCAATGTTTACTTAGCTAAAGGACTCTCATTGTATATTGTTGCAAGGTGAAAAATAGCTATTGTTCCTAAGTTTTATGTATTTATATATATGTACACCTTTTTTAATGTTCTGAGCTTACTGTAGTACAAATAAATCTTGAAATTTTGATAAATACTGAATCACAAGTCAGTCTGGTTTTGCAGAGTCAGTGGCACTAATGTGTTTGAAATACAATATAACTTACAGTCAATTTTTTATGTTTTTGTAGTCAGGAAAGTTTTACTAACAAATATTTTATGATAAAATGAAGTAAATGAACAATGGAAAAAGACAAAAATGTATGTATAGTGCCACGTGTAAATCAGATAATCTTGCTAAAAAATTATTAGTATTATCAGTATAAACTTGAGTGAAGATGGATATAAATTTGAGTTAATTTCTTTCCTTTTACTGTTCTTTGCTCAACTTTTGCTTTTTTTTGTGGTAAATCTCTTGGGGTAAAAAAACAAACAAAAACACTGTCCTCCTGATGTTTATCGATTTGCTCGAGCGGGCCCAGTAACATCTCCATTTTGAGACTTGTTACTGTGTTTGGCATATTGAATACTCACGGGTAGCTTGCCAGGCTTTGCCGTGCGGGGGAGATACTCTTGGTAGCTTGCTGGGCTCTCCGAGAGGGGAGGAGGAATCGAACCTGTCTTGGCTGGGCTGGCTGTGCGCAAGGCAAACGCCCTACCGCTGTGCTATCGATCTAGCCAGCTCTTGGGGTAAAAATGACTTAAAACCCTAAAGTAAATTTCTATTTATAAATATGCATTCATATTGTTATAAGGACCTGCTGACCATCTCTCAGTGTTGACAGAATAGTGGTTACTTAGTAAATTCATCTTTTCTACCATTCACTTTTGATAAAGCAAGGTTCATTTGTTAGTATTTTGCAAAGCTCCCTTTGTTGTAATTATGGGAAGGATTGAATTTAATTTTGATGTATTCCCAAGGGAACTGACAGTGATTGCATTTATAAATTATCTTTCTTAATAAACTAAAGGCCCTACATTTAATTTTGCCGTTGAGGTATTATTCACATAACTCATGTTTAACAAATATTTATTTAGGGTTGAACTTGGAAAACTTTATACTTGATGATGAAGGTAAGTAGAGTTTCTTATGATAATAAATACTCATATTTTATTTTTTTCTTATAAATTATCTTTTTTTAACGTACTAAAGGCCCTAGACATGGCCCGTTCTCCACTGTAATAAATCCTGCTGATCTACATTGTATAGTCGATACCCAAGCACAAAAATTTGTGGATCTACAACTGTACCTCATTGTGTTTCACTAATAAAAAAAAGGGGGGGAAAATAAGGAACAAAGTGTTAGGTATCATTAAAAAAAAGGTACAAATTAAGTGTTAGAGGAGTTCAAAAAAAAGTAGTGAGTGGTTCTAGATGTTTAACTTATGTAGACATTTTGCTGAATTTTTTTTTCAGGATTAAAAAAAAAATCCCTGAAACACTCAAAATGTCAAGTCAAAATCAGTGCATCAGACACAAGCAACTTGCAAGAGATTTTATATTCCTGTAGAATGTTAATTCATCATCATTTCAGTTTATTGATAACTTTTTCTCTCATAGCTTTCCCAGTTATTAAAAGTTGTACTTCCCTTTTTTGAAATGGGATTTTCTACATGTTGCATCCTGTTTTTTAACTAGTTGAAAGTCCAATAAAATGTTTTGTCTTTGTAAAAAAAAAAAATCCTGCTGATCCCCCTTATGTTCTATGCTTTCTGCTGTCTGCCTCTTGCTGTGGCTGATCAGGTCCCAATATAAATCTGACCTATTATCAGTATATTCATGGGTTGGTCATCTATGTTTATTACTGTCTTGAAAAAGAATGATCTTTTTTACGGTCACAGTCCTCCTGTTGTTCATTGATTTGCTCGAGCAGGCCCAGTAACGTCTCCATTGTGAGACTTGTTGGTACTGTGTTTGGCATATTGAATATGTCACGGGTAGCTTCCCAAGTTTTGCTGTGCGGGCAAGATACTCTTGGTAGCTTGCTGGGCTCTCTGAGAGGGGTGGAGGAATTGAACTCGGGCCGGCCATATTGACTGCGTGCAAGGCAAACGCCCTACTGCTGTGCTATCGCTCCAGCCCATGATCTTTATTAAACAATCAAAATGACTTTGGTAATAAAAAAATAACAAGTGAAACAGCCTGGCATTTGCTATTCATGTAATTTTTCCTTTAAGCTTCAGATCTGCACTCTAAAAAGTTTCAATCTAAGAAGGGCCAACTCTTTGAGATATAATAAATGAGATCTAAAACTTAGGAAATTTTTGTTATAAACTCTTGACTACTGAAGAAGCTTCAATTCAGTTATCTACTGTTGTCCCGGGATTTTGATTATCTATTCTTCATTCTCCACTTCCTGTACATTTGTGAATTTGTCTTATGTTGTTGCTTTGGTCAGCATTTATGTCACCATCTTAGCCATGCCAGGGGATCACCTATGGTGGGGACAAGCAGTGGTAAGCTTATGCTGCTGCATTTTAATGAATAAGAAGTCTCAACCCTCATTAAATGTGAGACTTGGAGGGATGGTTTAGCTACATGTGGAGAATTAGAGTGTGGGTTGCTGAAATTTACTTAAGATAATTAGATCATTTACAATGCTATTGGTAAAGGCTCCTTTTCAAATAATTGCATTTTAAAAATTCTCTTTTCAGTTAAAAATTTTTCTCATGCAGATGTTTCTGAAAATTTAAGCCAACAGAGAAAAATTATTCCCAGGAAGTATAAACATTAGAAATGAGAAGACACAGTTTTAATTATCTCTGGGAATATTATTTACCAAGTAAATTCAAGAGACTAATTTGAAAAAAAATAAGTTTTGATAAGAATGTAGTTAGTTGTCCACTGGAAGATAATTATAGACACTTATTTTGTGCTATGATAAAAATGTTCGTGAAAATCTTATTTGTGAAGTTTCATATTTAATATAATAGAGGTTTTGAAAAAAACAGGAGTGAGGTATATACACAAATCCTAGAAAAACATGTAACCAAAGGCATTTGTAATTTTCCCACAACAGTAGTAAAAGCAGTATCAACCATAGTAAAATATCAACATGCTTCATAAAAATATAAAACTATTGGTGGTAAAGTTATTTACCATAAAAAGTTGAAAGAAGCTTTTCTGGTAGAATTGTTGAGGGTGGCGAGTGAGTCTAGAAACAGAATGAAGGATTTAAAGATCATATCAAACCCAAGGACAGTAGACACAAGGGCCAGGAATATTGCACCAGAGTTGAGGCCTGTCTCATGAGCTGGAATAGAGAAAGGATCACTAAGATAATGATGGTTGGAGGAATCATTCAGGATGGGAGACGTTTGCTGAAAGTAGATAAAGGACCAAACATGATAACTTCTCAGTATCTGTATTGCAAAGCATAGTACCTAAAAGTAGAGAGAGAGAGTATGGGGCAAATTGTCCGTCATGGAGGCATGGGGGTGGTGGAAAATGTGCACTGGTGGAGAGACGAGTGTTTAATCACTGTATTATTGAAACTCAAATATAAAAGCTTGCAACTGTATCTCACGGTAATTCAGTTAAAAATAATAAAAAATAATAAAAATTATTTTTTGAAAAAACAAAGATCATGTCAAACTCTGTGAAGATTATTCTCCAATAATTTAAGTGGTGACTGAAATGGCCTGTAGAAAGCAGAGGGGGAGAGCGCAGGATGGTGCTCTTCCGTGGTGAGGCTTTAGCTGAGAACATGAAGTGTTGGGAAAAAATAGCATTTGATAACGTGACCTTCTGTTACTTCTAATAACTTCCTATTGATATCATTCCCTGTTACTTTCTGTGACTTCCGATCAGTGTCATTTCTGAGTTCGAACTGTGAATGAGCCAGTTCCTCTCACTGACTATGTAGCACTGTCCTCCCATTGTTCATCGATTTGCTTGAGTGGGCACCTGTAATGTCTCACAACAAATTGTGAGACTTGTTGTTACCGTTTTTGGCATATCAAATACGTCACAGGGAGCTTGCAGGCTTTGCCATGTGGGCGGGATACTCTCGGTAGCTTGCCAGGCTCTCTAAAAGGGGCAGAGGAATCAAACCCGGGTTGTCTGCGTGCAAGGCAAATGCCCTGCCTGCTGTGCTATCACTCCAGCCCCTCACTGTGCTGTTACAAAATATTTATCTAAAAATCATAATATTTATGCTTTCTATACCCTGTTATAAGAGCTGGAGCGATAGCACAGCGGGTAGGGCATTTGCCTTGCATGCAGCCAACATAGCCGACCCAAGTTCGATTCCTCTGCCCCTCTTGGAGAGCCCGGCAAGCTACCCAGAGTATCTCGCCCACACGGCAAAGCCTGGCAAGCTGCCCGTGATGTATTCGATATGCCAAACACAGTAACAACAAAGTCTTCAATGGAGATGTTACTGGGCCCCCTCGAGAAAATTGAACAACGGGAGGACAGTGACAGTGACCTTGTTATAAAACTAGTGGGAAAAGACCCCATGTCCAATAACAGCATCTTTGAAAAATCCTCAGAAGTACTCTTAGGGAGTGTGTGTGGGTCTCTTGAGATTGTATGGTAATTTAGCAGGAAATTAAAATAAAAAGCTGAAAGATTTAAAAACACTATGTTTTTAAATGGGAAGTTTTAATTTCATGCAGACATTGATCCTTATTCAGTTGGCTTGCACATTTTATGAGCTTCATGCAATCTCTCTGGAGTCTGATGCTGTACAGGCTCATGGGTTTTTCTTAAGCCTTCCAGTGGGTTTGACCAATGAGAGTCATGCAGGTATTGTGGGTGGGAAAGAGAACTTACCTTTAAATGTCTTTCTGGAAGAGACAGCTGCAACAAAAGCTTACCAAACCCTCAAACAAGGACTCAATGACACCAGGGTGAGACAGACCAAAAATATTCACAGATTTTCTTATACTGAAGTATTTTTTGATAATTCCATTAGCCATTTAGTTGTAACAAGCAATTTAAATTAAATTATTTCATGCCTGCTAAGGGAGCAGTCTTGAGGGGGGATTGGAAAATTGGGACACAGTTGGCAGGAGTCACACTGGTGATATGATTGGTGTTGGAATATTGAATGCCTGTAACAAATGTATTAGGAACAACTTTGTAAACCATGGTGTTTAAATAAAGTGGGGGTGGGGTGGGATGGCGGGGGGGGGGGGGGAGGAAGAAATACAAAACACACAAACAAAAAAATAATGTAAAAAAGTCTTCATAGAGTCTAGAAGTTTCTATCAGTTTCTAGAAACTGCTTTTGGCTCTCCTTTTGACTAGGTTTTCCAGTTTCATTGTGACTACTTTGAGTTCCTATTTCTACTATTATGTGCTCATCCCATTTCTAAGGCATTTCCAACCATTTCTCTAGTTAAACATTTTAATGACCAGTGTTCCTTTAAACCCTGATGCCGTTTCCTCTTCTTGCCTCTCCATACAGTTTGTTATTTTTATTCTAGGAAGTTATTACATCCATGGATCGCTTCAAACGCTACAATCACATTTGGCAAAAGGAGAAAGAAGAAACCATTATGAAATTTATTGTGGAAAACCCCTTGCTTTCTGAATTTGAATCCCAGATTCTCTATTTCCAAAACTTGGAGCAGGACATCCAGACTCAGCCTGAGTTCATCTGCGTGGGAGCTGTCGCCCTGTTCACAGGTTGGTCTGTTCTCCTTCAGACACTCATAAAAATTCAGCAGTGCTCTTCTCTCTCGCCTCCCGGATTAGTATTCCAGAGAGCTGGAGCTATCTTCAAGATTGGCTTTCTTTTATGAGCCTCAAACCTGAAGAACCATTTATAGATTTGTTTTTAATTCCCTTCTGCCTCATTATTTATTCTAGACTATTTTTGAGTATGTGACTGTTAAACCTTGAAAATAAATGGTAATTCCGAGGAAGGGTCTGAGTCTGTTGTATTTGGAATTAAAAGTATCCCTTCCTTCAAAAGCAGCCCTAAACATTTACAGCTTATTGCCAATGGTTTTGATATTACTTTTTGACTTTTTGGCATTTTGAGACGTTTTGAGAGTGGTTGGAGCGATAGCACAGCGGGTAGGGCGTTCGCCTTACAAGCGGCCAACATGGCCGACCCGAGTTCGATTCCTCCGCCCCTCTCGGAGAGCCCGGCAAGCTACCGAGAGTATTCGATATGCCAGACACAGTAACAACAAAGTCTCCAATGGAGACGTTACTGGGCCCGCTCGAGCAAATCGACGATCAACGGGAGGGCCTTTACCTTGAGAGTGGTTGAAGAACAAGCTTCCTAATGGATGAGTGCATAATGATTAGGATCAACTTTAGACTTTCTGGCCTTATTTTTCATGTGTCACACAGCTCTGGCTGCAAGTATTTACTATGGTAAACAGCCGCACCCTGGCTGCTTATCTTGACTCAATTCAGATGTTTTCCTAACTGAACTATGGATGTTTCGGTTTTCCAGCTGACTTGAAGTTCACACTCACTGCTGAGACAAAGGCCTGGATGACTGTCATCGGCCGTCACTGTAACAAAAAATACCGGAGTGAGATGGAAAACATTTTCACACTTGTTGAAGAATTCAATAAGAAGCTGAACCGTCAAATTAAAGACCTCGATGATATTCGGATTGCCATGGCGACGCTGAAGGAAATCAGGGAGCAGCAAATCTCTATTGACTTTCAAGTGGGGCCTATTGAGGTCATTGATAATCTTTTTTTCTTCTTCCTTTTTTGAAAAAAATGGGATAGCTTCACACGTGGGTGACATTAGCTAAGTATTGAGCAGGTTTGGCCTGGAGTTACGAGAACGGAGACAGACTCTAAGAACAAGTTTTGTAATGCTCACTGCTGGCTTACTGTGGCTAGTTCTGGTCCTCAGGAAGCCAACTGAGATCCCTGAGAACAGAATCTGAGAACACTCTTTCTCTCCATATGATGTATCGATGAATACTCTGTGAGAAGGGGAAGGACAGGCTGCTGGTGCACATGGGGGAGTTGTGAGGGTGTTCTTTGCTGTCGACTGATTTTATCCCAGTCCCATTGGAAGTTCTGCAGCATGAAGTGGATCTCACAGGTGGTCCCAAGTTGAGGGTACTTTTGTACTCCCAAGTCAGTTGGTCATTGCCATAGTCTCCTATTTAGGAGAGAGAATTTTCCAGAGAAGCAACAGCCGTGATCTCTCCAGCTGACACATCCAGTAGTTGAGAATGTGACTCTGTCCTGGTCAGCAGGAGCTGGCTGGAACACTCACAGTTTCCATTCAGGCATTGCTTCTCTGAACTCACTTAGTCCTTGTGTGATCTGTACTCTACACACAGGGTCAAAGAAAGTACGCATCTTGAGTAAGATGCACAGCACTATAATGTATTATTATAATGTTTTAGAGACGAAAGTGTTTTATCAGGAAAGGGTCCTTACGCAAAGCCTTGGCATTGGAATAAAGAATTAATTCTCAAACTGTGTTTTGAGGGCAAAAGAGTAAACAGGAGCAGACTCAAAGAGCTGGAAGGAAAGAGCTGGAGGGTCGCGAACACTTAGGGTAGAGTAATTTTGTATATCAGTATAACACATGAAAAATTAATCTTTAATTTTTTAAAATTAGGGTTTCATGCCTTACAAAGTCATTCATAGCTGAATTTCAGGCGTAAGATATTCCAGCACCTCCAGTGTTGATGTCCCTCCCCACTGTTCCCAGGTTCCTGCCCACCCTCCAGCCTGCCTTTCACAAACACATTTTCAAGTTTGGTCGTTGTCGTTTTGGATCACAGGATTTCCGTGTTGTTGACTCTGTAGTTTAGCTATATACATATACCACCCCCCCCGACACCACCCATGTACCCTGCCCCCATTACTTCCCATCCACCTCCTCTCACTCCCCTCTTTCCTTTCCTTCTTTCCTTCTCCATATTTCTGTTTCTCCATCCTATGCTCCGAGTGAAGGTACCATACATTTTGACATGATTATAATTTCCTAAACTCTACTAAATTAAAAAATTTAAATTCAGAACTATTTTTTAAACATGTGAAAGGGAAGCACGATTGTGTTCATTCTTTGAAACGAGACTAGTGCATTTGTAGCCAGAGTAGTCCCGGACATAAAAGCATCTTCTTCCTTTCAAAGGCAAACTTGGATGTGTGTTCTTAACACTCTGATGGTCGGGATCTTACTCTGGCTTTCCATTTTTGGTTCTCTCTTGAAAGATTGGAAAATGTAAAATATTTCATGTGAAGGACATTTGTGCCTCTGTGCCGTCAGGCTGGGATAATCACATCATCTTTAGTATTCTTTGTGGGAAAGGGGACCCAAGGCAAAGAGCCCCCTTTGATGAGTGGAACCTGGGCATCCTCTGGGGATTGAAGAGGAGGTTTCATATCTGACAACTCTCTCTCCCCTTTTCCAGGAATTAAGACCAAATTGGAGTTAAGATTAGCCTACAATTTTCCTTTTCGATAGAACTCACTTGGAAGACGTTATTCATTGTAATTTCATTTTATTTCCATCAACCCATCCCATCCTCCCACTCCATATCCACACACATTATACACTTCTGAATACTGAATTCCACAATTGTACATGCTCGACCATCAGGCACCGCCCTAGAGAGCTGCAAAACCCGCTTTCTGGACTCGTGTTTATTGGCTCCAGTGTGCATTGCAGAGTGCACCTTGAAGGAGAAAGAAATTTCGCTGTGCTTGTCCAAAACAATCTCATCCACAAATCATCAATTACATATTTGTCTAACCTGTAGGGAAAGAGTCCCAGTGAGGGAAAATACAGGGAGAATCAGGGAAATTATTTTCTTCTGGAAGCCATCTAGACAAGAGATTCCAGAAGTTTGTCTCTAGAGGGCAATGACTCGAATCAGGCTCCGTTTCAAGGACACTCTCTTGTGACTTATCAGTCGAATGTCTTACCATAAAGCAAATGGAGTCATTAAGACATAGATTAAAGGGGCTGGAGAGATAGCACAGCGGGTAGGGCGTTTGCCTTGCACGCGGTCGACCCGGGTTTGATTCCCAGCATCCCATATGGTCCCCTGAGCACCGCTAGGAGTAACTCCTGAGTGTAGAGTCAGTAGTAACCCCTGTGCATCGCCGGGTGTGACCCAAAAAGCAAAAAAAAAAAGACATAGATTAAATAAATATTGGTTTCATGATTAATAACATCTAATGTCCTGGTATTAACATTATAATTGTTTTATATTTTTATTAGTCTTCAAATACAACTTAGAGGCCTTAGATAAAAATAGCTTTTACTCTTAGAATGCTTGGTAGTTCTCAAAATGCATTTAAAATCTTTTTGACAATTATAAAAATTCACATGACAGCAAGGAAATCTTCCCATGCTGAAGTTTAGAAATGAAGGGAGAAAAGGGTAATGGTTCAGTTATTCATCAGAGAGTTTAGTTTGGCAACAGAGAAACTAGAGACACGGGCAGTTTTCCTACCCTACTGTTCTTTGGCTTTCTAAATCATTTGATAAATGACTGTGTGTCTATTCATTCGACTAGCAGAAACCACTTTGTTTCTTTTGTATAGGAATCCTACGCCTTGCTTAACAAATATGGGCTTCTAATAGCCAAGGAGGAGATGGACAAGGTTGATACTCTGCATTATGCTTGGGAGAAGCTCCTTGCTCGTGCCAGCGAGGTTCAGAATGAACTGGTTGCACTGCAGCCTGGTTTCCGAAAAGAACTTATTACTAGTATGGAGATCTTCCTCCAAGACTGTGACCAGTTTTATTTGGATTATGATTTGGTATGATGATTTTCCATGTGTATTTTTTTCTGGGAAGAGTGATTGGAACGTGTGAAATGTAGTTGTTATTTAGATGACATGTCAAAAAAATTCAATGAGATTCCCTAGAAATGGAATATTTCCATGATTGCAAAGACATTTCCCTCTCACATTTCCTTTCTTCTTAGAGTTCAATTAGAGTAAGTTCAACAGAAAATGTGGATTTTGAAATTTCTATTCCTGGGGTCAGAGAGAGAAAGAGAGAGAGAGAGAGAGAGAGAGAGAGAGAGAGAGAGAGAGAGAGAGAAAGAGAGAGAGAACAGGGAGGGGATCAGGGTTCAATCCCCAGCACCACATATGGTCTGAGACCATTACCAGGAAGAACTCTGAGTACTTCTTTATTTTTTTAATTTAAAAAATTTTTAAATTTTTATTAGTGAGACGGGCTGGAGCGATAGCACAGCGGGTAGGGCGTTCGCCTTACAAGTGGCCAACATGGCCGACCTGAGTTCGATTCCTCCGCCCCTCTCGGAGAGCCCGGCAAGCTACCAAGAGTATTCAATATGCCAGACACAGTAACAACAAAGTCTCCAATGGAGACGTTACTGGGCCCGCTCGAGCAAATTAGTGAGACACCATGAGGTACAGTTGTAGACTTACAAATTTTTGTGCTTGGGTTTCAATTATACAGTGATCAAATACTCATTCCTCCACCAGTGCCCATTTCCCACCAACACGGATCCCAGTATCCCTCCCCCCCCATCCCACCCTGTCTCTGTGGCAGGGCATTCCCCTCTGTTCTCTCTCTCCTTTTGGGTGCTGTGGTTTGCAAAAGAGCCATTGAGTGGCAATCATGTTTGGTCTATAGTCTACTTTCAGCATGCTTCTCCCATCCTGGGAGGATCCTCCCAACACCCTTTATTTGGTGCTCCCTTCTCTATCTGAGCTCCCTTTTCCCCTAGCATGTGTGACTGGCCTCCAAGCCATGGAGAAAAATTCCTGGTACTAATCTCGGTTATTCTTGGGTGTTAGTCTCCTATTTGCTAGTTTTATTGCTCTCTCTCTCTCTCTCTCTCTGTGACAATTCTCCTTTCCGCATTCTTTAGTTCTGCAATGAACAAATCTGGCAAGTGCAGGAACTGTCCTTGGTACTGAGGACGCTTTACAGCTGTGTCTGGACAGAAATGCCAACCACAGAGCAGGTCTTTAGTAGAGAGTCTTCTACTAGGAGGATACTGCATGATGAGACCCAGAAAGGAAATGTAGGGGAAAATTTGTGACTATTAACTCGTTGCACATTATACAACAAATGTGTGAAACTTAGGAGATTGGACGAATGTAGTACTTTTTTTTTTTTGCCTTTTGGGTCACACCCGGCGATGCACAGGGGTTACTCCTGACTCATGCACTCAGGAATTACTCCTGGAAGTGCTTGGGGACCACATGGGATGCCGGGAATCGAACCTGGGTCGGCCGTGTGCAAGGCAAACACCCTACCCACTGTGCTAGTGCTCCAGCCCCAGATGCAGTAATTTTGTGGCTGAAGTATAGAAACCTGCCTATTTAACATGTTCTCATGTAGGAAAGCGTGTGTGGGATGTTAAGAGAATAATTTATATTTGTAATACAGATATGAAAACAGTGACTTCTAGGGCTGGAGATATAGTACAATGGGTAGGGCGTTTGTCTTGCAAGGCCTGGGTTCAATCCCCAGCATCCCATATGGTCCCCCAAGCACTGCTGGGAGTAATTCCTGAACACAAAGTCAGGGGTAACCCCTGAGCATCACCAGGTGTGACCCCAAAAGAAAAGCAAAACAAGACAAAAAAACCCATGGTGACTTCTATTAGTGTTTTAGTTTTGCTGTAAACCTTTTGTGTACTTCTTATAGAATATATTCACCTTTTCAATATCTAGTTTTAATATCTAGACTGCTTTCTGTCATGCACGTGGAACATATGAAAGTTAACCTTATTACTCAACTATTAAGCCATAAAATTTTGTATAAGTATTTCATATTTAATTTTTATTTCAGAATGGCCCAATGGCCAGTGGCTTGAAACCCCAAGAAGCCAGTGACAGACTTGTCATGTTTCAGGTAATATTTGTCATTTCTGTGACTTCTAAGGCACAATATTAATGTGCCTTAAATATATACATTTTCTCCTAATTATAGAAAGATCTATTGTGAAGTATGTAGCACTGTAGCACTGTCCTCCCATTGTTCATCGATTTTGCTCGAGTGGGTCCAGTAACATCGTCATTGTGAGACTTGTTACTGTGTTTGACATATCGAATACATCATGAGTAGCTTGCCAGGCTTTGTTGTGCAGGTGAGATACTCTTGGTAGCTTGCCAGGCTCTCCGAGAGGGGCAGAGGACTCGAACCCGGGTTGGCCACATGCAAGGCAAGCACCCTACCCGCTGTGCTATGGCTCCAGCCCGTGAAGTATGTATGTTTAATTAAAAATGTAACTCTTATAATAACAATGAGAGTTGGTTTCATTGTAATTGGTCATTAATTTAGTGTTTCTATTTACATGTGCTCAGATATCATACCAGCTTTCTTATTTGTCATATTTTTTGTTTCCATCACATGTTGATTCAGATAGAAACCGTCTTGATGAGTTTGCACTTTTGTTTTTATTAGAATCAGTTTGATAATATCTATCGGAAATATATCACCTATACTGGGGGAGAGGAACTCTTTGGTCTCCCAGTAACCCAGTATCCCCAGCTTCTGGAAATAAAGAAGCAACTAAATCTACTCCAGAAAATATACACTTTGTACAACAGCGTCATAGACACTGTGAATAGTTATCACGACATCCTCTGGTCAGAAGTGAATATTGAAAAAATCAACAGTGAACTTTTAGAGTTCCAGAACAGGTGAGCAATGACATGTTTAGAGAGATCTTGAACCTTTGAGCTTGTGCGCTTTTCCCTTTCATAGTTTCTCAAGTTCTCTTTTCAACCCAGATGTGGCGATTTATCACAGTAAAGCCAATTGTATTGGCACCTTTAATCTTCATTCAGCAGGGTCTGTTATAAAAAATGAGTCAGAGGGACACTGTGGCATGTACAGTGTCCTTGGGCAAGCTAGTATCCACAACTCCAACTGAGGGGACAAGCTGGCTGTGTATTGGACACAATTTCTGCTCCCCCGCCCATCTCCCTGGCTCCAGGCACATGTGTGGTTGTTTAAGTTGAGAAGATAACATTAGTAGACACATCAAAATTGATGGGTCCATTGAGCACAGAGGCTGGGATGTTCATGGAACCAACCAGGCACCTGTAAAGATAAATCCTGGCAAAGTCCTGGTGGGTTCTGTTCTGTTCTTGCCTGGCGCACATTTGAGCCCTGCTGTTGAGACTGTCTTCATTATCCCAAATTTGGGGGTTTTGTTAGGGTCAGGTTTTGCAAGCACGGCCATGGTGCATGGCTGCTGTCCACTGACATCATCTTATAAATGCTGTTTATTAATGATCCACGTGTGTGCAGGGTGAAATGAGAACATCCTTTAAACATGGATGCTTGTTTCAGAACCCTTGTGTCAGCTCCCTTAGGGGAGCTCAGCTTTGTATTATACGTATCAAATTTTTGAAGTTTATGGTCACTGTTACTGTCCTCCCGTTGTTCATCAATTTGCTTGAGCGGTCCCAGTGACAATTGTTACTCCACTGTGACGATTGTTACTGGGTTTGGCATATCGAATACATCACGGGTAGCTTGCCAGGCTTTGCTGTGTGGGCGAGATACTCTCGGTAGCTTGCCGGGCTCTCCGAGAGGGGCGGAGGAATCGAACTTGGGTCGGCCATGTTGGCCGCTTGCAAGGCAAATGCCCTACCCACTATGCTATCGCTTCAGAAGATTATGGTATATGGATTAAATAAATGGAGTAAATCTGGAGCTCCATAATATTTTTTACATCATTTTTAACTTTAAACCTAAAGAAAATTGAGTCTTTTGTTTTGTTTTCAACTGTTCTTGGTACTTGCTAGGCTCCTGATATGTGCTCGCAGAATTGAATTGAAAGGTAAATCTGTGATTCAAAATCATGCATTTTGCCTAGTTAGTATTTCCGGATGGGAAAGAAGAGTTTTACACAGTATAAAAATATTTTATCAGGTGGCCGGAGCAATTGTGTAGCAGGCAAGCAGGGCATCTGGCTCGCCAAGGTCAACCCGACTTTGATCCCCAGCATGCCATTTGGTCCCCTGAGCCTGCCAGGATGGTCCTTGAATGCAGAGCCAGGAGTAAGCCCTGAGCAGATGATGTGGCCCCCGAACAAAAACCAAATGAACAGGTATTCTCTGAATCATGAGAGTTTACGAGATTGGCCTTCAAAATGACTTTTATTGATGTATTTGAGCTTCGGGCCCTACTTGACTCTGGCTCCAGGCATTACCTCTGGCTCAGGGATCATTTTTGATGTGGTGCTTGGGAACATGTGTGTTTTGGGGGATCAAACTAGACTTGGCTGCATGTGAGGCAAATGCCTTAACCCCTATACTGTCTCTCTGCATTCCTTCCCCCCAGCTCCCAAATTAGAACATATTAGAATAATTTATTTTGCTTTACAGGAGTTTGCCATGTATTGACTTTAATATTGTATTTTGGTAATGATTTTTTATTAAAAACACTTGCCTCTTAAGTTTTATTAATAAAAAGGTATATTCTTATCATGGACTGGAGCGATAGCACAGCAGGTAGGGCATTTGCCTTGCACATGGCCGACCTGGCTGAACCGGGTTCGATTCCTCCGGCCCTCTCAGAGAGCACAGCAAACTACCGAGAGTATCTCGCCCGCTCGGCAAGCTACCCATGATGTATTCAATATGCCAAACACAGTAACAACAAGTCTCACAATGGAGACATTACTGGGCCCAACGAGCAAATTGATGAACAACGGGAGGACAGTGCTACAGTGATATTTTATTCTCTTATGTTTTGTTTTTGTTTTTGTACCACAAGATGTTCCCCCAGCTCTGAGTCAAGGATCACTCCTGACTTAGAGCCTTGGGGGACCATCTGTGATATGGGGAATTGAACCTGGTTAATGACACGTAAAACATATGCTTTACCCACTGTACTTTCTCTTCAGTCCTAAAGGTCCTAAAGTGACTTTTATTTCGCGGGTGTGGGGGGAAGCACTTGGAGGTGCTCAGTAATTACTCTTGGCTCTGCACCCAGGAGGGGAGCAGGAAACCAGAGGAGGTGCCAGGGATAGAACCCCAGTCGGTCATGTGCAAGAGCAGCTCCCTCTCCACTGCACCATCTCTGCTTTTACCTGGACTGAATTTACCTCATGCTAGCAGGCTGGAGGGGGCTGGAGCCTCTGGGCACAACTCTTCGTTACTGTTTCTTTCTCTTTCCAGGTGTCGGAAGCTGCCGCGGGCCTTGAAGGACTGGCAGGCTTTCTTGGATCTGAAGAAAACCATCGATGATTTCAGCGAGTGCTGCCCACTGCTGGAGCACATGGCCAGTAAGGCGATGATGGAGAGGCACTGGGAGAGGATAACGGCGCTCACGGGGCATAGTCTGGACGTGGGGAACGAAAGCTTCAAATTGAGAAATATCATGGAAGCCCCTCTCCTGAAATACAAAGAGGAAATAGAGGTACAGGGACTAGAAGGCGGTAAAAGTGGAGAGGTTGCATGAAATGTGTTCGGTAGTATCCCTCATTGAGGCATGTGGGGCAGTAAGCCACATTGGGAGTCTTGAAATCTCTCCCATTCTTTTGGTCCTCCAGCCCTGGGTAACTACTATTCCAATCTGCTTCATTATTTTTTTTAAGAGTTCAGTATTTTAGGCCCCACCCAGCTGAGATATCCCAGTGACTGACTCTCTCTGTTACTTAACCTAATATCCTTCAGTCCCACTTATGTTATAATTAGCAGGATTTCCTTTTCCCTCAGAACCCAGTAAATAGTACTCCAGAGTTGCAAAACTTTTATGTGATCTTTCTTTCTGGATAGTTTGACAGGTAATATTGGAAATACTATTTACTCCTCCTCAAATAGAAGGAGAGAGAAATAAAATGTCTACCAACCAGCCTGGACTGGAGCAGTAGCACAGCAGGCAGGCCATTTGCCTTGCATGCAGCCAACCCGGGTTCGATTCCTTTGTCCCTCTCAGTGAGCTCGGCAAGCTACCGAGAGTATCCCACCCACACGGCAGAGCCTGTCAAGCTCCCTGTGGTGTATTCAATATGCCAAACACAGTAACAAGTCTCACAATGGAGACATTACTGGTGCCCACATGAGTAAATTGATGAACAACTGGAGGACAGTGCTACAGTGCTATTTGCTAAGTAAAACTATTACTAATTTTTTGAGCATTTCAAGAAGTGCTCAGAGGTCTCGGGGGCGCCCACTTTCAACTCTTGGCCAACACAGCTGGCATTTCAGTGCAGGGGTCCCCAGCCTGCTGTGCTTCTTGGGCCCTATGGTCCCCAGGCTACACAGTAGTGTTGGGATTGTCCATGGCCACACCTGGCAGTACTTGAGGGACTCCAGGGCCACACCCAGAGTTGCTCAAAGGACCGTGTAGTGCCAGGAATCACTCCCAGGTCAGGTGCATGCTAGGGACAGACCCTCACTGCCCGATGACCTCATGATCCCAAACTATTAGGAAGCCATTGCTTTCTCCATCTCTCCTGATGGACTCTGCACACCACCTCACAGTCTAATTAGCACTGGATCTAGAAACAGAGGGACTGCGGATAAGTAGGAAGTGGATAGTGAAGACAGGACTTGCGCTGAAACAGGATTGTTGCAGGAGGTCATGCACAAAACGAGACTTGCAATTTTAACAGGACATCTGCATCAGTGCTGTGAAAGAAAGGGACATTGAGCAGAGGCTGAAGCAGGTCATTCAGGAGTGGGACAACAAAACCTTCGCATTTGGCAGCTTCAAAACCCGTGGAGAGCTTCTCTTGCGAGGAGACACGACCTCGGAAATCATCGCCAGCATGGAGGACAGCTTGATGCTGCTGAGCTCGCTGCTGAGCAATAGGTATGGCAACAAGCCGACCTCTCCTTCCCTTCCTTTCTCCCTCCTTCCCTCCCTCCCTACCCATCCTTTCTCCCTTCCTTTCTTCTTCCCTCTCTCCCTTCCCTCTTTCCCTCTTCCCCTCCTTCCTTCCTTCCCACCCGCCTTCCTTCCCTCCCACCCTCCTCCCTTCCCTCCCTTCCTCCTTCTCCCCTCCTGTTCCTTCCTTCCCTGATTCCTTCCCTGCTTCCTTCCTTCCTTCCTTCCTTCCTTCCTTCCTTCCTTCCTTCCTTCCTTCCTCCCTCCCTCCCTCCCTCCCTCCCTCCCTTCCTTCGTTCTTTGTGCTAGGAACAAACCTACACCCCACACAAACAAGGCATTTGTTCTATCACTGAGCCATATTCTCAGAGCCAAACTGTACATCTTTTTCCTGAGAACTGAGAACCATAATAATAAACAAATCAAAGGAAATTAGAAAATGCAGCAATACCTCTCATACAATTTCTTCATTAAAACTACCTGTAAAACCGGTTTTTAATTTTAGCCTCGGGTGCAGCATACATAGTCTTGGTATACTTTATTCTCCCCTGCCTGTTCCATCTGCGTGATGCCATCACTGGAATGCAATCACGAATCATGTGGTTAGCCACTTGGCTTTTATGGCCCATGCCAGCTTTGCTACAACAGCCCTCCAACACTGCCAACAGCACAGTGACTCTGGAACGCAGGGAGACAGGGATTCTGGATTTGGAACTCTAAGTACTGTACTTGGACATTCTTTCTTTGTTGTTTTTGTCAAGATCTATGCAATAGAAACCCTTAGTTGTGTACTTATGTTAATAAGATGACCAAAAGAGATAGAAAATTACCTGTTTAATTCACTAACAGAAGTAGACAGCAGAGCCAACAAATAGCCTACCATTATCAAAACCAAGCACAAAAATTTATAAGTCTACAACTGTACCTCATGGTGTCTCACTAATAAAAATTTAAAAAAACATAATGTTTTGATAAGAAACCATAATTTGGCCTTGCAAGTCATAGCTTGGAACTTACATTTCCTTGATGCATTGTTTTCTTTTGTTCATTTTGAAATAATTTGCCCTTCTCGATATTTTATGTTTGTATAAAATGCAGGGGTTATTAAAATGAATGATTGTTACTTTATAAAATGTACCTCTATTCTTTTAGTATAGGTGTATCAGTGCTTTTTGTGTTTTTCTTTTATTTGTTTTGGGACCATACCAAGCTATGCTCAGGTTACTCCTGGCTCTGTGCTCAGGGATCACTCCTGGATCTGCCTTGCACAGGGTCTGGCGTTTGCAAGGCAAACACCCTATCCACTGCCTGATACTTTTTGATGCAGTTTTTAAGTAGGTTGTTCTTTTTTTTTTTTTTTTATCTTTAATCATTTTCTTTATTTTTTTTTGTTTTTTTTTCCCCTTTTTTTTTTTCCCCTTTATTTTATTTTATTTTTTTTAAAGTTGTAGATTTACAATTTTTTGTGCTTTGGTTTCAATTATACAATGATCAGATACCCATCCCTCCACCAGTGCCCATTTTCCACCACCATGGATAATATCCCTCCCACCCCCATCCCCCCATCCCCCCTGTCTCTGTGGCAGGGCAATCCCCTGTGTTCTCTCTCTCCTTTTGGGTGTTGTGGTCTGCAAAAGAGGCATTGAGTGGCAAACATGTTCAGTCCATAAGTAGGTTGTTCTTTTTTGTTTTTATTTTTGAATACAAATTTATTTATATGTTATTGTAGTTTATGAAGTTATAGTAGTGTTAAAATTTGTACTGTTAGGCGTTTGCCTTACAAGCGGCCAACAAGGCCGACCCAGGTTTGATTCCTCCGCCCCTCTTGGAGAGCCCAGCAAGCTACCGAGAGTATTCGATATGCCAGACACAGTAACAACCAAGTCTCCAATGGAGACGTTACTGGGCCCGCTCGAGCAAATCGACGATCAACGGGAGGGCCTTTACCTTTACTTTACTTTTATAAAATTACTAACCCCCCAATCACAAAGTAGCATGGTGCTCCATGTGTTCCCCGTTTTTCTACAATGGGTTTTCTCTCTTCACCCCACCCCAGCCCCACTATTAGGTAATTTGCTCCGAATCCCAGTGCCAAGATTTGGTTATTTTTCAGCACTGTCTGTTATTTATTTAGATTCTGTATTTTAGATTGTTTTGATTTCTTTCTCTTTTACTGTATTGTTTACAAATAAAATGTAAAGCTTTTGTATCTTGATGTTGTTGCCCGTTTCTCTCTTTCTTTCTTTTTATTTATTTATTTTTTATGTAGGAGTACTGCTATTTATTCAGCCACTGATTAGCTGATTGAATTGGGCATGAACTCCACCTTACTTTTTTTTCCATTTTTTATAATTTTATTTATTGAATCACCCTGAGAGCAGTTACAAAGCCTTCGGGTTTAAGTCTCGGTCATACAATGAAACACCCGTACCTTCACCAGTGCCCATTCTCCACCATCAAAAACCCCAGTATAACCCCATCCCCACCCTCCCCCTACCTGTGGGGTAGATGATTTCCACATTACTCTCTCTATACTTTGATTACATTCAACATTTGGACACCACACCCACCATTAACATGGTCACGGTTCTCCCGTTATTCATTGATTTGCTCGAGCGGGCCCAGTAGCATCTCCATTTTGAGACTTGTTGTTACTGTGTTTGGCATATTGAATACGTCACGGGGAGCTTGCCAGGCTCTGCCGGTAGCTTGCCGGGCTCTCCGAGAGGGGCGGAGGAATCGAACTCGGGTCGAACATGTTGGCCGCTTGCAATGCAAACGCCCTGCCGCTGTGCTATCGCTTTATTATTTGGGATTTTATCCCAACACTCAGATCTGCTGAAAAGGCAACAGGAAACCATTTGTGTTCTATTGCTGGTTATGGTGATGTTGCGCAGCTGCAGTAGTGGCCACGTGATTTTGAAATTTTGAAATTTTAACAGTTAAATCTGGAAGGATTTCTGTCAAAACCTGCTGGGTTCTGAGATTTGTTCTGGAGTCTCTGGGATCATGGCCATTAAGCAGCTTGATCAGGAACCAGAAAGGCCGTTCGTGGGTGGCGACTTGGGGTCTCATTGGGACAGGGAGGAAGGGGCCGGCTCCACCCCCATCCCGTGAGGCCCCACGTGTCTCATCACTGAGGGCCCAGACCTGACCGTCCAATGGCCTCTGGAGGGTGGTGGCCACCGAGCCACCTAGGGGCAGCAGGCGGAGGGACAGCATCCTTTCCCCCCTGGGGTGGCCCAGTGACAGTAACCTACTGTGAGTCTGGACTCATTTCTGCCAAAAGCCAGTGGGTTTTGAGGTTTGTTTCTGAGTCTCTGGGATCATGGCCGTTAAGCAGCTTGATCAGGAACCAGAAAGGCCGTTCGTGGGTGGCGACTTGGGGTCTCATTGGGACAGGGAGGAAGGGGCCGGCTCCACCCCCATCCCGTGAGGCCCCACGTGTCTCATCACTGAGGGCCCAGACCTGACCGTCCAATGGCCTCTGGAGGGTGGTGGCCACCGAGCCACCTAGGGGGAGCAGGCGGAGGGACAGCATCCTTTCCCCCCTGGGGTGGCCCAGTGACAGTAACCTACTGTGAGTCTGGACTCATTTCTGCCAAAAGCCAGTGGGTTTTGAGATTTGTTTCTGAGTCTCTGGGATCATGGCCATTAAGCAGCTTGATTAGGAACCAGAAAGGCCGTTCGTGGGTGGCGACTTGGGGTCTCATTGGGACAGGGAGGAAGGGGCCGGCTCCACTCCCATCCCGTGAGGCCCCACGTGTCTCATCACTGAGGGCCCAGACCTGACCGTCCAATGGCCTCTGGAGGGTGGTGGCCACCGAGCCACCTAGGGGCAGCAGGCGGAGGGACAGCATCCTTTCCCCCCTGGGGTGGCCCAGTGACAGTAACCTACTGTGAGTCTGGATGCATTTCTGCCAAAAGCCACTGGGTTCCGAGATTTGTTTCTGAGTCTCTGGGATCATGGCCGTTAAGTAGCTTGATCAGGAGCCAGAGAGGCTGTTTGTGGGCTGCGACACAGGGTCTCGTTGGGGTAGGGAGGAAAGAGCCGGCTCCACCCCCATCCTGTGAGACCCTGCGTGTCTCATCACTGTGGTTGCCTGTCTCTTTAACAGTTCGTTCTTTCTAAGAGGTGTTTTTTTGTTTTTTTAAAGAGGAGACTTTAGGGCTTTCTATGCATATTAAGATATCATCTGCAAATTGAGATAACTTTTGTTCATTTCCAATTTGAATTTAAAGGCCACGTGTAACTTACAGGTGTCAATTACATTCATGTGTAATTTACATGTTACTAATAACAGTTAGATAGAAATCACTGAGGAAATTTCTACAGAGATGTGAAAATGATTAAAAATGCCTTCTGGTTGGAAAATTGCAACAAAAAGAAGATCTGAAGCCTCTAAATTATTGATCATCTTTCTCATTTTAGGTACAATGTGCCTTTCAAAACCCAGATTCAAAAATGGGTACAGTATCTTTCCAACTCCACCGACATCATTGAGAACTGGATGATGGTGCAAAACTTGTGGATTTATCTGGAAGCCGTCTTTGTGGGAGGAGATATTGCTAAGCAGCTTCCTAAGGTTTTAGAATGTTCTTTATGCTTCCACTTGGATTTTATTTTGTTTTATTGGTTTTTGGGCCACACCTCACTGGGTGCCGTACTTGTTCTTGCTCTGTGCTCAGGAGTCACTCCTGGCGGTGCTTGGGGGACCATCTGGGGTGCTTAAGTTGTGTGCGAGGCAAGCACTTTACCAGCTATACCTCCAAACACTTCACTTGGATTTTAGTTTAGAGAAGTATTCAGTAGCAATTCCGTTTAAAAATGAGCTTCAATTTCAACCTCTGTTGAGCCCTCCCCCCTCAATCTGTTGGGGATTGCTATAGAGCAAGTCTTCCAATATACAGTAATTCTGGAAAAGAAGGAGTGGTGTGAAAAATTGGTGAAGGAATAATATAAAGTGATTAGGTTTTAAAAGGAGACAGAGGGTTAAAAAATGAAGAATGAAAGCGTGAATTATTGATACACTTCAAATAATCAAAAGGTAGAATTATAGAGTAGTTATCTTGACAATGGTAGGATAATTTGCTCTTCTACTGCTGACATTTAAAAATAACTCACACGATATAAAATACCCAATTATATCTGCACTGAAGGGTGGAAATAAACTGGGAGAAATCTGTCAAACAAAAAAGTCCCTCTTAAGATGTATTTTTTCCCTCATCAAATTACAGTCATCTCACTAGATATACATAGATAGAATATATTTTGAGCTTTTGAAAAAGATGACAAAATCTTAGGAGTTCTTATTCAATTACCTCAAATCATTGGCAAAATTATAACATTTTGAACAGTCTATTTGAATTTAGAAGCCTGATTATATTGAGAGAGTCTCCAAAGTAAAGCTTTCTTTTTACTTGGTTTCTGTTTATTTATATATCTCCTTGCCAGTTTCCTTTTTTTGGCTACTGGTGAAATATATCCATAGACATAAATGTAAGTTGTTGTTGTTTGACTTAGCTTTTATATTTAGCATGGTTTTCTTCTTGATGGGTGGAGAACCCCCAGGTGAACTGATCAGTGTTAACTTTGACATACAGTATAGAAAGAACGAGGCAGGCTCCTTGCCATCATAATTGATGAGACATGCTCATTGCTGAAACTAAGAAAGTCTCAAGGAAGAGAATAAAAGTCTAAACACTTACCAAAAACATCTATTCACTTCTCTGCTTTTTTCCTGAAAAACAGGTTAGGGCTATACCAGATTTTATTTTGTATCTTCTTCTTCGCCTTTGGTTTTGGTGCCACACCTGGCAATGCTCAGGGCTTATTTCGGCTTTGTGCTCCTGGCAGCCTCAGGGGACCATAAGAGGTGCCAGGGACTGATGCCAGGTGGACTGCTTGAAATGCAAATGCCCTCTCCTCTGTACTATCTCTCTGCCCCCACCGCCCTACACTCTCTTTCTCTCTTTCTTTCTTTCTCTCTCTCTTTCTTTCTTTCTTTCTTTCTTTCTTTCTTTCTTTCTTTCTCTCTCTCTCTTTCTTTCTCTTTCTTTCTTTCTTTCTTTCTTTCTTTCTTTCTTTCTTTCTTTCCATACTTTTTTCTTGGCTTTTTGGGTCACACCCAGAAATGCTCAGGGGTTATTCCTGGCTCTGCACTCAAGAATTACTCCTAGCGTTGCTTGAGGGACCATATGGGATGCCAGGGATTGAACCTGGGTCGGCTGCATGCAAGGCAAACACCCTACCCGCTGTACTAGCGCTCCTCCCCGCCCCCCAATCCCCATCCACATCTTTCTTTAAAATGTTAACTCTGTTGTCTAAATATCCAAAGGATTCAATGCAAAATAAATATAAAGTATGAAAAATCGAAAACTTGCTTTATTTGGAGATAATCACTGAGAACAGTAGCGTGTGTCTTTTTCCCCATGCTGTCTCATATTGTGCTTTTGTTTTTGTATATTCCTCCCCCCCCCCATTTTTGCTAAACATAAAGAGGGTACTAGGGTTAAGTTAAATAGCATCTTTATTTAAGATGGGGTAGTAAAGTCAATTGGGAGGATGGAACTAGAGCCCATGTGGCATTTGGGGAATCCAGCTGGGGTGCTCAGGGCGTCAGCTGGGGCCCAGAGTGGGGGAGGGGGAGGTGTGCTGCCCTTGACACCACTGGGGGCGGGGGGAACCCGTCATTCCCTTTCCCTTTCCCACAGGAAGCCAAGCGTTTTTCCAACATCGACAAATCCTGGGTGAAGATTATGACTCGGGCGCACGAGACCCCGAACGTGGTCCAGTGCTGCGTGGGAGATGAGACTATGGGGCAGCTGCTGCCTCACCTGCTGGAACAGCTGGAGATGTGCCAGAAGTCCCTGACGGGGTAAGACACTCAGTGAGCACCCTCGTGCATGAAGGCTCCAGAGATACGAGCTGGGAGATTCCAGGTCTGTGTCTGTGGTGAAGACTCAACTTCCTGTCCACAATGTTGCACAGATCCAACGGCTGGTTTGGAATCTCATGTCCTCTGCGAGCCCTTCCTGGATATGTCCTGATGACGGCATTCTGGGGCTTCTAGTTAATTCCATCACTAAAACAAGAGTTTGCAATAGTTCTCCAGCTGTCCTTTAAAATGAATATTCTTCTTTTTTTCTTTGGTTAAAATTTTTTATTAGTGAATCACCATGGGGTACAGGTACTGCACTGCACTGCCCTCCTGTTGTTCATCTATTTGCTTGAGTGGTAATGTCTCAGTAACGTCTCCATCGTGAGACTTGTTGTTACTGTGTTTACTGTGTTTGGCATATCGAATACGTCATGGGTGGCTTTCCAGGCTTTGCCATGTGGGCAAGACACTCTCAGTAGCTTGCCAGACTCTCCAAGAGGGGCGGAGGAATCAAACTCAGGTCGGCCATGTGGGCTGCGTGCGAGGCAAAAATGCCCTACCCACTCTGCTACAGTTGCAGACTTATAAACTTTTGTGCTTGCGTTTCAGTCATACAATGACCCATTCCTCCACCAGTGCCCATTTTCTTCCACCAATGGTCCCTCATCCCTCCCACCTCCCCCACCCCATCCCCTCCACCCTACCCCGCCTCTGTGGCAGGGCATTTCCTTTTTCTCTCTTTCTCTTTGGGTGTTGTGGTTTGCAATAGAGGTATTAAGTGGTCATCATATTCGGTCTGTAGTCTACTTTCAGCCTGCATCTCCCATCCTGAGCAGGCCCTCCTAGCACCCTTTACTTGGTGGTTCCTTCTCTATCTAAGCTGCCTTTTCCCCCAGCATGTGAGACTGGCTTCCAAGCCGTGAAGCAATCCCCCTCGTACTTATCTTTACTATTCTCGGGTGCTAGTCTCCCATTCTGTTACTTTAAAGGTAAAGGTAAAGGCCCTCCCGTTGATCGTCGATTTGCTCGAGCGGGCCCAGTAACGTCTCCATTGGAGACTTTGTTGTTACTGTGTCTGGCATATTGAGTACTCTCGGTAGCTTGCCGGGCTCTCCGAGAGGGGCGGAGGAATCGAACTCGGGTCGGCCATGTTGGCCGCGTGTAAGGCGAACGCCCTACCCGCTGTTACTTTATATTCCACAAATGAGTGCAATCTTTCTATGTCTGTCCCTCTCTTTCTGACTCATAAAATGAATATTCTTCTTTTTCTTTCTGATACCCTTCTTAGAAAAGCATCTTTACAACCCAAATACTATTGCATTGTGCTCAATAAATGTAAGATGAATAATGTGTTTAAAAGTAGTCACATTAGACAGGTAAGAGTCTGCTTTTATTTAAGTCAAATTACTGGGAGATATACAGTTACAAAGTTGTTCATGATAGGGTATCAGTCATAGTGTGTCCCAATACCCATCCCTCACCAGTGTACATTTTTCACCGCCAACACCCTCAGTTTCCCTCCTGCCACCTTCGCCATTTGCACGCACCCCCTCCTCCCCCGCCCCGTGCCCTGCGCTTTACACAGCCTGCCTATAAGACAGGCACTTTTCTTTGATCTCTCTCTCACTCTGTTTTTCTCCTGGGAATTATAGTTTGCAATACAGCGAGGTTCTTATATATATCCTTTATGCTTGTTTCAGCAACGAGTCTGCTTCTAAGTTATTGGTATGCACAGACATACAGACACGCACATTTTACATATATAGAGCTATGTAAAGGAGTAATTATTAAATCTCCCCTTGGATAATCAGGATCAAGATATGAAAGTAAAAATATACCCAGTTGTCATTAAGTACATTTGATTGATTGAAATTGATTACTCTCAAGATCAAATCATGAAAGTAAAAATATAATTAATTGTAATGTTCTAGGGAGATTGAGGCATAGAATCTTTTGTTTTGATGGTATACTCAGCAGTGCTCAGGTGTTACTCCTGGCTCTGTGCTCAGGGATCAGTCCTGAAGGTGCTGAGGGAACGAAATGTGTTGCTGTGTATCAACCTGGCTCAGCTGTGTGCAAGACAAACACCTTGATCCTTGTACTGTCTCTCTTTTAAATATTTCCCTTCCTAAAATGTATATACAGTTTATGAGCATTTAGAGTTATGATAATTTTTCTTACTGCCACTGGTGATAGCACAGCGGGTAGGGCATTTGCCTTGCACACGTCCAATAAGGCCGACCCGAGTTTGATTCCTCCACCCCTCTCGGAGTGCCTGGCAAGCTACCGAGAGTATCCCGCCTGCACGTCAAAGCCTGGCAAGCTACCCATGACATATTTGATATACCAAACACAGTATCAACAAGTCTCACAATGGAGACGTTACTGGGCCCGCTCGAGCAAATCGATGAACAACAGGAGGACAGTGCTACAGTGCCACCTGCAAATTATGTTTGAGGGAGATTTTTTGTCATTTTAGATATTTGTATTTCCTCCCAAGTTCCTCACTTACCCTCACCTATCCATACATATCTTTTATTCCCTTCCTTCTTTCACCCCCTGAAAAAGTTCTCTCTTTTGGTGAATTTGCAACCGGCTCAACAGAGCCAAAGTCTGCATTTGACTGAATCTCCCCTTCCCCTCACGCGTTCCCCACGAGTGCCTCTGAAGACCTTCACCCGCTGTGACTGCTGATTCACTTAATTCTGTAGTAAAAATTCTCTTTCCCTATGCACAGAATTCTGCTTCTGTGAAATAAAGCTATTGCCACCATAATTCTTCACAGCAAAGAGATAAAAAACAATTGATGTGGAAGGAGAAGAAATTAAAAAAGACACACTTGGAAAAGAGTACTAGTAAACTTTCAGATGGAAACTGGAGAGACCAAGAGATGTAGTTCAAGTGATTCTGATCTTTCTTAAAAGGGTTAGATCACTGGTATTGTATTTCCTGTCCTCAATGCCATAGCCAGGAATGAAACCGCTCCCCAGTCCCCCGATAAAGTATAAGGAAACAACAATGAATACTGTGTTCATTACATCCAAGTGTGCTAGAAAATGAGGAACAGTTATGAGAATCAGAGAGTAGTCCACAATGTAGGGGATGGTTGCAAAATAGAGTAGCTCTAGCAGCAAGAGTCCCGTTGCCAGAGGGCTAGGCAGGAGGGTTGCCTGCGCCTGAGATGCTCCAGCGCCAGCAAATCAAGCCCAGGCCTTTCCAACAGCTCGTTCCCAGCTGGATTCTTCTTCTGCTTTGGTGGTGGAGTCATTGATGAGTCTCTGAAGCAACAATTTCACAAATGAGATGCAGCTTTGCGCTGACCTAGCACTGTGCTTGCAAAATAATCAAAACCAAAGTGCTTCCTGTGTGAATTTTTCTCTCCCAGTTCTCTGCAAAGAAAATGCAATGTTTTCAGTGAAGTCCAATGGAAACTGCGGAGGTCCTTCTACTAGTTGGGTAAACAACAAATTGTTCGCCTCGCCCAGTTTGGAGAGCTACTGGCCAGACAAAGCCAAAACATCAATGTTGGACAGTATGTGGGCAAAATCCGATGGTTTCAGAAATACCCCCACAGCTCCATCCAGATGAATTTATTCATAGGAACGTCAGCCTTGCGTGCTTTTTAAAGATTATTCTTTTCCTTTCACTTAGATACTTGGAGAAAAAACGACTTTGCTTTCCACGGTTCTTCTTTGTCTCAGACCCTGCCTTGCTAGAAATTCTGGGACAGGCGTCAGACACACACACCATCCAGGCCCATTTGCTGAATGTATTTGACAACATCAAAACCGTCAAGTTCCACGAAAAGGTTAGCCTGATTCTGTGTAGCTGACAGTGATAGCATCTTTGGCTGCCTTTATTTAATCATCCTCTACCAAGGTGTTTCATTTTGATTTTTTGTTTTGTTTTGCTTTGTTTTAAATTTATTTATTGATTCACCGTGAGAACAGTTACAAAGCTTTCAGGTTTAAGTCTCGGTCATACAATGGTCAGACACCCATCTCTTCACCAGTGCATATTTTCCACCACCTAGAACCCCAATAGACCCCCCCATCCCGCCCCTCCCCATGCCTGTGAGGCAGATGATTTCCACTTAACTGTCTTTCTTCTTGATTACATTCATTATTTCAAAAAAAGATGCACCATTGTTATTTGGAATTTTCTCCCAACAATCAAACCTGCTGAAAAGTCATCATAAAATAATTTGTTTTCTATTGCTGGTTATGAAGAGCATGTGATTTTGATTTCTGATATTTTACTAATTAAGTCTGGAAGGATTTCTGCCAAAAGCCGCATAGCTCCAAGATTGGTTTGTGTGCCTCTGGGCCCATGGCCGTGCCAGAGAGCCACTCATTGGGGGCAACTCCTGGTCTCGTCAGGGCAAGAAGAACATGCTGGTTCCGTTCCTCCATCCCATGAGGCCGCAGTTGCTCTGTCACTGCCGGCTCATACCTGGGCTGCTCAATAAGCTCTGAGGCAGCAGCCATCATGCTGTGGGGGTGGGGGGGTGGGGGAGTGGAAGGTGGAAGAGATAGACACCCTTTCCCTCCTGGGGGTGGGGGCACGGCGTCATAGCTTAATGCATAGTCCATTCACATCTCTGCCAAAAGCTGCTGGGTTCTGAATTAGGTCCATGTGCCTCTGGGGCCATGGCCTTGCTGGAGAGCTGCTTGGGGGAGGGGGCAACTTGTGGTCTCGGCAGGGCAAGAAGGACGTGCCGGTTCCTCCTTGATTTGATTTTTATGGTGGGATTCCCAAATAGAACTCAGGGGGGGCTCTGCCCTGACCCTGCCTTACTCAGCCAATCAAGGCAGATGGCTCACTGGTGGGTTTAGGGGTTCTGCATCCCACCAAGGAAATCTTGGCAGTTCCTGGAGAGCAGGGAGGCAAGTGGTACCGGTAAGAATTTACGTGACCCTTGAAAACTAGGCTGTTTCCCTGGCCTGCCGATACTATGTTTTTAAAGGTTTACTGTCCATTAAGTCTCAGCCAGGACTAAAAAGAAATTTTTGGGTTCAGTTTGCCTTCAAATTCTGATTCTTTTTAATATCCCAATTTGATTAACAAATTGCTTACAGGGTGTTAGGAATGCCGCAGTAGAGAGCATCATTTTATGTGCCAAGTTAACAATTTAGAAATTCAACAAACACAAGTCAATTGCTCATAAAATATCATCTTGTCTAGAATTGCAAGAATTCAGTGGTTTCCATCAGGTTTCAGAAGTAATTGGACTGATGGGATTCCTTGTTTTTCATCATGTTTGGTTAAAACACTTTTTTAACTGTTCCCAACAAGTCTTTAGCCTCATGGAGATTCCAAAGAGGTCATTAAACATGGGATTCCAAAGAACTCATTAAACATGAGGTTTTTTGGGTCAAACTCAACAGTGCATGGGACTTACTTCTGGCTCGGGACTTTCTCCTAGATTTGTGCTTACGAATTTAACTTCCTTCTGACTTGGCAAAGGCCATGAAAGGTATTAAATAGGGCAGTGCCCTCGTTTCTAGTTCAAAGAGTTTCTCTGGCTCAGTTTAGGAGATACAGTGAAAGGAATCCAGTATCAGAAACGATTGCAAATTCAGAATGGAAAAGGCGGAGCTGCCCTGACAAAGTGGGCTGGGTTCTCGGTTGGGTTGAAGAGAACATGACTCCACTTCATACGGAGCAAAAAAAAAAGAGAGCGATCTGCCATTTAAAGTTTTCATAATTTTGCTTGATTGGCAAGAACATCCCTGGAAGTGGGAGAGGCATTTTTTTTTGGGGGGGGGCACTGCTGGGGAGGAAACCCAAGGCCTCACCCCTCACACAGGCAAAGGAAATGTTCTCCTGCTGATTCAGATTGTGTGGGATTTCAGGAGCCTGAAGGGAAATGAGTGGACAGGACAATGCATCTGAATTAGCAACACAAATGTCTCTTAGACTCAATGTTTGTAAATGTAAATCAAGAGCTCTGGTAAAGTTTAGTGCATAGTTGGAATTCCTTGTGAGGACTCTGTGTTAATCCCGTAGATCAGGTCATTACTAATGACAGTGTGATGGCTTGTGATGTGAATACTCTGAAATGAGGCACTCTCACAGAGATAGTGAGGATGAGGAACTGAGAGAGATCTGAGAATAAAGAGCCAGCACAGAGATAATCTAAGGTGAGAATATCTGAAAGTGAAGCATTATGTCAGAGATATCTGAGAGAGGAGGAACTATCTCAGAGATGTGTGGGGGATGGGGAACTGAGAGATAGCTGAGAGTGAGGAACTATCTCAGAGACATCTAAGCTGAGAATATCTGAGAGTGAGGCATATGTCAGAGACATTTGAGAGCTGAGAAACTGTCTCAGAGATGTCTAAACATTGTGGAACTCAGATTTCCTACTCATTAGGGGAAATATTAGGTTTCTTTTTTTGATCATCATGGTTTGTATTGACTATTTCCCTTAGAAAACAATTTTACCTCCCTTCATAGAAATTATTTGAATCTGATATAGCGTTTTCTTTTAGAGTCCTTGGCTAGTGTTTTCAGTTTGAATTTGTTTGTATATTCATATTTTGCCTTTGCCTTTATAATCTGCCACTTCTATGGGAAGGATAACATTCACAACAGAGCAATGAAGGAAGTCAGTGTTTATATGAAGATACAGAATTTTAATTTTTGGCTTCTAACACAGGTCTATGATCGCATTCTTTCAATTTCCTCTCGCGAGGGCGAGACGATTGAATTGGCCAAACCTGTGATGGCAGAGGGCAACGTGGAAGTGTGGCTTAACTCTCTCTTAGAGGAATCTCAGTCATCACTACACCTTGTGATTCGCCAGGCAGCGGAAAGTATTCAGGAAACAGGTTTCCAGCTGATTGAATTTCTTTCTTGCTTCCCTGCTCAGGTTAGTATATGGGAATTGGAAGGCATTTTTTTAAAATTTTACAGAATAGTCTTTTATATTTCACACATTTTCAGTTGTTAACTATATAACTGGGTATGCAGTTCATGAACTAATCTAACTATAGACCAATGTTGAAGTTTTCATAGAAATTTGTTAAATATAGTTAGGTTTAAATGATATCAATGCAGCTTGTTTGGTCTTACACGTAAGTAAGTACATGTAAACACACATATAAATATATGACTGTATATTCACTTAAATATTGTTATCATATTATAGTGGTATTTGTATATTTTATTTACCTTAAAATGTTTTTCTGGGCCAGAACAATAGTACAGCGGGGAGGGCATTTGCCTTGCATGCAGCCAACTAGGTTCAATCTCTGGTATCCCATAAGGTCCCCCAAGCACTGCCAGGAATAACTCCTGAATGCAGAGCCAGGAGTAATCCCTGAGTGTCGCTGGGTGTGACCCAAAAAGCAAAAAAAAATGTTTTTCTACAGAATCTTTTTTCTGTAGATGAATCAGAAAATGTATTTACCAAAATAATGAGAAGTATATTTCAGCATTATATATATATACACACATATATATATACATATATATATATCAGTGTTTTCTTAGGTACTGTGATCAAGTAAGAATATTTTAAGTTTATGCTGTGAGAAAATTCTCTGTATGTTTGGAGATAGCAGATTTAACACATTTTCTTTACCTGCTCATAACTAAAATTTATCTAGGGAGAAGCAAGACATAAACAATAAAGACTTAAAATGACAAGAAATTCTGGCTATCTATTTAATTGTCAGGTAACAGTGTGAATGGAATTTTCATATATTTGGAAATGACACATCAGAATGATGTAATCACTGATGTTCCATTTGCATAATCATTGCATCTATTTGCTCTGTGGCATTTTCCACTGAAATATTAATGTCGTCTGCACTCATGAAGCCTTTTGTTTCTCATAAGGTTGGCTTATTAGGAATTCAAATGATATGGACACGAGATGCAGAAGAGGCCCTCAGAAATGCCAAGTTTGATAAAAAAATAATGCAGAAAACCAACCAGTCCTTTCTCGAACTCCTGAACACACTGATAGACATCACAACCAAAGAACTGAGCTCCATGGAGCGAGTGAAATATGAGACTTTGATTACTATTCATGTGCACCAAAGGGACATCTTTGATGACCTGGTAAATGTTTTGCAAATGCCCTGACACATACACAAAGCAAATCCTGGATGCTCTCTGTGCTTACCGGGGGCAGTCAGTTTGAATGGCTTTTAAGCAAAGGTAACACTGAAGCTAAGAATCCTTTTTTTTTTAAATTTTTTTATTAGTGAATCACCGTGGGGTACAGTTATAGACTTACAAAATTTCGTGCTTGTGTTTCAGTCATACAATGGTTGAGTACCCATGCCTCCACCAGTGCCCATTTCCCACCACCAGTGGTCCCAGAATCCCTCCCACTAGCCCTGCTCCATCTCCTCCACCCCATCCCGCCTCAGTGGCAGGGCATTCTCTTTTGTTCTCTCTCTCCTTTTGGGTGTTGTGGTTTGCAGTAGAGGTATTAAGTGGCCATCATGTTCGGCTGGAGCGATAGCACAGCGGTAGGGCATTTGCCTTGCACGCAGCCAACATGGCCAACCCAAGTTCGATTCCTCCACCCCTTTCGGAGAGCCCAGCAAGCTACCTAGGGTCTGTCGCCCGCACGGCAAAGTCTAGCAAGCTCCCCGTGACATATTCGATATGCCAAACATAGTAACAAGAAGCCTCACGATGGAGACATTACTGGGCCCGCCTGAGCAAATCGGTGAACTACGGGAGTTCATGTTCGGTCTACTTTCAGCACGCATCTCCCATCCCGAGCGGGCCCCTCCTAGCACCCTTTACTTGGTGGTCCCTTCTCTATCTGAGCTGCCTTTTCCCCCAGCATGTGAAGCCGGCTTCTAAGCTGGAGTAATCCTCCAGGTATTTCTCTCTACTGTTCTTGGGTGCTAGTCTCCCATTCTGTTACTTTATATTCCACAAATGAGTGCAGTCTTTCTATGTCTGCCCCTCTCTTTCTGACTCAAAGAATCCTTTTCTTGATTAGGACTTGTCAGAGTGTTTTTCAATCCTATTACTGAGGAAATTAAGCCTTCACATTTTATTATGTGATCATGTTTAATGATCAAATGTCATGTAGCAGCCTGAAAAGATTTCATTTGTTCTATGTTCCTTTTAGTTATTAATTAAAGATCACCAGATTCTTCCTGCAGAAATAATTGGTAATTTTATTTTGAAAAAATAAAACTAGCAGAGGGGGCCTGAGCGATAGTATAGCAGGTAGGGCATTTGCTTGGCATATGGTGGACCTGGGTTCAATCCCCGGCATCCCATATGGTCCCCCAAGCACCACAAGGAGTAATTCCTGAGCACAGAGCCAGGAGTAACCCCTGAGTATCGCTGGATGTGACCCCAAAAGAGAAAAAACCTCTAGCAGAGTTTCTCAGTTGCTCAGGGCTTTACGATGGACACATCTCTAACAAATTTTGCTACATTTTTGTGTCAGTAATTACAAATAATCTTTCCTAACACCATCTATAATATTCTGGTGTTGTGTAGGTTTTTACTTTTAAGGACAGTGGGGAAGAGTTTAGTAGCTATGGAAATTATGAAATGTGGGAGGCAGCAGAGGGAAAAAATTGTCCTCAATACATTAGATAAGAGGCATGAAGCTTTTATTTTCCTAATAATTTTCTGGATTGGGTCTCACCCCATTATAAAAAAATGATTATGAAAGATTTGTTCTGCTTTAAAGGAAATAGAACCAGGACGTTCAGGCCTTTGTGTGCTAATCTCTTCTCTTAATAGTTAAGCCCACTCTTTGCCTCTCTGAGAAATAAAGGACTCAGAGTAATTTTGGATTTCTTATTTGTCAAAGGAAAATGATTAAAGTGGCTTAAAATTTGTTTAAAAGATTCAGACAAAAGCATTGCTGGGCAATAACCTGTCATTTCAATGTTAGAAATGTGGTCTGCCGCAAATCCTTGGAAAAGTAATAAATGGATTTAAAATACCCACCGACATACTTTGTCATAGTCATGAGAGATGCTTCTCTGAGATTCTTTAGTTCTGTCTTTGTGTACCATATTTTCCAGAGACTATATTTAATGATTAGGACCGCAGCATTGGGCATTTTGGGGTGAAATTATAAAACCTGAATCTTTTAATGTTAAACTGTTTCATACTGCTTAAATTGGTGGGATGAGGGGAGAAAGCACAATGAGAAGTTTCTTTCCTTTAAATTTTTTTTTGTCGAATCACGTGAATTAGCAAGTTACCAAGTTATTCATGATTGGGTTTCAGATGCACAATGTTCCAACACCCACCCATGCCTTCCTTGAGTCCTTCCTCCACCAATGTCCCCAGTTTCCCTTCCCCACCCCATCCCCCACCCCCACCCCCACCTACCTCTATGGCAGCCACTTTCCCCCTTTTTATTGTAAGGCACCATGGTTGGTGATACTGTCCCTGAGACCATTTGGCACTTGTCCCTATGGGTCCTTCCAGCACCCAGCTGTCACCCAGATTGTTCACTTTCCCCTAGCTTCTGCCTTTCCCTCCCCATGTTTGTAAGGTCTCTCTTATCGCTGCTCGGAAAATAAATGTGTTGGGTGGCAACTAGTTGATGCCCCGAAACTTGCGGGGCTGTTGTGAGTGCCATGAACACTGTATTCGGATCTCGGTGAAGGCCAGTGCGGCCCTTTCCGTCGCTGTGTCTCATCTCACTTGGAACATCCTCCTCTTCCCTTCCAGTGTCACCTGCATATCAAGAGCCCAACTGACTTCGAGTGGCTGAAGCAGTGTAGGTTCTACTTTAACGAGGACTCTGACAAGATGATGATTCACATCACCGACGTGGCTTTCATCTACCAGAACGAGTTCTTGGGCTGCACTGACAGGCTGGTCATCACTCCACTCACCGACAGGTGACAGCAGGGCCCAGGGCCAGCCTCCCGCCCCGTCCCTCTGACATTCTCAGGCTCTCCCGTTGCTCAGGGGTGGGTGAAGGGTTTAGAGGCTCTTCTTCACCCGAGTTTTGGAAGTCAGCATTTTCAGTGTTTTTTTTTTTTTTCCTGTGTGAGTCTTCACAGGACACGTAGGTCTGTGACTGTAAGAGCTGTTGGAGCCTCTGTCAGTCTGGCGGAGACGAAACTGAACTGATCTCAGTAGGTATCGAGTGAGTGGGGAAGGGGACCAGTTGGCATATGTCAGTGGGTACAAACAGGGTGGACTTTCAGGACCTGACTTCAGAGCTGTGCAGTTTGTTGACATTGCATTGAGACAGCGAGATGCTTTTATAGCAGGAAGAAAATTGGATATCAATGCTGGGTCATGTATGGGGGAGGACAGTGGTCTAGACGCCCTGAGTTCTTTCCTGTTTCTTTTGCTGGCTATTTACCAGTTGTCCCAGGTGGAGCCTCCATGTCACTCTGAGAGACTGTTTCCTCCAGTCTGAGAGACTGTGCTTCCTCTACTCTGAGAGACTGTGTTTCTTCCACTCGGAGAGACTTGTTTTTCTCCTCTGAGAGAGACTAGCTTTCCTCCACTCAATTTCCCCCCTCAAAGAAACTGGGTTGCCTCCACTCAGGCTGTTTCCTCCACTCAGCAAGACTTGGTTTCCCCTTTTCAAACTCGGTTTTCTTCACTCAGAGTCACTCAGTTTCCTTCACTCAGAGAGACTGGGTTTTCTTGTCTTTCAGATGCACGAAGCTATCCCCAAGGGTGCTTCCAAGGTGAATGCTCTGTGATTATCCTAGTCTAATGGTCTGTTCCAGGATGTGCCAAATGCCTTGGGCAAAATGACTAAGTGTCAAATTTGATATTTGGCCTAAGAAGAAAGGGAATGTCACTGATTTGTACATAATGGACCTCTGAATTCCAATTAAAATTATCTTTGGATAAAATGTGAAAGTTTGACCCAATAATAATGTTATTTGACCCAATAATAATGTCACTTGCTAGGTTATTTTCTTCTTGGTTAGTGACAATGCTAAGTAAGAAGCTCATTTTCAGCTGAGAAGGACCGGGAGGCAAGGGTATTTATGTATTTATTGCTTTCAGGGACTAACATGGGTACATTTGGGGAACATTGATCTGCCCATCTTTTTTCTCTTCCTCTATTCCTGTCAGATAGTCAGTCGGCCCTTTGCATTGCTAAATCCATGGGTTATTTCTAAATTTCATCTTTCTTAGCTCATCAGCAGCGTTGCCCAGTTGACCCTTTGCTCCTTCCTGATACGTTCTCTTGGCATGGCTTCCAGGTAACCACATTTACTTGGCTGTTTCCCGGGTTCTGGGTCATACCCTCTCCTACAGGTTTCTTCTTTATTGTCTTCATTTTATTTCATTGCTTGTTTTTTAGGGTAGATGGTGAGGGCATAATTGGAGATACTTAGGGGTTACTCCTGGCTCTGCACTCAGGAATCACTCCAGGCAGTGCTTGGGGGACCATATGGGATGCTGGGGATCAAACTCAGATTGGCAGTGTGCAAGGCAGGTACCATACCCACTGTACTGCTGCTCTCCCCCCATCTGTCCTCGTTTCTGAACAAAGAGCTGTAGGTGTCAACTAGACCCGATTCCTCACTGAAGGGATCTATTAGGGGAAGAAGAATTACAATAACTGAGCTTCAGGAAAGTCACAGAAAAGCTCAAATCTTATGACAAAAGACGTCATTTTGACTTTTTAACAAATAGTTACTCTGCATTGAAGTCACATGGCACTATAGTCTGTGTATCAGGACTAGCTCGTAAAAAGCTGACATTTGTAGAGGTAGGGCACCGTTTCTGAAAGCTGAAACATGATAGGAAAGTAAAACAGAAGGAATGGAGAGTCACAACAGGTAGAGTGCGCTGGGAAATCATGGATGAGTGTCCCTGCAGGTGTCTCAAAGATCAGCACGTGCATCTGAGAAGCTCGTCCTGGAGGAGTTTATGGGCCAACAGCTGGTCTGCTGCCCACTTGGGGAAGTGTCTTACCCAGTGTCCCCATCCATCTCTCAGATATAATCAGGATGACTTCTTTTAGGCAGCTCAACAAGTTGTTGCTTCTTCAGTTTAAATGTAAATCTAATATGCCGTGGTTCTGAGGAGGGTTCATGTTTCTGGAGGTGTATCCCTTACCTTGTTAGTGAGGAGATGACCTTGCTTCAGACACCTGAAGACCTACAGGTGGAGAGTCTGGGCTCGAGTCTCAGATCTTTCATCTCCTTCCTGAGAAAAATCCTTTCATCTCTGGGTTTCTAACCCACCATCTGTCATCTGGGAAAGTACCTAGGAGCTCCCTTGCTGGATTCTTTACCGGGGAAGAACTGAGATCTTGAATGGAGACTGCTGCTATCACACGAACTACTCTGGAAGGGAAAATAAAAGTGTAGGAGAAGGAGTAAGATTTTTGGTGAAAAGGTAAAATCAAATCCACGTAGTTAAAGTGACCTGATTTTAAGCCCACCTGTCCCCCCCATCACCTGCCTTTGTATACTCTGAGGGAAGACCTCTGCATGTTTTTTTCAGAACCTGTTCCCAATGACATTGGGGACCATAAGAACTTTAAGAGGTGTGCTCTGCTTATTCCCTCCTCTCAGGCAAAGACAATCACTTTAGAACTCTGAAATCTTTTTCAAGTCCAGGTGACCGATTTCATGTTTGGGTATAAGAAAGGCAAGGCTTCATCTCTTATAAACTGTTCTTCTTTCTCCATGCAGGGTGATGCTGGGAAATGGGTAATTTATCAACAAGGTATCAGGTTGGATGTTTTTCTTCACAGGCATGCTTGTATTCGCTCCCCAGGATCTTTAATTTGTTATTACCATACAGTAAGATAGAATAGTACATAATACTCTCTGGGAGCAATAAATACTCCCAGAAAGAGATTGAATATCTGTCTTAAATCTCATCTTATTATTTCATATGGGGGACATAAAGTAACAAAAAAGGATATTAATACCCAAGAATAGCCGAGATCAGTACCAGGAGGGTTGCTCCATGGCTTAGAGGCCAGCCGGGCGTTCTAGGGGAAAGGGCAGCCCAGATAGAGAAGGGAGCACCAAATAAAGGGTGTTTGGAAGATACTCCCAGGATGGGAGATGCATGTTGAAAGTAGACTATGGACCGAACATGATTGCCACTCAATGCCTCTTTTGCAGACCACAACACCCAAAAGGAGAGGGAAAACAAAAGGGAATGCCCTGCCACAGAGGCAGGGTGGGATGTGGGGGATGGGTGTGGGAGGCATACTGGGATCCATGGTGGTGGAAAATGGGCACTGGGGGAGGGATGGGTATTTGATCGTTGTATAACCGAAACCCAAGCACAAAGATTTGTAAGCCTACAACTGTACCTCATGGTGTTTCACTAATAAAAGGCCCTGGAGCGATAGCACAGCGGTAGGGCGTTTGCCTTGCACGCAGCCAACATGGCCGACCCGAGTTCGATTCCTCCGCCCCTCTCGGAGAGCCCGGCAAGCTACCGAGAGTATTCGATATGCCAGACACAGTAACAACAAAGTCTCCAATGGAGACGTTACTGGGCCCGCTCGAGCAAAATTGACGAACAACGGGAGGGCCTTTCACTAATAAAAATATAAAAAAAAATCTCATCTTATCATGTGTCTTCAAGTATGACAAATTTATTATTATTATTATTATTATTTATAATGTAAGAGTACTGCTGTTTATTCAGCTATTGATTAAGCTGATTGAATTGGGCATGAGCTCCACATTACTTTTTTGTTTTTATTCAGAATGTTAATTTTATTTTATTATTTTATTATTATTTCCCCCAACCCCCTTTTTTTGACCCACCTTGATAAACAGTTACACAGCTTTTATGTTTGAGCTTCAGTCATACAATCACCAAGCACCCATTCCTTCACCAGTGCAAATTTTCCACCACCAAAATCCTCAGTATTCCCCCCACCCCACACACCCATTCCAACCCTTCCCCTGCCTATGTGGTAGAAAATTTCCCCCATACTCTCTCTCTACTTTGGTTACATTCAATATTTCAACACCAGTCTCACCACCACTCAAACTTGCCAAAAAGGCAATGCTAGGCAATTTGTTTTGCATTGCTTGTTATGGTTTCCGCCCTTCTTGGAGAGCCCAGCAAGCTACCGAGAGTATCTAGCCCTCACGGCAAAGTCTGGCAAGGTACCCATGAGGTATTTGATATGCCAAAAACAGTAACAAGAAGTCTCACAATTTGTTGTGAGATGTTACTGGTGCCCGCTTGAGCAAATTGATGAACAACGGGAGGACAGTGCTTGTTATGGATAGAATATAATGTCCGGGAAATTCTGTGTCATTCTCTTCCTGGAGCTTTAGTTTATAGTCTCTGGGTCTTGCCCATTGATGAGATTTCATAGCACCAGGTTAGATTTATGGGTCTCTGAAATAAGGCTAGTAGGTGAGCTTATATAGCTGAGCAGGCGGTGGTTTGTGGGTGTGGCTCCCACATACCTGTTTTTTGGCTGTTTAATTTCTTGGTTAACTTGGCCCCAAGTTTTTGGGGTCTGGCCAAAGGCATAGCAGCAGTTTTGGGGTATCTGGAAGTCTGAAGGCACCATCAGGCTGCTGATGCACTCGCCCCTGCAGCTATAGGTTGACTTGCTGGTGGTACCATAACCCCATGACAGATTATTGATTTAGATTCAAAGAGGATTACTCAGTCACAGTCCTCCCATTGTTCATCGATTTGCTCGAGCGGGCCCAGTAATGTCTCCATCATGAGACTTGTTGTTACTGTATTTAGCATATCGAACACGTCACGGGGAGCTTCCCAGGCTCTGCCGTGCAGGCGAGATACTCTCAGTAGCTTGCCGGGCTCTCCGAGAGGGGCGGAGGGATCGAACTCGGGTCGGCCATGTTGGGCGCTTGTAAGGCAAACGCGCTACCGCTGTGCTGCAGCTCCAGCCCTCAAAGAGGATTAACCTATCTTGATGCCCCCCGCCCCCCCCGCTTTTTTAAAAAGAATACTGTTTAGGTGTTTGTAAATTTCCATGACAGTTATTGCCAATAACTTTTGGAAATGCCCTTGAATTGTTCCATATTTCAAGATATTCAATATGCTATTATCATCAGAAAGCTGATTTAACCTTTCAAAAAGTTTTAAACTGATTTGTCGATAGACCACTTCGTTCCTTTTTTCTCAACACGTGCTGATTGCCATAAGAATACGCATATTTTAGGATGCGGTTTTGTAGTTGTTATAGAGGGCCTGATCTTCTATTTCTTTGCGGGGGGTGCACAACGGGTGGTGCCCAAGGACTGCTTGTGGCCCTCTGCTTGGTGATGCTTCTGTCAGTGCTCAGGGATCATCTGGCACTGGGGATCAAACCAGTGATGAGCTCATGCGAGGCAAGTTTCTTGACATCTCTACCCCCTCTCCAGCTCCTGGATCTGGAGCGTCGGGAGGGTTCCATCTTCTTAGATCTCGCAGGGTCCTCTGGGACACCTTTGGGGGCAGCTGCAGTGACGCCTCTTCCTCTCTAGGTGTTACATCACACTGGCTCAAGCTCTCGGAATGAGCATGGGAGGAGCCCCAGCAGGACCTGCAGGAACAGGGAAAACAGAAACAACCAAGGACATGGGCCGATGTCTCGGGAAATACGTTGTGGTCTTCAACTGTTCAGACCAGATGGACTTTCGAGGCCTCGGGCGGATATTTAAAGGTGAGGGCTCCACTTTCTTATGTGATGAAGAATTTCCACTCTCCTAAGATTTCTTTTTCCATGGCGGACGATTGTAGAGTTTTCCAATTTAGGATGCAGTTTTACAATTGTTATAGAGGGTCTAATCTTCTATTTCTTTTGGTGGGGTGCATACCTGATGGTGTCCAGGGACTGCTGGTGGCTCTTTGCTTGGCGGTGCTCCTGAAAGTGCTCAGGGGATCATGGGGTACTGGGGATCAAACCAGTGAACCAGTGAAAGAGTCAATGAAAACCATAGTGGTTATTAGAAAGAAGCAGAAGTGGGAGGAATGGCCAGAGGGACACTTAAGGGGGGGGTGACTGTGGAACTAGTGGTGACAATCATACACAAATTGAAGGATGATGGTAAGTTAGAAAAAAGAGAAAAGAATAGTCATTCATTCATTATACCATTGTCTTCTTCTAAATGTTTGAAATTCTTTATAGCAGTTTAGAAGAGATTATAATGATTCACACTATATAATGTGGGAGGAAATGCTGCTTCTTATTTTCCCCAGCATAGTGTTAATCACTCTTGGGGTCAAATCTGATGTGTAATACAAAAAAAGTGTTTCGATAATTTGCATTTATTTTACTTCTGCTGAGGTTGATTCTAAAGCAGTAAAGCTCCTTATTGGCAGCTCACAGCCAGGCCATAGTTCCCAGGTGAACAAAAGCAAAAAGCAAATACTTTCTAGGATATAAATAAGATTTACGCAGGTGAACCTGGGACAATGTTTTGAATTGGACAGAGACAAGACCATTGTACCTCCATAACAAAAAATCAGCAGGGCTGAAACTTGGGTGGAATTAGAAGGTATTAAGTTGAGTGAAAAAAGCCAGAGAGAGAAGGAAGAAAACACCAGAAATAATCTCACTTATCTGGGGTACATAGAGAATCAAGGAATGGGTGTGGACAATATTGATTGATAATAAACCTTGGACTCTGGATTACAGATCTGAGAATAGCTCAGGGCACACACAGGGGATTGGAAGAAGGATAAGGAGGATTAGAAGTAATACCAAGGCCCAGTTGGAGGATCTAGGGCTTGTTGGTGGTGATACAATAAGGTAACAGTAGACAGCACAATTGTGACACCCAATAAGAAAATAATGGTGGGAGTTTGGGCTGGGGAAGGAAGCTCTGACTAGTGGTGGCGTGGCAGAATGAAGTGGGTGCACACTTGGTGGTGTCCAGGGACTGCTTGTGGCTCTCTGCTTGGAGGTGCTCCTGACAGTGCTCAGGAGATCATGGGGTACTGGGGATCAAACCAGGGAAAGAGTCAATGAAAACCATAGTGGTTATTAGAAAGAAGCGGAAGTGGGAGGAATGAGGTATTTCAGTGGGTATGGTTTTCAGTCACTTTGTACATTAGTATTATAAGCTTAAACATGGTTGGAACCATATTACCTAAATTGTAAAATAAGTATACATAGACAGATTCTTGTGTTTACTGTTATTTTGGTGAGTTTGAGGTGTATTTTGGTATAAGCTAGTAGACTACTGACCTAATGTGGTTGGGGTCGCCAGGCTGCCCTTGTAAGAGTTGGATATAGGAGACAGAGTTATTGAGTCCTATGCACTGTTACTGTCACTGTCCTCCCATTGTTCATTGATTTGCCAACCGGGCCCAGGAATATTGTGAGACTTGTTACTGTGTTTGGCATATCGAATACGTCATGGGTAGCTTGCCAGACTTTGCCATGCGGGCGAGATACTCTCAGTAGCTTGCCGGGCTCTCCGAGAGGGGCGGAGGAATTGAACTCGGGTCGTCCATATTGTCTGTGCCAAGGCAGACGCCCTTCCCGCTGTGCTATCGCTCCAGCCCTCCTATGCACTATGAAAGGGAAAGTTAACTGGCGGCTTTGACCCTGTCCCAGAGGCCATGCTCCCACCGCCAGTGTACCTGTGGTGGGAGGGGGGCCCGTGTTGGCGCAGACCCTGGATTACAGTCCTGAATTCCATTCTAAAAGAGTAGGAGTCTTCTCTGGCCTGGGCACTCATTTGGGTGCCCGTGGCTGTCCAGGGGCCTTCCTGCTCACCTTAGCTGCTCAGCACACCACCCCAGAGCTACGTAGACAAAGCAAAGACTAGGACGGGGGAGATCCCTCACAGGGCTGGAGCTCATCTCTGTCACTTAGAGTCTTAGGAGTCTGATGTCAGTGCCCAGTACCACACGCTCCCACAGACACTGCAGAGTCATCCCCAAGCACTGAGGCAGGATTAGCCTTTGAGGCAGGATTAGCCTTTGAGCACCACAAGGTGTGGTCCACCACCCAAAACAAACAAACAAAAAATCACAATACAACATTTCCACTTATGATGAGAAAAGAAGTTCCTTTTGTGGAAAAACTTGAATCACAGTTGTGTAGCTCGATGCTTATATCCTTTGCCTTTGCTGGAGCGATAGCACAGCGGGTAGGGCGTTCGCCTTACAAGCGGCCAACATGGCCGACCCGAGTTCGATTCCTCTGCCCCTCTCGGAGAGCCCGGCAAGCTACCGAGAGTATTCGATATGCCAGACACAGTAACAACAAAGTCTCCAATGGAGACGTTACTGGGCCCGCTCGAGCAAACCGACGATCAACGGGAGGGCCTTTACCTTACCTCGAGCAATGTTCCTTTATCACTGCAGATTGGTTGTTCAGAGATAAAGTACCAAATTGTGAGCTATTTTAGGGCTACTTTATACATGGTCTATTTGTTCAACTTGATTTTTGAACAAATTTATCTCTGGTTTGTCTTGGCAGCTTCATAATGCCCCTTTTTGTGGCTTTCCAAAATTATATGCTAATTGGATTTTCTGTTTAATTTCCTTTCTAAGGCCTGGCGCAGTCTGGCTCCTGGGGCTGTTTTGATGAATTTAACCGTATCGATCTACCAGTACTCTCTGTCGCAGCCCAGCAAATTTCCATTATTCTGACATGCAAAAAGGAGCGTAAAAAATCTTTTATTTTTACTGATGGAGATAATGTGACTATGAACCCTGAGTTTGGACTTTTTTTAACCATGGTAAGGTATCACAAGAAGAACCACTATGTTTCAGCTGCTGTGCTGTCACAGTGTCCTTGGTGATCTGGTCCCTATTTCCCATAATTGAACATTGGGATCATACTTTCCCTTCCTTTTGAAAGCCACTAGTATTAAACACAATCCCAATGATGGCTTGACCTCTCTGGGTCGAAGAGGGCCTGGTACGCAAATGAACCCTATGATTGACATCCCAGGTTTGTTGTGAGTTCATCAGGGCCATTTTCATATCCTGCAGATAACGGTTTACTGTAACCTGATGGCCTCTCTTCCTCTCGGCTCTTCTTTTTTTTCTGTGCAGAACCCAGGCTATGCTGGGCGGCAAGAACTCCCCGAGAACTTGAAGATCAACTTCCGCTCTGTGGCCATGATGGTCCCTGACCGCCAGATCATCATCCGCGTGAAGCTGGCCAGCTGTGGCTTCATTGACAACATTGTTTTGGCCAGGAAGTTTTTCACGCTCTACAAGCTGTGCGAGGAGCAGCTCTCCAAGCAGGTGCGATGCTTTGACGGGCTCCCTTGACCTAGGCCAGCCTCTGCCTTTCCGTTGCATGAAATGTTCTCATTTTGAGAAACAGGAGACTGGGGTTGACAGAGTACCTCCTGGACACAGAGCAGAAACTTGCTGCATTACAAAAAGTAATTGGAGATGCATAGTTTAATTTAGCTGATATATTTAAGGAACTGAAAAATGACCGAACAAGACGTGAAGTCAAGGCTATCCGGATGTAAAAGACGGAGAATCACACATATTAATGCTCTCTGGATCCCATCCAGACTTTCACCAGAATCTGTTACCTGTCCTCAGGGTTCCCAAGAGTGCTCAATTACGTACTCTTCTCACTTCCCAGCTCACTCAACTGTTGGACCAAGCTTTGCTAATTGTCTCATCTACGACGTCCTTGCTAGTTTCTTGTACGGTTTGCAGTAGTAGGTTTTGGTATCATGGAGTTTCAGAGTCCAGAGACATGGATTAATTGCCTATTCTCCTATATTAGTTATATATTTTTGTGTACAGTATTGTACTTAATATTTCTTTTGGCTGGGTGGCCACACCAGCTGTGCTTAGGGGGTGCTGACTGTGCTCAAAGCTCACCCTGATGGTACTCATGGGATCATATGTGGTGCCAGGGATTGGACCCATGTCAGCTGTGTGCAAGGCAAGTGTCTTACTTACTGTACTCCATTTACAGCCTGATCGTGTTTAATATTTTCAAATAATATATTTTAAATAATTTTCTGTGGGTTGAGAATCTTGGCATAGCTCACTCGGGCTCTTTGCTTTGAGCTTCAATGAAGCTGCTAGTAAGCCTCAGCTGCGCTGTGGTTTCATTTGATGCCTGACCGAGGAAAGATCTGCTCCCAAGACATCATTAGCAGAGTTCTGTTTCTTGAGGTTGTAAGATGAAGGGCTTTAAGTTCTTGCTGACTGTCAGATGTGCAAGGCTTCCTTCAGCTCCTCTAGACTCCATGCCGATCATTGCTACATGAGTGCCCCAGTATGATCTCTTGTCTCTTGCTTTCACAAAGAGGCTTCAACAAGCTAGTCAGATTTATGTCTCCATAGAAGCCAAACCAATAGGTTGTTGTTGTGTTGTTGTTGTTGTTGTTGTTGTTCTTCTTCTTCTTCTTCTTCCTCTTCTTCTTTTTCCTCCTCCTTCTTTTTCCTCCTCCTCCTCCTCCTCCTCCTCCTCCTCCTCCTCCTCCTCCTCCTCCTCCTCCTCCATTGAGAAGTTCCATTAATTTAGTCTCACCAAAAATGGGGATCTGGAACAGTGAGTGGCATAGAGTCAGGGGTTGATATAGGTTCCAATCAGTCTGGGTCTGAGAACCAGGGGCACTGAGGGCAGGAAAAGCTGGATATTCACCCTCTCTCTCTGCCCAGCAGAGGGAGGGTGAATCCATCTGTCTTCCTTGCTTTTGAGCGATGCTGTCAATGGTTGTCTGAGTCCCTTCCATGCTGAGGTGAAGCATCTTCCTTGCTCAGTCCGATTCATTGGTGATCTCATCTGAACACCTTCAGAGATACCGTCATAAGGAATGTTTAGCCGGGGGTCGACACATAAAACCTTCGTAAGTCGTCTATAATGTGACCGTAGCAAAGGTCTCACTTGAGGGTATTAATCTAAGTGAGACAATTGAAAGTAAAATGATTTTATTCAAATGGAAGTAAAGGAAAAAGGCATTTGGACAAGTAGAGCAAAAGAAGAACCAACCCTTAAACTATAAGAATAAAATGATGGTTATACAGAAGGGAAGTGAGAGGGGAATGAATAGGCAGGTAAAGGGATTAGTTATCTGGAAGATAGAAACTAGTTTTCCAGTGGTTCTAGGCAATGCTGGGCATATTTACAGTGCTGTGAAATGGAGTTCTAACTTTTGCAGTGCAAAACTGTATCGCTGTGTCTCTGTACCCATCAAACCTCAATTCCTCTTTCCCCTTCTCCTTAGCCCCAGGGAACAACCATAATGGTTTCTGTTTCTGTTCATTTGACTACTTTGTAACCTCATAAAGTGGAATCATACAATATCTATTATTTGGTGGCAGCATTACTTTACTTAGCATGATGATATCAGGGCTGGAGCGATAGCACAGTGGCTAAGGTGTTTGCCTTGCATGTGGCCGCCCCGGGTTTGATTCCTCCGTCCCTCTCGGAGAGCCCGGCAAGCTACCAAGAGTGTCCCGCCCACACAGCAGAGTCTTGCAAGCTTCCCTTGGCATATTCAATATACCAAAAACAGTAACGAGTCTCACAATGGAGGCGTTACTGGCGCTCCAGCAAGTCCATGAACAATGGGCGGACAGTGCTACAGATGATGTCAAGGTCCACCTGTGGCATGGCATATGACAGTATTTACTTCCTTATATGTGTGCCATATTTTATTTGTCCACTCATCTCTTGATCAGTATTTTATCTGCATCTACCTCTTGGCTACTGTGCATGGTCTTGCCAGCACATGGGTGTGAAAATACTCCCTTGAGACCCTGATTTCAATTCTTTTGGATGTGTACTAGTGGTGGTATCACTAGACCATGGGGTAGTTTAATTATATTTATTTGTTTTATTTATGTACTTCGTTTTATTATTATTTTTGGAAGGAGGGTGAGTAAAGTCATTTGGTATTCATTTCTGCCCTGATTGATTTTGGAAGGAGGGAGGCATGCCCTGCAGTCCTCAGGGCTGACTCCTGCTTCTGTGCTCAGGGATCACTCCTACACAGGCTTGAGGGATGAGGTGATGGGGCATAAACCTGGTTTGGTTGGCCATAAGGCAGATGCCTTCCCTGCTGTACTGTCTCTCCAAAGCTTATAATGGCAGTTTACTTTTTAATTATTTTAAGGAAACACCATGCTGCTTTTCTTTGTGTTTGGGTAATTGGCTTACAACTTCTCACTTTATATGTGCTGAAATTTTTTGTGATTAATTTTTCATAACTATATTTGAAGAAATAATATCTGGGATTGTCTTTTAGATTTGTCATTGTTTTCCCTTTTCTTGAGTAATCCTGAATATTAATATAAATGTGTTCACTTATAGTAAATACAGCTACAGTAAATAAATTAACATTAACATAATATTAATAGGGCTGGAGCTATAGCACAGAGGGTAGGGCATTTGCCTTGCATGCGGCCGACCCGGGTTTGATTCCTCCATCCCTCTGGGAGAGACTGGCAAGCTACTGAGAGTATCCTGCTTGCACTGCAGAGTCTGGCAAGCTCCCCGTGGCTTTCAATATGCCAAAAACAGTAATGACAAGTCTCACAATGGAGACGTTACTGGTGCCCACACGAGCAAACCCATGAACAATGGGAGGACAGTGCTATGCTGCATGATATCTGTTCATTAAGCCTGAATCTTTACTTTTATTTCCCCCTTCATACCTGGTCTTTTCACTAATCTGTAATATATGTATAGCTGTTACACGTGAGGTCTCAATTTAATTCTGATACAGAATTTAGTTTTAGTGGTATGAAGACATTTTCTTCTGTATGATTGATTAAGGTAAAACTCAAGGGGATGTCTATACTCCAGGAAGACATTTACTGCTTCTCCTTGTCAAGATTTATCTTTTCTGATCTAAGGCTTAAGTTAATGACTGGAGAACCAAATGAATATTTTCTATTTGGTCCAAGGGTGTATTGAGAAAAATGTGTTACAGCTCTATTGACTTATGTTTTCTAAAAGCAAACCCGCATTTATTCACAACTGCAAGTAGGTTTCCTGTCAAATGTGTGGTTTCCGTGGGTAGTGAGTTAACATTGAGAAAGTCTGGTGTCCCTCCACATTTTCAGGTGCATTATGACTTTGGCCTTCGTAACATTCTGTCGGTCCTGCGAACACTGGGGGCAGCCAAGAGAGCGAACCCCACAGATACGGAGTCCACGACGGTCATGCGCGTATTACGGGATATGAACCTTTCTAAGCTGGTAAGATGCCCAGGAGGATGGTCCACCTACTGAGACCCCAGTTCAACAACGAGGCACAAATGAGATACGGGAATATTTATTTAAAATGCTCATCTAGAGCCAGAAAGAGAGGGTCCAACAGAATAACTGCATTCACTTGTGGAATATAAAATAACATAATACGACAGCGGTAGGGCGTTTGCCTTGCACGCGGCCAACATGGCCGACCCGAGTTCGATTCCTCCGCCCCTCTCGGAGAGCCCGGCAAGCTACCGAGAGTATTCGATATGCCAGACACAGTAACAACAAAGTCTCCAGTGGAGATGTTACTGGTCCTGCTCGAGCAAATTGACCATCAACGGGAGGGCCTTTACCTTACCTTACCTTAAACACCCAAGGACAGAAGACATTGCTGCATCGTTGGAAGCCTGTCTCATGAGTGGGGAGAAGGCAGCTGGGATGGAGAAAGGATCATTAAGTCAGTGATGGTTGGAGGAATCGTTCGGGCTGGGAGATGTGTGCTGAAAGTAGATAAAGGACCAAATGTGATAGCCCCTTAGTATCTATATTGCAAACCATAATGCCCAAAAGTAGAGAGAGAGTATGGGGGAAATTGTCTGCCATAGAGGCAGCTGGAGGGTTAGGATGGGAGGCGTATACTGGATACATTGGTGGTGGAAAATGTGCACTGGTGGAGGGATGGGTGTTCTATCATTGTATGACTGAAACTCAAACATGAAATTTTTGTAACTGTATCTCATGGTGATTCAATTAAAAATGCTCATTTAAAATGTTTAGATAGCAGATAGAGCAATGAAGAGCCTAATTCTATGTTGTACTTTTTCAGAATTCCTTTTTGTTATGATATACTTAGTCTAAAATAAGTTTCCTTCAATAAAAACTTAAATGGTTTTAAAGAAATCTACATATTGTTTCTAAAACACCTTGTAGCGATAGCACAGCGGTAGGGCGTTCGCCTTACAAGTGGCCAACATGGCCGACCCGAGTTCGATTCCTCCGCCCCTCTCGGAGAGCCCGGCAAGCTACCGAGAGTATTCGATATGCCAAACACAGTAACAACAAAGTCTCCAATGGAGACGTTACTGGGCCCGCTCGAGCAAATCGACGATCAACGGGAGGGCCTTTATTTATTTTATTTATTTATTTCAAACTAACTGCTAAACTTTTTCAGTTTGCAGAGTTTGGCAGGAAATTTTATATAATTTTACAACAGTGCAGTAATTCTGTACTCTTATGTCATAGTAGAGAGTGGAAATCATTTGATATCAGTGGATTTAAGTACAAACTGACAACATAATATTTTTATTTCAAAATAAAAAAAGAAAATTGTAAATTGCAAATTTGCTACTATTTCTCACTAAAAATATTTTCAATTTAAATGAGAAATTTTAGACTATATAATAACTTGCTTGAGCGGGCCCAGTAACGTCTCCATTGGAGACTTTGTTGTTACTGTGTTTGGCATATGAATACTCTCGGTAGCTTGCCGGGCTCTCCGAGAGGGGTGGAGGAATCGAACCTGGGTCGGCCATGTTGGCCGCTTGTAAGGCGAACGCCCTACCGCTGTGCTATCGCTCCAGCCCTAAGTTGGTTATTTTATGCAAAGTTGTCTTGGAGGCAATTATTTTTTACTTATGTTTCTTTCATTTTTTCTTCCATTTTTGTTCTATTTTAGAACATCTCTAATTTGTAGAAATATTATTCAACTTCAGTAAAAATGATATTTTATTTGTTAAAGGTTAAGATAAAATAATTGGGACTTTTGTGAGAATTTTTAGTTTTCTGTACATTGCTATATTTGTGCCAAATATAGCTTTTTCTTGGAGGGTGGAACACCTGGATATTCTTAAGGTTTCCTCTGCACTTAGGGATCACTCCTGGCAGGGCTCAGGGGACCATATGTGATGCCCAGGATTGAATTTGGGTTATTTGCACGCAAGGCAAATGTCTTACCTACTATACTTTCTTCTGACCCCCAATGATCTTTTTTCTTCTTTCTCTCTCTTCTTTTAGATCGATGAAGATGAACCCTTATTTTTGAGTTTGATTGAAGATCTCTTCCCAAATATTCTTCTGGACAAGGCAGGTTACCCTGAACTGGAAGCAGCCATTGGCAGACAGGTAATAGGTCTCATCTGGCATCATGGAGAAGCTGCCTGTTTCACCTGAACTCAGTGGGAACCAGGTGGGGGTGGTGAAGACCACGCCAGTTGACATTCGGAGCTGCAAGTCCTGATTGGCGTGAAGCCCAGTCACAGTCGCTCAGCTGGATGGCCATATCGTAGAGGCCCCATTATGGATGGGGATCACCCTTCAGCAGGTTCTTGGCAATGTGATGGGCTGATGGGCTTTGTGAGGCCCGGCTAGACTGTGTCTGGGGTTTGCCACGTTGCTCTGCTCTGCAGGGAGTTCATATAACTCAGTGGTAATTTTCAGCCCGAGCCTAGTAATTTGCTCCTCAGTCTTTGGGGAATCTACCAGGATCTGCAAATCATTAGGTATCTGCATTTCTGGTGATAGTTGGTTCAGCTTTAACTTTATCCTCTTCCTCAGACTGAAAATGAATCACTCCCACATTTATCTCACTTAACTTTTCTATGAGGAAGAGTTTGGAATTTTTTTTTAAATGGCAGTAGTGTTTAGCTCATATTTATAAAATGCATCTCAATTTCTTGAAGATATTTATAATAAAAATCAGATTTGATTGTATTTAATGGATCTTCTGCTTTAAGAAATTGGTGTAAGAAAGTCTTAATTTTCTTCCTAATGTGGTAGCTATTTTGTAAATGGTTTCTTCATCATACGGCTAAATTAAATGTAGCATTTCCTGTAAAGCTAAGCACAAAGTCATTTATAAAGTGTCTTTTACATTAGTAATTTGTGCCATATGAAAAATCTTTAAAAAGCAAAATCAGTATCAAGAGATATGTGATTATTATCCAAAAGTTATTTAACTAAAATAAAAGCATCATTTATAGTGGATTTAACTATAACATGATGGTTTTAAAAGCACAGGGACTAAATTTTATGGACAGAAACTCTTAGCTTGTTAAGTTGGGGAAATCACTATGCCTCTCAATATTACAGTTTTCTTATGTATAAAATAAAGATATAAATAGTACCAACTTAATAATATTGTTATGAAGATTAAACTTAAAATAGTGCTTGTTGCCAAGTAACTTCCATAAATGGTTGATATCATTTTATAAATGATTCCATAAATGACCCATAAATGAATCTGGAAATGATATTATTCCATAAGTTATTCCATATATGATTTATATTATTCCATAAGTGATTCTGTAAATGATCATAAATGGAATAATTCCATAAGTGATTGATAAGAATGATCCGGTACACTGAAGATATTGCTTAAAGTGTTTATATTGGCATCTTAGTCAATATGGTGGCGCTAGAAAATTTAACATCCTTTATTTGATTGCCTATTTAATGTGTTAAAGTTGAAGTAACATTGGTTTATAACATGATAGGAGCATTTCAAATCAATACCTCTCTACGCTATATTCAGTTTTCCACTGATAGTTTAGTTCCAACCTTCACTGTATCATTGACCCTTTTTAAAGGATTTATCTGCCTTTTTTCTCCATCCCTTTGGCAACTTCTTATTTGACCTTAGAGTCCAAAAGTGAACTTTGGTTAACTGACTTCGTCCATTTGTTTCATTGCTTTGTGTCATAGATGGGAGAGTAATCATGCCACATTTGTCTTTCTCTGTCTCTCTTATTTCTCTTACCTGCTAGGTTGCCTGCATTGTTGCAAAGGGCAAGATTTCTTCCTTTTTCTTTTTTGGGTCACACTTGTAGATGCTCATGAGCTACTCCTGGCTTTACACTCAGGCGTCACTCCTGGCAGTGCTCAGGGAACCGTATGGAGTACTGGGAGTCGAACTGTGCAAGCCAAATGCCCTCCCTGCCGTACTGTCACTCTGGCCCCCAAGAGGCGGACTTCCTTTCTTTCTCTCTTTCTCTCTTTCTCTCTTTCTTCCTTTCTTTCTCTCTTTCTCTCTTCCTTCCTTTCTTCCTTCCTTTCTTTCTTTCTTTCTTTCTTTCTCTCTTTCTTTCTTTCTTTCTCTCTCTCTTTCTCTCTTTCTCTCTTTCTTTCTTTCTTTCTTTCTTTCTTTCTTTCTTTCTTTCTTTCTTTCTCTCTTTCTCTCTCTTTCTTTCTTTCTCTCTCTCTTTCTCTTTCTTTCTTTCTTTCTCTCTCTTTCTTTCTCTCTCTTTCTCTCTTTCTCTGTTTCTTTCTTTCTTTCTTTCTTTCTTTCTTTCTTTCTTTCTTTCTTTCTCTCTCTCTCTTTCTTTCTCTCTCTTTCTCTCTTTCTCTCTTTCTTTCTTTCTTTCTTTCTTTCTTTCTTTCTTTCTTTCTCTCTCTCTTTCTTTCTCTCTTTCTTCCTTTCTTTCTCTCTTTCTCTCTTTCTTTCTTTCTTTCTTTCTTTCTTTCTCTCTCTTTCTCTTTCTTTCTTTCTCTCTTTCTTTCTCTCTTTCTTTCTTTCTTTCTTTCTTTCTTTCTTTCTTTCTCTCTTTCTCTCTCTTTCTTTCTCTCTTTCTTTCTTTCTTTCTCTCTTTCTCTCTCTCTTTCTTTCTCTCTCTTTCTTTCTCTCTCTTTCTCTCTTTCTCTGTTTCTTTCTTTCTTTCTCTCTCTCTCTTTCTCTCTTTCTCTCTTTCTTTCTTTCTTTCTTTCTTTCTTTCTTTCTCTCTTTCTTTCTCTCTTTCTTCCTTTCTTTCTCTCTTTCTCTCTTTCTTTCTTTCTTTCTTTCTCTCTCTTTCTCTTTCTTTCTTTCTCTCTCTCTTTCTTTCTCTCTTTCTTTCTTTCTTTCTTTCTCTCTTTCTCTCTCTTTCTTTCTTTCTCTCTTTCTTTCTTTCTTTCTCTCTTTCTTTCTCTCTTTCTTTCTTTCTCTCTCTTTCTTTCTCTTTCTTTCTTTCTTTCTTTCTTTCTTTCTTTCTTTCTTTCTTTCTTTCTTTCTCTCTCTTTCTCTCCTTCCTTCCTTCTTTCTTCTTTCTTTCTTTCTTTCTTTCTTTCTTTCTTTCTTTCTTTCTTTCTTTCTTTCTGCAGAGTCCTGAACTCCACCTACCTCTGTGCTACTTTTTCAATCCCCACCTTTGAAGTTAAGCTTTGAGAACACATTTGATATTTGAGTTTCTATTTCTAATCATTCATAAGATAGAAATTAAAAAAGTGTTCAATTCCAGGAGAAAAATGTCACTGTTCCTTATTAACTTGCTTAACGTTTTGATCATGTCTGGTCTCTTTTTGCTTATGCTCATACCTATATATTTTTGTGATATATTTTTATTGTGCTAAAAGAATTATAAAATTATTTTATTGTTCCTATTTATTTTTTTCGATTTTAATGAACAGTTCGGTGGCATTAAATGAACCTACATTAATGTGCAACATTTTTCATCTTTCCCCACCGAAAGTCTATATTTATTTAACAATAATTTCCCATTCTTTTCTCACTCACATGCTGGTGTTTATTTTGAGAATGATGGAAAGTCCACTGTTGATGTGGTTCAGCATGGGAAATTTGTTCTACTTGCAGGTTGAAGAAGCGGGTTTAATTAACCACCCGCCTTGGAAACTGAAGGTCATCCAGCTGTTTGAGACACAGAGAGTACGCCACGGAATGATGACCCTGGGCCCTAGTGGGGCAGGGAAAACCACCTGCATCCACACCTTGATGAAAGCTATGACAGGTAAGGGGAGGAGGCAGAGAGGCTGGCCTGTAAGTGACACATTTAAATGGTTGTGATGCTATTGGTCATTCTAGTAACAGACACAAAGGTTGGGACATTAAAGAAAAAAATCTTATGGGAAAGAATGCTGCCTCACAGATTATTGGATATGTTTTAGAGGTTAACATCTGACATTAATGGGGCAGAGGGAAGCATTTTCTTCAGCTTAATGAGATGCTGTGCAGTTTTATGTAAGTTCAGTGTGTTGATCGATACATTTATATATAAATACCATCATACAAGAGTATTGTCTCTTTCCTGGTACACAGTTACTGGTGTGTGCGGGTGTGTGTATGGATGTGTGTGTGTGTGTGTGTGTGAGTGTTGTGACATTCAAGTATATGATACAGTATTATTAGCTATGACCACAGTGCTTTACATAGACCCTCAGATGTGTTTATTGTAACTGGAATTGTGTTTCCTTTGAAAAACAATTTCCTCCCTCTCCCCCCAGGCAGCCTCCACTAAGCTTTCTGTTTCTGTGAGTTTGGTGTTTTGATATTTCATGCATAAATGATGTGCTGGATTTGTCATTCTGTCTCTCACTTGCTTCACTTAACACAATGCCCTAAAGGTCCACCCATATCATCACCACTGGCAAGATTTCTCTCTCTCTCCTGACTGAATTCTCTTCTGTTGTGTAGCAGTGCTTTATCTGTTGCTATGGCCTTGCTGTTTATTAACAGCTGGCTATACTGCATTTGGAACGGTGACTTGAACAAAATGAGCAGTGCGTATTAAACACTATAGAACAGTACAGATAGCATGTCTGAATTACATAATTACACAGTTTCACTGATTTTCAAGAAGTTCCTGGTGAAGGTCAGTTAGTCACCATAATTATTCAATAATCACTGGATAATAATGATAATTACTAATAATTGTGTATTAACTTGCTCTTGTTTTTCAGTATGTAAGACAAACATACGTACTCATTTTATTTGTTTGTTTTGGAGTCACACCTAGCAGTGCTCGGGACTTACTCCTGGCTCTGCTCTCAGGGATCACTCCTGGCAGTGCTTTGGGGGACTTTATTGGGTTACAGGGATTAAACCTGGATCGGCTGTGTACAAGGCAATTGTCCTACCCACTGTATTATTACTCTGGTTTACATACTTCTTTCTTAATGAAATATTACTTGAACTTTTTTTTTTCTAAATGAGCAAGAACACGTCTTCACATGTTGAAACTGATAGTGGAGAGTATGAGAATCTTTTTCTCTGATATTTTAGGCACACTTATAAAGTATACCATAAATCAAAAGCTTTCTGAGTTGGAAATTTGAAGGACATCAGATTATATTAATTCCTTAATCAGTTTGAGCATGTGGTACTTTTTATTCTAGCACAGTGATAGGGCGTTTGCCTTGCACGCAGCCAACATGACCCACCCGAGTTCGATTCCTCCGCCCCTCTCGGAGCGCCCGGCCAGCTACCGAGAGTATCTCGCCCGCACGGCAGAGCCTGGCAAGCTACCGAGAGTATTTGATATGCCAGACACAGTAACAACAAAGTCTCCAATGGAGACGTTACTGGGCCCGCTCGAGCAAATCGACGATCAACGGGAGGGCCCTTTATAGTTAATAAAATATGGCGAGTCTATTTATGATAGTTTGGATTGCAATAAGATTTGTTATTTCCCCCAATTTTGATTGAGGCGCCATGATTTACAATATCGTTAACGATGGGGTTTCCTGAGTACTGTGTCCTAACCTATGCACTTCACCAGAATGCCAGGTTCTCTCCACCAAAGGATGCACTCTTCAAATTTTGAACCCATGTTGTTGGCTCACCACAAATCAGCATGATGTTCAGCCTAGATAAATTGTTTAAAACTTGAATTTTCTTGGTCTAGACTGTGGGAAACCACACCGGGAAATGAGGATGAACCCCAAAGCAATTACGGCCCCACAGATGTTTGGTCGGCTTGATGTGGCCACAAATGACTGGACTGATGGTATATTTTCTACCCTTTGGAGGAAAACATTGAGGGCTAAGAAAGGTAGGAGATGAATTTCAGTATTGATTTTGACACGTGCTTCTAAATAAAATGATTGGTGCCTTTTTTAGGATGAGTAGAACAGTTGTATTCTTCACCTACTATTTAAGCCAAGACTCAGAAGTCATAAATCAGTATATTTGTGAATTTGGAAAAACTGAAATTATCAATCAATTAATATATTTGACCCACGTCTCCTTTATTGTTTTGAAAAGGGAATGGTTTTCTGAAAAATATTTCTGTGCCTCTGTGATATTAGATAGAAATAGCTGTAAAGAATATTGAGTAGCATGACTTCAACAGAGCTAGTTTCACTGAATAGTTTTAGAATGTTACTCTTATTTGGTTATGGCCTTAAATTTTTTTATTCTGCTATAAAACCATAGTGGCATTGGGATTCTTTGGAGAAAAATTGTATATGTCAAAAATAAAGTCTACACTGCTCGCAAGTGATTCTGCTGAGAAATACACTAGTCTTGTTGTTTAAGCAAACTCCTTAAGGGCTGGTAGTTCTCTCTGAATATTTCCACATTTATGTGCTCTAAATTGAACCAATGCTCTTAGAATATAAACTCAGATGGAAGAGGTGATATTAACTCTTCTCATCATGCCTTTTCACTCCTGAATGAGCAGAAAAGAGTCACAGGGATACAATTGCAGGGGAAAAGAAGGATATGGATGCATAAGATATTTGCACTTGTTTCATGCTTTGGGCAAGAATGTTCTCTTGAGAAATGCTTGTATTGTTGCCATTGAAATTCTCATTTAGAGAATATGGCTGATCAGCCCAACACTTCTCTTTCATCAGAGAAAAATGAAAATGTTCCCTCTAAAGTGTGCTCATATTAGACATTTTGTTTTACTGAAAATAAGTCAAAATTTGGTTCTGATTTGTTCCAGTCATCCTGCTTAAGCACAAGTTCGCTTCCCAAATATTAACTCAAAGAACAGGAGTTCAGTGAGATATGATTTTTTCCTTCTCAAAAGAAGATAACTTGTGCTTTTTCTTTCAAAGTGACTCTGTTGATTAGATCATTTTCCTTTGATTTTAGTTGAGTCATCCTAATTAGGATTTTCAAAGCAGTTTGACAGAATATGGCACAGTTGTTACAGGGCAGATAAAAATGGGAACTACAAGCCTGGTCATAGTGTTGGTAAGAAAAGCTTGTAGCTAAGAAATTCAGAGGAACAATGAAGTGTAATACTGAAAGTGGCATTCCTGGTGAGCACTGCGCTGCTTGCCACTTTCTTTACTTGTGAGGTGCACATAGCCTCCTGTTAGGTTTGGTGTCCTGTGCCCCGTGAAGTATCCGACGGGCACTAATGAGGTCCAGCTAGACATATGCAGACAAGTTAGTTGTCAATTCTCAGCAGTGTCTGACACAGCTTACCACACTTACCTTCTTGACTCTCTTGTACCACTTGGCTTCAGAAATGCCTCTGCTTCTGCCTCTCCTTCTGCTCCTCTTTCCTTGGTTGGAGGAGCCAGCCAAGGAGACTTCAGAAGTGCATGAAGTCCAAACACAGATGAGCCTTTGTCCTTGACCTTCTGTCTTGGTCCACAGACAACATAGGGCATTTATTCATCCTGGTTTTAATCCCCAATTCTAAGCTCATAGCCTTGCACATATGAATCTCCAGTCTTTTTTTTTCTTTTTCTTTTTCTTTTTGGGTCATAACCAGTGATGCTCAGGGATTTCTCCTGGCTCTGCACTCAGGAATGACACCCGAAAGTGCTCATAGGACCATATGGGATACTAGGGATTGAATCCAGGTCGGCTGCATGCAAGGCAAACACCCCACCCACTGTACGATCGCTCTGGCCCCTGAATCTCCAATCTTGAACTCATCCTCTAAGTTTTGAGTCCTCTAACTTATCCTCTGCCTTTTTGACAACTCTGCTGGGATGGGATCTCTGTTAGAGACTTTGGAATTAAGATGTGCAAACCAGGCCTGATCCGGGGGCTCTGCCTGTCTCCTCCCTTCTCATCCCTCTCCTCTCCACGAATGAGGTCCAACTTCTTGTTGTTCCTAGAATATGATCCCCAAAAGTTTAGACCCTTTGGGTCTTTGTACTCACTACTTCCGCCGCTTGGAAATTCTGCCCCTATATCTTTGCATGCCTTCATTCTCTGGAAGTTAATTCATTGACCATCTTGTCTAGAACAATGGCCTGTCCTGCATGTTTTTTTTTATTTCTTTCTATGTATTTCCTGCCTAGAGTATAAGCTTGTGAAACCTTGACATTGTCCTATTTCACACGATAGCTCCTCACCCTAAAACTAAATTGTCACATATAAGAAACCCAAATGAATATTTGTTGAATGAACAAAGGAGCTTTGAAATTTGATTGCAGGCATTAAACATCTGCTATATAGAGACAACTTTGGAAGTCTTAGTTTAAAAAAATGGAAAGCATTTTTATCAAAGCTTTCTTTAAATCACTTAATCACTTAATCACTTAATCCCCGTTATTCATCGATTTATTCGAGCGGGTGCCAGTAACGTCTCCATTCATCCCGGTTGCGTGCTAGCGTAGCCCAATGGTATCTGTTCGTTTTAGGAACATGTAGAGCCTCAAACCGATCATTTAGGGTCTTGACGAAGAAGTCTGACCATCTTATAGGTGGGCGTCCACGTGATCTTTTGATGTCTCGTGGAATCCAATCAGTAATGGCTCTAGTCCAGCGGTTGTCTGTAAACCTCATTACATGTCCAGCCCATCTGATTTTTGATGTCTTGGCAAATGAAACAGCGTCCCTGATTCTTGAGCGTTGACGAAGATCAGAACTCCGGATTCTATCTCTCATTTGAGTGAATCGTGATATTCCAAGCATAGTTCTTTCGATTCCTCTTTAAGAGACCCGAATAGTGTTCTCATCCTGTTTTCGTAGGGTCCAGGTCTCTGAGGCATATGTTAATGCAGGAAGAATAGTGGAATCAAAGAGATGTGCTCGTAGCTGGAGGTTCTTTGTCCTTTTAGTTATTTCTTCAATGCTCTTGAAGGCATTCCAAGCCGCTCTCTTCCTCCTGCGCAACTCAGGTGCCAGGTCATTCATCATGTTGATTTCTCGACCTACGTATATATAACTGTTGCATTCGGAGATGGTGGTTCCGTGGAGAGCGAATGGAGCGTCAGGAACAAGGCTGTTTCTCATAAACATTGTCTTCGCAAGATTCAGCTGTAGTCCGACCTTTCCACATTCACGGTCAAAGTCGTTCAGCATTTGTGCCGCTTGGTTGATGTTTGGTGTTATTAGAACGATGTCATCAGCAAAGCGGAGGTGGTGTAGTTGCCGACCATCTATCTTCACTCCCATGTTTTCCCATTCCAGCCGTCGCATGATGTTCTCGAGGGTGGCACTGAAGAGTTTTGGTGAAATGGTATCACCCTGCCGAACCCCTCTCTTGATATGGATGATTACTTCTTTGTAGAATGGTGAGATCTTGGTAGTGAATCCGCAATAGAGCTCACGAAGGATCCTGATGTATTGAGTTTGTACGCCCTGATTGGCTAGGGCTTCCATGACCGCTTCCGTCTCAACAGAATCAAAGGCCTTCTTTAAATCAATGAACGTTAGACAGAGTGGCATCTTGAACTCCCGAGATACCTCAATGAGCTTGGTTACTGTGTGGATATGGTCGATGGTACTGAATCCTTTTCGGAATCCAGCTTGTTCACATGGTTGTCCTTCATCTAGTGTTCTGCTAATCCTATTCAGGATGACTCGAGTGAATAGTTTGTAGATGACAGACAATAGGCAGATTGGGCGATAGTTGCCAATGTCGTGGATGTCTCCTTTCTTGTATAGTAGTACAGTCTTGCTGGTTTTCCATTGGGATGGAACCTTGCATTCAGACAGGTAGCGTGTGAAGAGTCGAGCCAATGTATTGATGAGTACTGATGGTAAGTTCTTCAGGTGTTCAGGTCTGATCTTGTCTGGGCCAGGTGCTCTTTGTTTCTTTACAGACGAGATGGCATGTTGGATTTCGGAAGGGAGAACATTGGGAACGACATATCCATCATGTGGTATGTGGTATGTGGGCAAGTGGATGTGGCTATTAAAGAGATCTGAGTAGAAGTCATGAATAATCTTCTCCATTGCCCTTCTGGAAGATGTGATAGATCCATCATGATGTCGGAGGGCAGTCATCTTGGTTTTGTAGTTGGTGAAGGACAGGCGGGCATTACGAATGTTTTTTCCAGCTTCTGCTGCATCTACCAGTACTGCTGCTCTCCTGTTTTTGAGGTCATCCTTGATGGCTTCTCTGCACTGTTTTGCCAGTTCGGACGTTTGCTTGTGGTTGCCTGAGGCACGTGCCAAGCCACGTTGGCGAATAAGTTCAAGAGTGTTCGAAGAAAGACTTTTTTTGTGGTTATCTCTCTCTTGGCATTCCTTGCACAATCATGGAGGTGCTGAATCATTCGATCGTATTCCTCATCAATGTTGTCAATGACAGCATCTTCCCATGTTGCCGCAACAGAGCCAAAGAGTTCCCAGTTGATGGTTGTTCTGGGAGTCCTCTTCTTAAACCTTGCATTCTTTTCTCCTCGTTCTGTGAGGTAGAATTTTGCACGAAGAAGACGGTGGTCTGATCCCGTTTGGAATTTTGGGACAACAGCAACATCGGTTAGGCAAAACCGCCGATTGAATATGATGTGGTCTATTTCATTGTGGAACCGTCCATCGGGAGACTCCCATGTCCAACGTTTAGATTCAGCCTTTTGGAATTGTGAGTTACCATGGAAGGTTTTGGTTGACATGATGAACTCAGACAGTCTGTCACCCTGTTCGTTCCATTCCAGGCCATGGGTTCCAATGTGGAGTTCATCGACTGATCTTCTTGGTCCTATCTTGGCATTAAAATCACCGACAATGATCTTGTAGAAGGTGTGATCTTCTTTATAGAACTTCTCTAGCTCCATGTAGAATTTCTCAGTTTCTCTTTCACCATAACTGGATGTTGGTGCATAGACAACAAAGATAGAAACTGCCGGTAGTGAGCCACATTTATTCAAGTGTAATCGTCCGATTCGGGTTGTTAGGCATTCAAATGAATCAATGCTCGTGACTAAGTTTGTGTTGACAAGGATACCGACACCACCGACGCCTCTTTTATCACATGTTCCAAGGAACAGTTCTTCTCCAGTGTCGAAAACAGCATGATGGAATTGATGTCTTCTCGTTTCGGTCAGACCAATGATGTCGTACTTGATCTTTCGTGCTTGTACCATAAGGTCTTCAATGGATGCAGCAGATGCCAGGGTACGAGCATTAAAAGTACAGACAATCATTTTTGTTTTTCTGCGTTTTGGCAGCCCATGTCTGCCTTGGTGTTTTATCAGCTTCTCCTTCCATATCCTTCTCGACTCTGCATAATCAGGGTTAGGGAAATGAGATCCATTTATTACTGGATTTGGCATATCAATTTGGTCTATTTGGCATAGACCACGGATAGCTTGCCAGGCTCTTCCGTGCGGGTTGGATATTTAAGGATATTTAAGGTATCCTGAAAATTTAGAGAAAAGTAAATGAATAGTCGCGCGGCCGCAGGCCGCGCGCTCCCGGGAGCTTGTTGTGATAATCTCTGGATCCTGGCTTTTGTTGGGGTTACACGGCAGTTGGAGGGTGTAACCGTCTAGTTACTGACAGGTCCAGTCCCAAACCGTGCAGGCTTGGAGATCTCAGCCCCGGGTCCCACACACCTGGGTTCCTCTGCCAGTTTTGTTATGTCTGAGGCTTATCCAAGTGTGTGGAGAGTGGCCCCAGTAAGGCCTTGGTTGGGGCCTGCAGGTCTTCAGCTGTTGGGCCCTGGCGAGGATAGTCAGACACAGGGTAGGAGACCTACCTATTTAATATTTAATATTTCTTTAAATATTACTGAAAATTCTGTTCATTCTCAAGCTCAGTAGTTCTATATCTATGCACATATATGTATGTATATTTCTCCCCTGCTTTGGTGGAATATTTTAGGAGAACATATCTGGATAGTTCTTGATGGTCCAGTAGATGCCATCTGGATTGAAAATCTGAATTCTGTTTTGGATGATAACAAAACTCTAACTCTTGCCAATGGTGACCGGATTCCCATGGCTCCAAACTGCAAGATCGTTTTTGAGCCACACAACATTGACAATGCGTCTCCAGCCACTGTCTCCAGGAACGGAATGGTCTTTATGAGTTCTTCTATTCTGGACTGGAGTCCAATCCTTGAGGTATGATTGGAGTCTTCTGTGGTGTTAGAGGGAAACTGATCATTAAATACTGTTTTAGCATATGGAATGATTATATTGTGTCTCTGTGGAAAGTCACAAACTCATAAATAAGTTTGAAGTCAACATTCATTGCTTCCCTTTTGAGTTCTATTTCAATGTTGTTGCTTAAGAACCAGTTAACTTCCTGACACCCACAGAATTTACCTCTCTTTAAGAAAACATAGTGTGATATTTTGTGGCAAATGTCTTGACCTTTCTTCATCTTGGAGTCTCCAGGTGACTGAATTCTCCATTCTCCTGAGTATTCTTTGGTAGTTGGTTAATTATGAAATTAGAAAAAATACTTATATTTCATATTTCATATTTTATGGGGCTGGAGCGATAGCACAGCAGTAGGGCGTTTGCCTTGCATGCAGCCAACATGGCCGACGCAAGTTTGATTCCTCCGCCCCTCTCGGAGAGCCCGGCAAGCTACCGAGAGTATCTCACCTGCACGGCCGAGCCTGGCAAGCTACCCATGATGTATTCGATATGCCAAACACAGTAACAACAAAGTCTCCAATGGAGACGTTACTGGGCCCACTCGAGCAAATCAATGAACAACGGGAGGACAGTGACAGATACTTTATATTTCATATTTCACCTAATTCACAAATGTGATGCAAAAAAGATATTTTTAAAAAGTGGGGTCTGTCCCTTATGTGAAGCTTTAACATTTTTTGCTGGTATTAATTAAAATCATTTAGTACAAAACTGTCTTTAGTGTAGCCTTAGAATGCATAGAATACTCATGTATATGTGTGTGTGTGTGTGTGTGTGTGTGTGTGTGTGTGTATCTATATATCTCTCTATATAATGTGGCAATATTTGGTGGGAAATACTGGTAAAAGAAAACAACTAGTCATGGTAAGTCTTTGTTTCTCATTAAAAAAACCGGGTATGGATTTTCTTTCTTGACATTTTTGGGTCACCCACAGCAGTGCTTATGTCTTACTCCTGGCTCTGTGTTGAGGGTTCATCCTGGCAGGCTGGGAGGACCATATAGGGTGCTAGAGATTGATCCTGGGTTGCATGTGCAAGGCGAGCACTCTGCCTGCTGTGTTATCTCTCCAGCCCCATGGATTTTCTTCATCTTTTCTTTATATATTTATTTTTATCTTTTAAAATTGATTCCCATCTGCATGCCTCCTCATTTCTACACCTATTTGAGTCAAGAACTGAGGATGTCTCCATTTTGGCTCCCAGATCTGAGCATTTGAATTGGGCAGCAGTAGGACCAGTGCACTGGGGGGTCATGGCCTAGATTTAATTCTGGCCTTCCCTCCAACTGACTTCAGGGATCCTGGGCCCTTTGACATCCAGTTCTTGGGCGTTGGGGATGAGAAGTGCATATCCACCTCATTGAGTTGTTTTGAGCATTGACTAAATTGATCCATGAATGGATGGACAGCAGGAACATGCCTATTCTCAGCGGAAGCATCTTCTTAGATATCATTGTTATTGGTATGACTATTGTTGAATGATAAAAGCAAAACCTTGTGTTCCCTGGTTGGCCACTTTTACATTAACAAATGTACTTGATTTCCTCCCCTCCCCACCTTTAAATTAAACCAACAGGGTTTCCTTAAAAAACGCTCACCTCAAGAAGCTGAAATTCTCCGTCAGCTGTACACAAAGTCTTTCCCAGACCTGTATCGCTTTAGCATTCAGAACTTGGAGTACAAGATGGAGATGCTGGAGGCTTTTGTCATCATGCAGAGTCTCAACATGCTTCAGGGCCTGGTCCCTGCCAAGGTGGGAGCTGCCTTTATGAAGTAACTCTCTGCTATTAGCTGAGGGGTGGTCTCTGAACTTGACTCCGACCTTGTTATGAGCAGCGGAGTGGTGTTTCTGCCATGGGCCCCCAGATCCTGGGTTTCTCTCATTTCCTTCCCTATTTCATGAAGTGAGTCATGTTGGAAATTAGAGGTAGGTTCACAGTCATCTGCTAAGTTCCCCCAATTTATCTAGCTTGCTGTTCCTCGAGATCACTTGGGAATTTATTGCCTAAAAACTCGTTTCCTTGTTGTTGCTTGAGGAAAATATACTTTACAGAGGGTTACTAGTTTTACTATTTTATTATTTTACTATTTTTAAATTTTATTTAAAACTATTCATTTATTTTTCATCTCATCTATTTAATCTATCACAGCTACTATTTTTAATCAACCACGTGTACTATCTTTCTGCATGTCTAGCTGTCTGTATGTTAAACCTATGCCATTTATCATAAATTTGCATCCATCATATATTGTGGGGGTTTGTGCAGTTTTTTGCACCACACCTGGTAGTGCTGTGGTTGTGGGGGGGGGTGCTCCTGTCCCTGTGCTCTGGGTCCTGTGGGGCCTGTGGTGGAGCTGGGGTTGGGTGCACCATGACAAGCACCTTCATGTCTGTTCTGTCCCTGAAGTCCTCCAGTGTCTATTTTTAAGGTCATGTTGGTGAATAACACTATATAGATCTTTGCTTGGTTTGGTTTATGGGCTGTACCTGGCAGTGCTCGGGGGCTACTCCTGGTTCAGTGCTCAGGACACCCTGTGCCGTGTGGGGGTTCGAACTGGTGTCACTTGTGCCCACCCCAACGCTATAGTGCTTAGGGGTCCCGTTCATATTCCTGCACAATGTGCATGGTCACTTCACCACACCTGCTATTTGTTTTACACACTCAATGCAAAGTGTTAGTGTGAGAGTGAAGTCATTAAAAAGAAACACTTCTTGCTGTCCCAGGAGGCCGGCGTGGAGGTGACGGCCGTGCACCTGGGGCGATTATACGTCTTTGCCCTGATGTGGAGCGTGGGTGCTGTGCTGGAACTCGAAGGCCGCCGGCGGCTGGAGCACTGGCTGCGTTCCCAGGAGCCGCAGACCTTGGACCTCCCCCCTCTGGTTGGGGCAGAAGACACCATGTTCGACTATTACGTCGCCCCTGACGGTGAGGGCGCGGACCAGGCCTTAACGCAAAGAGCGGTCTTTCCCCCTGGGCCCTGTTGGCACAGAATTCCTGTTTCCGATGGCCAGGGGTACTTGGGCTGTAAGAAGAAAATGGGAATTTTCATGTTTGAAAATTTCTGAGTCACTGTTTCTTTGTAAAAAAATAATTTTGAGAGAGCCCATCCTCTCACACCCCATCACATGCACATCTCCTCTTATTAGGTATATTGTGTACAAAGCTCCTAATGAAGAAACAAATTTAAAAAGCCTCCAGACAGGTGTATTTCAACCATTTATTTAATCAGCTTAGTACTGCATTTTATATAAAATTGCAGTATGCATTATATTTGTACTAAGTATGTGTGCAACTGTAGCTCTGGATATGTTAATTTATCTCCACAGATATATATGTTTATAGGCCCATATATGAAGTATATGTGTGTATCTATATAGATAGAGATGTATATATGATACACAAACAAACACATACATATGTATACATATATATCTATAGATATAGATATAGATATATTCCCAGGCAATGTTTTATATATCTTTTCACTTTGGGGCCTTACAGCAAAGATGATGTCTGATGGAAAACTTGCGAGAATGGACGTTTTAACATGATTTTATTGGCATTGTTATCACCACTGTGTTCTGAAGTTTTGTAATACTATTTGTACATGCTCTATTTCTGAAAACTTACCTATTAAGATATTTCAAGTATTTCTTAATATTTCTAACACTATTCTTTGAAATCACTTATTGATAATTTTTAAAAAAAAACTGCCAAAAATTTTATTTCACTTTGGAATTTTTGCACATTTTCTGACTCTTCCATGTCAGGTGGAAAACAGAGCCTTTTGAAGCACATGCTTATATCAGACACTTCAAGAATTATGAGTTTCTCCCTTTTTTGCCATACATGTTCAGAGCTGCAGTGGTGCTGGCAGACAACACAGCTTCACAGAAGCCAACGCAAGGGAGCACCCTGACGGACAGGAAGAACAAAGAGACCCATTCGGCATACATGGGTGTCCATAGAACTAATGCCACACCAACTGTCAATTGTCCCCCTCCCACTCCCTCCCCTTACACGGAGCTGGGAAGGAGAGAGGGAATTTTCTTTGGGAAACCTGACTATACTGAGACATTCTTGGATACTGAGATATCTGTTTTTAATGACCCTTGTATTTTATGGAAACCATTTTTTTAGAAGTAAGTCTTAATTTTATTTTTTAAGGTGCAGTGTCTTTAATTTTTAAAAATTGATTTGATTTGAGATATATAGTTACAAAGTTATTCATGATTGGGTTTCTATCATACAGTGTTCCAATACCTGTCCCTTCACCAGTGTACATTTCCTACCACCAATGTCTCCAGTTTCCCTCCCACCCCCCCCATACCTCTATGACAAGCACTTTCTCTCTCTCTCTCTCTCTCTCTCTCTCTCTCTCTCTCTCTCTCTCTCTCTCTCGGCATTATGGTTTGTAATACCATTAAGGTATATTCCTTTGCCGACTTTGAACACTCAGGTCCTGTCCAAAAGTGATTAGGGGGACCTTTGGGAAGATGGGTTCATAAGATGCCTTGCATCTTTGGTCCTTATGGCTAGGATTTAAACCGCTGCTATGGCACATGCAGACGCAAACTATCTCCATGTGCTTCAGGTGAATGGATGCACTGGAACACATGCACTGAGGAATACATCTACCCACCCGACAGCACCCCAGAATATGGCTCCATCTTGGTGCCCAACGTCGACAATGTGAGGACTGACTTTCTCATCAACACTATTGCCAAGCAGGGCAAGGTATGGCTCCTTAACTGTCATTGAACGTTGCATAATTTAAAATGTCACTTGAAAACACGGAACACCTTGTTTTCATTTGCAGGTTATGTATTTAGAGGAAGTGAAAATATTACCCAAATCAGCATTCTTCAGTTAATAGTTCCTAATAATTATAGTAGAATTGAATTCTTTCAATTTATAATTCTTTTTCATGTATTGATTGAGAGTAAGTGAATTTATGACTTGTTTCCTGTGAGGCAAAAATTCTTTCTTAATCATTCAATTAGTTTGTCAGGGTTACTGCAACTAAATATTAGACTGGGGGTAAAAACATCACTTATTTTCTCACATTTCTGGAGGGTAGAAGTCTGAGATGAAGGCATCGGCAGGTTTGACTCCTTCTGTGGTCACTCACGGGGTTAGAGCCTGCAGCCTTGCCCCGGGTCCTCACAGGGTCTCTCTCTCTCTCTCTCTCTCTCTCTCTCTCTCTCTCTCTCTCTGTGTGTGTGTGTGTGTGTGTGTGTGTGTGTGTGTGTGCATCTTTGCTGTTTTCTCCTTCGTATATACACATTTCTTGGGACATACCTTATGGCCAGTTTTGTCTTATAACCTCTTGAAAGGTTCTAACTGCAAATATAATCACAGTCTGAGGTCTGGGGGTTGGAAATTTAGCACATACATTTGGGGGTACAATTCAACTAGTGACAGTCGTTTTATTACGTTTCTTGGATTTGTCTTCCAACACCTATTTTAGGCTGTGCTGTTAATTGGTGAACAAGGAACAGCCAAGACAGTTATAATCAAAGGATTTATGTCAAAATATGATCCTGAGAGCCACGTGGTCAAGAGTCTGAACTTCTCTTCTGCAACTACGCCGTTGATGTTTCAGGTAAGGCCACCTGGGCACCGCTCATAAAACCCTGCTTGTGATCTCATTTATAAGCTCCAATTTCTTTACTCTTCTGCTCGTGTCTGTTGAATTCTGTGCTCAACATTGCAGCGGTTGTAAATTCCCAGCAAATGCCTTCCGTAACGGCTAGTATGCCACTGTGATACTCTTTCCCTAGTAAGATTATAACATTCAACTGTAAATTCTGAAGAAAATAAAAGGCCTGCATAAAGTCTTGAGAATCCCAATAAAGTTCAAAATGTCTATATAGACAAGTCTATCAGCAAAGGTAAAGGTAAAGGTAAATCAGCAAAAACAATCCAAAATTGGAAGAACTATTTATTTCTCTACCTGAGTCTGTACCTTCTCCTTATTGCCTACGTTTTTATGAGTTTTACTATTATTCTAAGCTGGACATATGGAGGTCATTTTTGATGATTCTCTCTTGAATCATGAATCTAAAGACATGCTTTCTTTTTTCTTTCATTTATTTATTTGTTTATTTATTTTTAATTTTATTGAATCACCCTGAGATAGTTACAAGGTTTCATGTTTGCGTTACAATCACACAATGATCAAACACCCATCCCTCCACCAGTGCACATTCCCCAACACCAATATCCCCGGTAAAACCCCCCTTACCACCCCCCCCCCCGCCTCCATGGCAGACATGATTCCTCATAATCTCTCTCTACTTTTGGGCATTATGGTTTGCAATACAGACCATGAAAGGTTATCATATTTGGTCCTGATCTACTTTCTGCACACATCTCCCATCCCGACAGATTCCTCCAGCCATCTTTTTCTTAGTGAGCCCTTCTCTATTCCAGCTGCCTTCTCCCCTTTGCTCATGAGGCAGGCCTCCAGCTATGGAGCAATCTATCTGTCCCATGTATCCACTGTCCTTAGGTTAAGACATGCTTTCACATCTCTTCATTTTTCCTGCCCCCTCCCTTCTATACAATCTATGGCTTTGTGATTCTACTGTAAAATATCAGCATTTTGCACCCCCAGCTGGTCTTGATTCAAGTCCAATTTCTCTTCAGCCCAGTTTTTATTCTTTTTCCAAACTGGTTTTTGAATTGTCACTTTCATATTATGGTTCTCTTATCTTTCACAAAGGCTTTCATTATCCGTTGTAATAAGGAATAATATCTTAGAATCTGAACATATTAAAGATCTTACCCTATCAAATTATTAAAGAGCAACTGTAATAAACTCAAGTTTGCCTTGCTTTTATTAAAGAAACTCTTGACAAGAATGACCTGGGTTTGCAGTGACTCACTTCCTTTGCTTTTCCTGTTCTTAATTTGTTTAAGACACTGTTGAAAGTGGCAAGGTTTTCCTAAATGCCAGTCCAGACTGCAGGGTTGGCATATCATCTCATGTGTTTATAAGAATATTCATTCATGAACTGAAAATATACATTTAATAAATTGAAGATGGAAGTTACAGTTTTTAGGGATTCCAAATGCAAAGAGCTTCATTTTTGATTAACTGTTATTCTTCAGTTACTAGAGTGAAAATGTCAAAGGACACTGAATATCATTGAGAACAAGGCCAAATAATGAGTTTTTATCACTTAAATTAATTGGCAAATTTAGAGTGCCAATAAACTAAGAACATGGATTAAGTTTCCAAATAAGACTGTCAATTTTATTATGCTCCTTTGTTAGAGATGGGATTTCCAATTTGCACTAACCTTCTACCAAATGAATACCATTCACACAATGCTGTGGTGGGACAGTGTGCTTGGAAGGTCATCTGCAAATTGCAATGACTCAGAAGTGTTATTTTTGTGTTTGGGGAACAATACATTAAATTATCACTGGCTGGCAAGATACTAACACTGTTCACCTTACTGTGTACTGCTTTACATTTAAATAACTTGTGAGTTTTACTTTAGAAGAACACACTTTGTAAAGGTTACAAGTATAACTTCATTTGTGCATGCAGGTTTTAGAACAGTAAATCAGATTTCATAGACGAAGGGCTCAGTACTCAGAAAAACTCCCTTCCATTAACACTAGTCACAGGCTCAGTGGTCCCAGGTACTTTTCTTTTCATTAATTGGCTGCAAATTCAGGAGTTTCCATGACTCCATTTGCTATAATAAATTACAACGACTCAGAAAGCTAGGAAAGTACTAGACTTGTTATTATGACTTTAGTACAGAAAGATATGAATTAGTGTCAGTCCCAAAATAGTGACAACTAGTCGAAGGCTTGGGAAATACTGAAGAGTGAACCTCCTCTGTCTTTGGGCTCTGCCATTCTTCAGGTACATGTGAGCTTCATGTCAAAGTTTGAGTTGAAATTTTATTGCATCAGTTGATCAGCAAGATTAGGTAAATTGTTGGCCTTGTGAATCATCAAGTCCCCTTCTCTTTCTGGAGATTAGATGATACCATGTGCTTCAAAGTCCCAGCATTTAATTCCATGATTATCTTTGGCATGTGGAGTCTCAGGGGTCTACCAGGAATAACACAGGAATCCTCTAGTTCGTTGGAAATTCTGAGAGTTTAAAGGGAGAAAATTCTTTGCAAGAAAGCAGAGATACAGACCAAACACATTTTTTATAGCTAATATGATTTTGTAATGCAATTTTGTTAGTAAATCTTGGTGATATTATTCTTTTAAATGGCAAAAATTAGTGGTCTATATTTGTTTGGCATGAGATACTCATTTCTTGGAAATAGACATGCACAATCCAGAAAACAATCTGTGTATTGGTAAATACATTTAGTGAATTGTAGTTTACATTTCTAGAAGTTGTGTCATTGAAGTACAATCATTGCAAGTGTAATAAAGCAGACTTTTATTTTTCAATATTTTGGGGGGAGTATGGGCCACACCTGGCAGTGCTTAGATTACTCCTGGCTCGGTGCTCAGGCATCACACTGCAGGCGGAACTCAGAAGACCACAAGTGGTGCCAGAAATCAAACCTGGGTCAGCAGCATGTATGGCAACCACCCTACCCACTGTGCTATCTCTCTGGCCCCTAAAGTAGACTTTGAAAACAAGAAACATCTCTACTGGCTAGAGTTCCATGATCTGATCCACAGTGATTTTGGCCCAACTCTCTTTTCCCTTTCAGTGCAGAGGGAGTGTCAATACTTCAGTTTCATTTTGTCTTCAGAAGCATCACGGGATCCTCTCCTACTTCTTCCGACCATGAACACTGACGCTCTTTATGAGGCCAGACTCGTCATTAGTCAACTGCTGCAGTTGATTCTTATTGCAACTTCCAGCTTTTTTTATACTAAACAAGTGCCGTTTCATTAAGAGCCTCAACTTATTATTAGCCAAGTGCTGCAGTTAATTTTCTTACTATAATTTTCAGCTTTTTTACACTAAACACATTCTGATAAAACTGAGCCAGGTGTGGACCCCAAACAGAAAGTAAAGGTAAAGGTAAAGGCCCTCCCGTTGATCATCGATTTGCTCGAGCGGGCCCAGTAACGTCTCCATTGGAGACTTTGTTGTTACTGTGTCTGGCATATCGAATACTCTCAGTAGCTTGCCGGACTCTCCGAGAGGGGCGGAGGAATCGAACTCGGGTCGGCCATGTTGGCCGCTTGTAAGGCGAACGCCCTACCGCTGTGCTATCGCTCCAGCCAAACAGAAACAAACAGAAACAGAAACAGAAACAAACAGAAACAAACAAAAACTCTTTGAGCCTCTCACTTACCTGGGACCAAACCAAATGGTAAAGAGAGAATAGTTCCCGCCCAGTTCCTGTCTCTTCCCTTGACACCCTCAGGGGTTACCGGTTCATTTGGTAGGCTTCCTTTGTTTTTGCTATGGTGTCATTTCCTGTTTGGTTTGTGGGAAGATGAACACTATGGCCTCATTTTCCTGGGAGGTCCTAGTGTAGCAACGAATAACATTCCCTGTAACTATCAAGAATGTGAACTAGACAAAAGTTATATGGACACTTTTTTTTATTAGTGAAACACCATGAGGTACAGTTGTAGAATTACAAACGTTCATGCTTGGGTTTCAGTTATACAATGATCGAGTACCCATCCCTCCACCAGTGCTCATTCTTCACCACCAATGATCCCAGTAGCCCTCCCACTCCTTACCCATCGCCACCCCACCCCGTCTCTGTTTCAGGGTATTCTCTTTTGCTCACTCTTTCCTTTAGGGTGTTGTAGTTTGCAATAGTGGTATTTGAGTGGCCATTGTGTTCTGTCTGTAGTCTACTTTCAGCACACATCCTGAGCGGGTCCTCCAAACATCCTTTACTTGGTGTTCCCTTCTCTATCTGATCTGCCTTTTCCCACAGAATGTGCTGCCAGCTTCGAAGCCGTGGAGCAGACCTCCTGAAACTTATCTCAACCATTCTTGGGTGTTCGACTCCCATTCTGTTACTTTATATTCCCCAGATGAGTGCAGTCTTTCTATGTCTGTTTCTCTCTTTCTGGCTCATTTCATCTAGCATTATACTTTCCATGTAGAACCACTTGTATGTAAATTTCATGACTTCATCTTTTCTAACAGCTGCATAGTATTCCATTGTGTAGATGTACCAAAGTTTCTTTAACCAGTCATCTGTTCTCGGGCACTCAGGTTTTTTCCAGATTTTGGCTATTGTGAATAGTGCAGCAATGAACATAGAAGTGTAGATGTCATTTCAACTGTACTTTTTTGCTTCTCTGGGATATATTCTGAGGAGTGGTATTGCTGGGTCAAATGGGAACTCAATTTCTAATTTTTTGAGAATCATCCATACTGTTTTCCAAAAGGGCTGAACCATTCGGCATTCCCACCAGCAGTGAAGGAGGGTTCCTTTCTTGCCACATCTGCACCAACACCGGTTGCTTTTCTTCTTTTGGATATGGGCCAGTCTCTGTGGTGTGAAATGATATCTCATTGTTGTTTTGATCTGCATCTCCCTGATGAATAATGATGTAGAGCATTTTCTCATGTGCCTTTTAGCCATTCAGGTTTCTTCTTTGAGAAAGTTTCTGTTCATTTTGTTGCCCCATTTTTTA